GAAATAACTAGCATAACAAATTTCCAAGTGTTTAAGTTGGAAGCAACTGATTTTTGGCCATGTGGAACTTTTCTCTGGAACATCAATGGCTCCTACTTGAGTCCTTGGAATGTACTCCAGTGCTATTTGGAGAGCACTCTTCAGGTTCTGTTTCTGCTCAGACCTTCTTGTCTAAGCAAACACTCCTCTGTTTCTCAACTTGGTTGCTAAATGTGCAGGTTGGAATTGTGAATGAGCTGTTAGGGAATGAGCGGGAGGCAGATAGAGTTCTATCATTGGGGAAAGCCATTTCATGCTCGCAAAGTCTATTCCCTTTTGTAATTGCATTTTCTTCTGCTTTAGGTAAGAAACTACTCTTTTCTTTTTTTTCATAAGTACTGTCTTTTGTTTGATAAGCCATTTGATTTGATTCTCTTAATTGTTTTTTTTTGGCTTTTTTTCTTAGGAAATCTTCACCACAAAAAGAAAAGTCTGGATCTGGCAGAAAATGAACTCCAAAATGCAAAAGAGATATTATTTGCTAATGAGCAGGAGTTTTCTTGCGAAAAGTGCAAACTCAAGTTCCAAGCTACAGTGGATAAGCAACTTGGAGACATATCTCGAAAAAAAGTTGATAGAGTTTCCCAGAGAGAAGGGTTCTTGCATGCTGAAAGCTTGTTTAGTGCCGCACTGGGAAAAATCTGTTGCTCGGCATGGAAAAGCTGCATTACATCTCATGGGGAAGAAGTTTTAGCAGTTGATAGAAATGGAGGAGAAGTTTTAGGATATAAATCAAGCAAACCAAAACGAAGTATAAACAAAGAGCCAACTGAAAGCAAAGGCTCCAGGAGGGGACGGAGAGCTAAAAGTTCCCAAACTTGCGACCATGATGTGATGATGATTTCTGAGCCAACTACAAGATTGACTCGCTCAATGAGTCGGTCGCTTAAAGAGCAATGTCAAAATGTGCCTGTACCTGCTTCAAAGAAGCCTAGCCTCTGTACTGTATCTGAAAAGGTGTTGTTGGAAGCCAAAAACGCAGTCCATGGCTTTTGCATTTGGTACAAAGGAAAATGTACGCAGTGCCCCTCTGTACAAGAAACGGAGTCTGGGTCTCTCTACAGTTTAGTGAGGTTGAAATGGGAACTCTGCCATAGGAGGCTTGCGTCCTCAATACTTGTTAACCTCGGTATGTGCTAATACCTTATGCATCTGCTCATGCATATGAAGTTGGCCTTTTGACTGTTTCCTGTTGAAGACAATCTAATAGGTTAGACGAGAACTTAGATCCAGTAACCATTGAATTCATTCATGGTTGATAAAAAAAATGTAAATTATTTTCATTAGTAACCACTTTCAGGTTTTTGTTTTGATTTCTGGCTGTATATACGCATCTCAGTCACTAAGCATCCTTAGAACAAGTGTATATCTGCTTATAATTTCGTTTTCAAACTCAGGAAAATGTTTGGCGGACTCTGGTAGAGTTCATCTAGCTCATGAGGCACTACTGTACAGTATCTCTGTTTTGTTTAAAAGCAACTGGTCCAGCCACAACCAACCTTCTGTCAGTCAGTTGCTGGATTTTATTGGGCAAGAAGTTACAAGGGACGTATTTGCGACTGATCGTGCAATAATACTATACAACTTGTGCTGTTTAAGTTTGCGGAATTACCACAGCAGGGAGAGCAGGTATTTCTATTGGTTCTACTCTTGTTAGTTTTTCCATGCTTAAGCTTTGTTCTCCCTGAGAAAACTCATATGCTTGTTACCTTTAACAGTTCTATTTGCTGTGATCTGTCTCATATTCCTTTCACAAAACTGGTGTCATGGTTGATGCTGGCATTTATACTCAGCAGAGAGGTTCCTATAACTTTTCAAAAGGTAAATGCTCAGCTTATTCTATGGTTACCTGTCTTTGCCTGTCCTGTTACGAACTTAATTATTGTTTTGGTATAAAACTGGTTTTTGGATTTTCACAGGTTTCAAGATTGCTTGCTTGTTTATATCTGCTCTCTGCCTCAAGTGATGAATTCTCATTCGAATGTGATGGAAATGAGCTGTCTGCAAGTCATTGGGTCTCATATTTCCATCAAGCCTCGCTTGGTACCCATATTAGTTACCAATTCATTTCAAGTCTGAGCCCAAGACACAAATCACAGTGCATATCAGATAAAGAGGTAACGGAAAGAGGTTGTATAGGTGTTTTCACCGTTGGTATCTTACGTGTTTACTAGCAAGAATGTGTTGCATCTCCTTATTTGACAGCTTGTATTTTCACTTTTCCAGTGTACAGAGGCTACTTGCTCGAGTTGCATGGTTCCTGAGGAGTTAGACTTACCCAGGTATGAGATGAGATGAGAGTTAACTTAAGCGACCAGGCATGCTATATATAATTTTCTGTTGTCTTACTATATTGTTCCTAACTCGGCACTGTAGGCTTGCTCCTGAGTGTACTCAAGATCTTGTACAGTTCACTAAAGAATTCTTCAACAATCTTCCAAGCTCAACAATCATCTGTATTAGTTTGCTTGGAGGCTCTTTAAGTCAATTGTTACAGGAGCTAATGCATTTTCGTTCACCTGTTCGTGCATGGTTGCTCGTATCACGCCTCAACCTGAAAAGTCAACCGGTTGCCACACTCCTGCCGATAGATTCGGTTCTAGAAGGTAAATATGAGGGAAGTTGGTTTTGTCCATGGGGTTCCACCGTGGTTGATGATGTAGCTCCAGCATTTAAATCAATATTGGAGGAAAGCCACGCATCTGCTACATTTCATGGAGAAGACACGAAAGAGAATAGATCCTTGTGGTGGAAAAGGAGGGAGAAAGTTGATCATCATCTTGAAAAATTCCTAAGGTATGATGATGGGCTCTCTTTCTGCACACGTACGTGTACCTATTGACAACATTGGGTTTAACCACTCTTTTGTTCTAGGAATCTAGAAGCTTCCTGGCTGGGTCCCTGGAGATGCCTGCTTCTTGGAGACTTGTCAAACTACAAATTGGCCGACTCTGTGCAGAAAAAGTTGGTAAAAGATCTCAAGTCCAAGTGCAAAATGGAAGTAAACGAGATGCTTTTGAAGATTGTTCTTGGAGGTGGGATTGAAAACTTGGAAAGAGAGGCATGCGTTGCTCAGATTTCGTTAAGAAATGGTTGCTATGTAGGTAGAGAGGGATATCTTTATGATGAAGATAGCTGTAAAACTCCTACTGCCTCGTCTAATATTTCTGAAAGTAGGCATGGGTTGGCCTTAGAGCTGATACATGAAGCAGCAGCCAAACTGGAACAAGAACATGACGGCCATGAAAACAGAGAAGCTATCATTCTTGTGTTAGATCCTGAGGTTCAGGTTCGTCTCAATATATCCTTTTTACTTTCCTACACATGTATTACAACAATATTTGACTCTTGCTGGCTCTCCTTGTCTGTGTAGTATGCTTTTTTTATTCCCTTGCGCTTACAGAACTGTGTTGTGATATTTGATTAGATGCTTCCTTGGGAGAATATTCCAATACTAAGGAAAGAGGAGGTGTACCGAATGCCTTGTGTAGGTAGCATATCTGCTGTGCTAAAGAAGCGGTGTCTCAAAGGAGAGCCAGCAAGAACTCATGTTGCTTCCTTCCCTCGTATTGATCCGCAAGATTCATTTTACTTGTTGAATCCCAGTGGTGATCTCAAAGATACACAAGTCGAGTTTGAGAGTTGGTTCCTAGGTCAAAACTTTGAGGTACTAAATGATATAGAGCCTGCATACTTGTAGTTAAACCTTTTCTTGACGCTTAGTTTTCAAACTTCCCTCATTGCGTATACTTTCAGGGGGAAGCTGGATCAAAACCAAGTCCTAAAGAGTTGACAGAAGCATTAAAAAACCATGATCTGTTTCTATATTTCGGTCATGGAAGTGGTATGGCTCCTGTCCTTAAACTGTTGAATCAGTAACCCGTCTTTGTTGTAATTTTCTTTTACTTTAAGATTGGTTTTACTAATAGGTCTTCTACTGTATATATATGATACCGCAGGAGCACAATATATGTCTATGCATGGAATAGAGGAACTAGATAAATGCTCTGCAGCTTTCCTAATGGGATGCAGTAGTGGATCACTATGGGTAAAAGGCGTACCAGTACTCTCTTATCTCTTAGCTGGATCTCCAGCGATTGTTGCGAATCTATGGGACGTAACAGACAAAGACATTGATAAATTTGGGAAAGCGTTGTTGGAAGAATGGTTGAGAGAGAGGTCATATTCTTCGTCTTCAGAGGGTGGTTGCAGCCAGTGCGAGTCATTAGCTAATGAACTTGCAGCCATGAATCTAAACAAGAGGTCAAGGAAACCGTCCTTGCGTAACAAGCCATCTCAATCCAAATGTAACCACCACAAGCGTAGACGCAAAATCGGTTCATTCATCCCTGCGGCTCGAGAAGCGTGTAAATTGACATACTTGATTGGGGCTGCACCGGTGTGTTATGGTGTACCAACTGGTATCACAAAGAGAAAAGGAATTTAAGTGAGAAGAGATTAGTGTAAGTCCAAAAAACCGATTGATTTTGGAGGATATTGTTAGATCTATTTGTAACGCAATTAATTTAGATCTATCTAAATATCTATTTCATTATTAGTTTCTTCAAATCTTATAGGTTAACAATAATATCTTTGCCGAAAAGAAATTTTACAGTATTGATCTTCAGATTCTATAAACCAACAAAATCTCAATTCTTCCGATTTGTTCAGAATCCACTGAAAAAAAAAGAAACAGCTTAAAATATTATTTCTGATAAACGAATATTGTTTGGAAACCCAATTCCATTGCCAATCTGTTTAGCATAGCATGCATAGGACTGTGTGATCAGTTTTGTTCGCAGGATGTTTATTCTGACAACAACTGTTGAATCTCTTTATCACACTATTGTATAACCTAATTAAGACTATGGATGATCACACTTAAGACATTTTCGCCGCACGTTTAAACCCAAATTTATAAGTCATCGATCATGATACAAACCTAAGAAATGCAAAACAAACTAAGGAAACATGGGGAGACGTACACGACAATCTCGTCGACCATCAAACGACAAATCCCATCTCTTTGTCCTATAGACGTTGTCATCAGCAGTAGACAACTTAGCTCTCACATTCTTACAAACAGCCGTCATGTTCTGTTCTCCCCACAAAGCAGAAGCTACCGGATAAAACCCTACTCTCCCTAGAAACACCATATCAAGACCCACCACACTTCCCTTCACCGCCACTTCCTTCTCCATTTCCCGAGCCGCCACTTCATCGATAGCTCCGGTTTCATCTCCGTTGGCAACTACCTCGTTCTCCTCCCCGCCTTTCTGCTCGAACGACCCGATTCTTACCGTTCCCAACACGAGTCTTCTACGGTGAAACACCCACACAGAGGGATTCTCGTACGTGACATTGAGTTTCTCGTTAGGGTTTTTGATAGAGAACGTTGCTGACCAGATCGGGAGATGTCGGTCGTTGAATGATATATGTATGGAGTGTACGTGAACGGTCGGTGGCGTTGGTGTAATACAAATGATTAACGAGAGACCTGCCGTGAAAACACCGATGGTCGTGGTGACGAGAAGGAATTTGAAGAGTAAAGACCAACGTGAGATGTTGTTAGCTGATTCCGATATCGATCGGAGTTTAGGAACTTCTTCGGTATCTGTGACTCTTATTAGAAGCGGTTGTTTCATCCCTTCAGCGATGCTTTGTTTATCCATGTTTGGTGATATGTAGAAGTGTATGTACATTAGTTATTTTATAATTTAAAAGAGTCAAATATTTATATTAAAAAGGATAAAAATATTAATTTCTGTTATTCAAGATCATGGTAAAGATTTCATCCCATAAATATTTCCACTGATAAAAAGACTAAATAATGTCCCATTTCAATATATCGAGATCTTCTTCTTCTTTTTTACAAAGGCCGTAAAAATTCATTTGAGCTGATTATTTGAGAGCTTAACTCAATTATGCAATATTGTCGTTAAGATTTCATTCTTTTTTTTAATTGTGGATTTTTGTATTTATTGACAAAGAGTAATTGATCATCAAGGCAAGCTGATTTTCAATACAATTATGGACGGATAACAATGAATTCTTGTTTTTTTTTTTGGTAAGGTTCAATGAATTCTTGTTTGTTGCTAGATTGCTAGATTTTATATTTTTAGGATGTACGTAAGGATATATATATATATAACTTTTATGAAGAGTTGAGAAGGCAGACACCAATCATCTAGTGACAAGTACACTTATATTTAATAGATGATAGCAGCCAAAATGTATAAAATAGTTAAACAAAGATAACCGTTTTATACAGTCAACCAAATATATTTCCGATTAGCAAACAAATTAAAGTACTTTACAAATCAGTAAAAAGTACAATAACTAAATCCGCCTCAATTTTCTGTTGGGAACTCGCATTTCCCGTATCCTGCAACCAACAAAAAAAAACATTAAACGTCACAATGAAACAATTTAGAGACAGACAACAATAAACTGAAAAAGCCCTTTGTCAAAAAAAAAAACAATAAACTGGTCGAGTTACGTACGAGGAGGTTGGGTGACCACGTGCGCGGCTCCACCAAAGTAGCACGTGCCAGCACGACGTGCGTTCTTCTGGTAGTAACTGTTGAAGGCGAACGAAGCGTGTGCTTCTAGCGATTCAGGATGATAACACGTGGCACCCGGCTGAATCGAACGGCAGTCAGCTCCTCCTTCCCCGCAAGCGTAATCGAGAGCCGCCTGGAGCCTCTCCTTCGACACCTTTCCCTTCGACACGCACCACGTCTTCCTCTCATGGTCATGGCCTCTGTTTCCTTTTACCGGCGTTGACCTCCTCACTTTTCCGGCCGCGAACGGGACGTCGTACACTTTTTCTTCACTCGGGTAAAACAGTCCGTAGTTTCTCTCCGATGTGGGCCCCGGTTTCTGGTTTTCGTTAAACAAAGCGAATAAATATACGTTCAGTGGGTCCCTCGGTCTTAACGGCGTTCCTTTACCCGTCAACACCCTCTTCACAAGCCCACCGTTATACGCCGCCGCGTTGGATTCGCTGGCACCAATTTCGTTCTTGTCTCCGGCTGAAGGCCACCCTGTCTCAGTCACCGTCACCTTAACGCCGGAAAATCCGACGGCGGACATGGCGGCGAAAACGGCGTCAATTTGGGCGTCAAGGAGACTGTCATATCTCAACCCAGTACCGGGATCTACACTCCCGGCGTTTGCTCTGAAGAGAGCGTAGTCTAAGGATATTTTGTCGGCGTTCGCTGCGTAAGCGAAGAACGGGTAAACATTAACCATGAGATACGACGACGTTTGACGTAGAAAACCGAGCATCGGTTTAATCACCGATTCCACCAAATCCGGTTTAAACGAGCCGGAAGATGGCGGGTACGAATTAGCCAGCGCGCTAAGAGCGATCGGAGAGGAGACCTTGATCGATTTGTCGAGGTTATGCTTAACGAGAGAGCCATGAATGTTCTTCATCGCGGGGACGAGATACGGCGTCGTGTTACTCGGGTCGACGAACACCTCGTTACCGACGGCGATAGCCTCAATCTGTGTTGCCGGGAAGTATTTCGCAATGTTGGCTTGAACCCATTTGTCGGCAAATGATTTGTCGGAGGCGGCGGAGGAGAGAAGCTCGTTGGGGAGACAGACGACTACTTTGATTCCGGAATTGGCAAGCGCCGTTAGCACACTCTTGTCTGTGTCGAAGATTTTGACACGGTTAATTCGTTGGGATTTCAGGAGTTTCACTACCTTCTCCGGCGCCGGCAGGTTGTTAGCTATCCGGCCGTAATTTACTCCGACCATTCCAGAATCTATGAAAATCAAAAAAAAAAAAAAAAAACGCAAAATAAGAAAAACGTAATGGACTTGAGAATACAGAGACGCAAATACATATATGTAGATGATACATTGATTATAGAGAAACGATTTTGAAGAGACGAAAAGATGATAACCTGCGTCTGTGAAGGAAATGGCAGAGAAGAGAAAAAGAAGGAGAAAATAAGGTTGTAGGAAGGAAACGGCCATGGCTTTCGTCGTTTCTTCAGATGCAGAGCATGAGACGCAGAAACTAGTGTTGTTTGATAGGTATGGAGACAAAAGAGAGTCTTTTTCCCGATGCCGTTTTTATAGGATTCAGGTGATAAAAGAAGTGGAGATGTGGGATAACAAACGGCACGGAAGAATAGCAGAAATTTATAAACTCAAAAAGTGTTTTTTCTAAAGCTCTATTTATAGCTAAAAAAACTTAACATAATTCTGGTAAAGCAACTTTCTATAATTTATATTCAAGAGTCCGAATGTTAAACTGAGTATTTTTTTTATAAATAACTTTTGATTTCTAAAAAGAACCTAAATACTTTTTTTCTTGTTACTTCAACAAAAAACTTCTATCTTTGTATCCATCATCTTCAACTAAATTTGACTTTCCAATTCAATAAAGGAGCCACTTCTTCAACAGATTTGAATCATGGACAGTGGAGAGAGGGGGGCTCACGTGAGAGGCATGATGTTTAAACCAAAATCAAATTGACATTCGGCCCAATCCAGAATATAAAAGCCCATTATAAAAGAGAGGGGAAAAGGTTAAAACGATAGGGATCGATGAGGATATTAACAAACTCTCAGCCATTGGATCAAAAGACAAGATAGAGAATATCAACCGTCCAATAGATGCCCTACGATTCCCAACTTTATGAGAAAGAGGAATCCGATGCGTCTCCAAGTACAACAAACGCGCGGCGAAGTAATTTTTCCGAGTTTCATCAGTCTTTTTATATATATATCTATTTAGCTGATATTTCAGCCATCACTCTTTGATCGCCTGAATCTCTCTCACTTCGGCTGCGGTTTTCGTTCTCTCTCTCTCTCTCTCACAAATCGTATTTTTGTTCGCCGGAGGGAGAATCTGAGCCATGTCTGCAACCCAGGACGAAGACAAGAAGCCCGGAGACGGAGGAGCTCACATCAATCTGAAGGTCAAGGGACAGGTAATCTCTCCTTACTTTCGCTTGCATGTTTTTTGCGTTAAGATTTGGGTTTCCGATTCCAAGGTCTCGTCTTTGTGCGGTTAGGGTTTTTCCCCCTCCGATTTGGCTGCTTTCTGGTCTCGCAATTCTAGGGTTTCGTACTAATAGCGTTCAGTCTAAGTGGGTCTTTTTTTGGGGGTTTGGATTCGATACTTTAGCCTTTTCATGTTTTTGTATGAGATTGGGAAGAGTTTTTGCTTTTCTGTCTACCCGTTTACGTGCTTCTGGTAATTGTTTGTCGAATTTCTGAAACTATAACCCTAATAGAGCTGTTGGTTGATGTTGATCTTTGAAGGTTTTGAATGTTCAGAGGATTGTGTGAACTATGATGTAAAACAATAGCGAAATAAGCTAAACCCGTGTTGTGTAAATGGTTAATTTTCTTAGAAAACATGAGTAACAATCGAATCAATTGTCTGGCTATATATATATCTGTTGGTGGATTTGTAGTCTCTGTACAGTTAGTTTTCGAATAGCTTGGGTGGTTTTATGTGCTTTGCTCAAAGACTTTTCTCTCTTACCACCAAAAGAGAGACTGTAGAGTCAATGTCTTATGAATTTGATAGTGTTGTTTCTTTTTATTGAACCGTGATGTATGTGTGTATAGGATGGCAATGAGGTGTTCTTTAGGATCAAGAGAAGCACTCAGCTGAAGAAGCTCATGACTGCTTACTGTGACCGACAATCTGTGGACATGAACTCCATTGCCTTCTTGTTCGATGGACGTCGTCTGCGTGCAGAGCAAACTCCCGATGAGGTAAACATTCTACTAACAAGCTTTTTTTTTCCCCCTTCGACATTTCCTCTTTCTGATGATATATCTCTCGATACCACAGCTTGAAATGGAGGATGGTGATGAGATCGATGCGATGCTCCATCAGACTGGTGGCGGTGGTGGTGGCGGCCTGAAACTTGTCCGTGTTTAGGGATCGTGGATCATAATAAGATTGTGTGATATGAATGGTTAAGGAGTAATCGGCATTAGGATTTGCAGGCTTGTTTTTTTTTAATCGTGACCATTGTCTTTAGAAACTATAAAAAGATGGTCATGATGGTTGTTAAGGAACCTTTTGGTTGATCTTTTGGTCTTGTTCGTTTGGTATTTGGATCTTATGATGATACTATTTGGGCTTAAAGGTGTTATTAACTCGCTTGTCTTTTGTTTCTGTTTGATGATTTAGTTCCTATGTTTTATCTAGGTAAAATAATCGATTAATTGGGGACCCTTAACACATGTACACTACAGTGAGAATTAGATAATCGGAGAAGAATGATCAGATCCTACAACCCGATATTTGTTGCGTAGATTCATCAAAATGTTATCATTAAGTAGATTCGTCCAAACACTAATGTATATTAAATTTACGCTTATTCTTGTTAATAGTCTTTTCCTGCAACTTCTTTGTAAGCTCAAGTGATCTCTCACAAAATATCTTATGTCTAAATTCAAAGTGCTCAAATCCCATACACATGAAGCGAGATGAGCGAGAGAGAGAGAGAAATGATGATGACGACGACCCTTTTAGTTTTAGATTGTCTCTACGCTCACTCATCACTATAAGATTGTCTTTTATAGTTATAGGTCATCTACTACATCCCTGACCAATAAACTGTTTTTTGTTACTCGTCTACTAATATCTTTGGTGTTTCTGTAACCAACTTTTTGTATAGTATTTGTTAAGCCACCAATGATCTCGAGCTTTCTTGTGTGGCAAGGAATCGGCTGGAACAAAAAACCCTGCTTAGACATATCAACCAAATAATACATCATCTACAACTACAAATTGCTCGGATTTATACAATGACAATCATCAACGCGAAGAACGTTTATATATTTATCACAAACATAAACTTTAAAAGCAAAAATAACAGCCAGCAAGTTTAGGGCACAAAACACCCACAACCATCATGAAGAAAAACACCAAGAAGCTTCAAATGCAACTACCAAAGAGAGTTTGCTTATTTATGCATTACAGACTGTAATTATACATAAAAACCACCCAAGGGCGCCACGGCTGCTCACTGAAGGACAAGGCATTCAGAGGCAGTCCCGTTCGTGATCGGACCTCCATGGGTTCGGTTGCTTTTCTGGTTGACACTGCCACTTGGGTTTTGCTGGTGAACTATGGTTCCTTCAGGCTCCTCCTCTTGGTTGCTACAACCTATGGCTTCAAAGATGAGATCATTAACCTCCTTAAACCTTTCCTCTGACAGAGAAGCTTCCGCAAGTAGCCTCCATGCGTTCTCCTCTGAAGCTCCTTCATAATCCTTTTTCCTCTTCAGCACCATGTGACCACTTATCTCCCACACGGCTGGGTTCACTTGCGTTTCCAACACCTCGGGGCTTACTTCACCTAGAGCCTGTTTCTCTGCGTAACACTGCAATTTACACATCCAAAGCTGTTATTTACTTTATTCAATGGATCCAAAACCCGTAATGATTAAAAGGTTTGCCAGCTAAAGGTTATACCTGTGGCATCAAGAAGATCTGCCTTCCACAATCAGAGATGAGAATGTTGAAAGGAATGTTGTTGTTCTGCAGGCAAACGCAGGCATCTGATACAGTATCGGATAGGTCTTTCATAGAGTTTCCTCCTTCAAAGAGAAGACTTCTCACAGGGTAACTCGGAAGCTCTGAGATTTTCACACTCTTAACAGTGGTAATCATCTTCTTTGAAGGAGCTTTCTCTAATGGGAAAGGCATGGCCAGGTAATATGCCTGTTTCCAAAAAAGAAACACCACAAAATCAATCAGAACAAGTCATCTTATTAGATAAGCCGGCGAAAGAGAGTTTTGCTCGGCCTATATCGGGTAATACCTGAAAGTGAAGATGGTTGATAGTGGCAAAAGCACCCAAGCTGTTGTAACCAAGTCTGAAGTAAGGATTCGCGGCCTCAGCAGCCATGTGAAGTGCAAGCAAAAGACTTTTGTGATCAATCCTCTGAGGCAAGCAGTCAAGAACACGAGGAATCAGCAGGACATGACCATACTCGATTGGGCTAACCTGTTCAAAACAATATAAAGTATTAATTTTTTTGCTAAGTACTATCGAAAACCAAAAAATGGAACAACAAGCCAAGTTCTCTGCACAGATTCTTTACATTGATGGCAACAACACTGGGAGAATTCTCAGGGTCAATAGGCATGCACGGGAAGAACTGAACTTCGCCATCTTCGCCAGCTTCAAACTGGAAGAGCAACTCTTCTTGGCCAACTTTAGTGAAGTTGAATTTGTTGCCATCAAAAGACTGCAGAACCTTATCCACTCGGAACTCGGTCGGCCTCTTCTTCAGGTGACGACCCTCGTTAAGCTGAGCAACGAAGCCATACTTCCCCGGGATGACCTAAAAACAACAGCAAGAAAGACCATCTCAATATCAATGCGGAACAGATTTCGGGCTCCTCCGCAGCAAACATTGCAAGATTAGCTTTATAGAGATGAGACAAGGTAAGAAAGACATTTACTTTGGTTTCGCATGCAGTGACATCGTAGCGAAAGAGTCCTCTTTGGAACCTATCCTCCCACTAAAACACAAGAAATCGATAGCACAAGGATCAGACTCATTCAAACCACAGAACCCACAATCAATTCAACAAATCCGCGAAGCTCTATGTAAATATGATCTACCTCTCCGAGAACGAGGGACTCGAGAAAAGCCACCGGAGGCTCTTTAGCTTCATGGCTGAGTACCAGCTTCTCGCCGGCGCCGGTTTTTTCCAGATTCTTGCATGCATACAACGGAAGTCTTGCCCCTGAACAAACCCATCAAAAGAAATCTTCAAAAGATGAATCAAACAGGTAAAAACTTAAGAAAAAATCGACGATTGAGCTTCAAGGCGTACCGTTAATGCAACAAGCGCCGAGGCAATTCCGTCCACAGCCGACGGATTCATCCGCCGCCTCATCCTTCTGGTAGTTCGACACGACGGTCGGGACCCTCTTGATTTTCAACATTCTCAAAAGAAAAATTCGAATAGCAAAAGAAAAATTCCCCCCACAAAGAAAGCGCGATTGAACAGCAAAAGGAAGAAAAAAAGGAAAAAGTGTAAGAAACCTAAATCCTAAAACCTAATGGAAAAGAAAAGAGTTGGTGGTGGAACCGCCTCCGGCTAGAAAGAGGAGATCGGAAGGGCTGCCGCCTTCAGACGGCAGAGCTCCACGTCCTCCGTGCGGCAAAGGATTAGTCTCGATTAAACAACCCTTGCGTCGGACAGTATGGACATGAGAGCTAACACCCCGAGATATCCCGTGTATAGCCGTGATGCCGACCACCTGTTCCCCGGGATTTGTTGGATTCTAACGCCGGAGAAGATGAAGGGAAAACGAACCCGACACTCAAAACAGCAGAATCCACGGAGAAACGGAATTGAGACTCGAGGATTAAACGAGAAGGAGATATCTTTCGATAATTTTAAGAGATTTCCTTCTCTCTTGTTGTTGTTTGGTTTTGGGTATTTTGCTGATACTGTGTGTTTTGGGAAATTGAATGGCTTTAAATAGATAGGAGATGAGTGAACCAGAGAAGAGAAACGACACAAATTGTATTTATATGAATTTTTTTTTTTCTCTCTTCTTTTTCGTGTGGTTGTGATTCGGACGTGAATTTTCTTAGGTGTTTCCTTCTGAATTTCTCAAACTTTTTTCCTTCCAAATTATTTTGTCTAAATAGGTTTTTTTTGTCCCTATGTCATATTTTTGAAATTTTACTAAAAATAAGAATCTTATCAATTTCATTTTTGTTAATTCAATTTTATTAAAGCCAATATAAGTTATATATATATATATACTATATTCCTATATACTGTATATAAAATTAGTGATAAATTAGAGGCGATATACAATTAATATATATAGTTCATGCGGCATGGGTTTCTTATGTCGTCATCTCATATCATATGTTCTGCCAATTTACAAGAAAAACATATTTATCAAATTGTCAGAGAACTTTTTAACCCCAAAAAAAGTCATAGAACATTATTACGATTTTTTTTGAATCTGTGTAAATACTACTATTATTTTATGTTGTCTTTGTAGATAAATACATTTAAACTTTTATGGTCACATTATTTTTTCAAGGGATGGTGTGTGGTCGTAGCAAAAACAACTCCAAGGCAGACTCAGTAGGGGGCTGTGAGGACCATCCTTCGGTCGATCTTTTTTTGAAAATATGATATCAAATTTAATAGAAATAACGTGAATAGTTTCAGACCATAGCTTTTTTTTCTTCTTATGTCCTACATTACTACAAAGTAACCCAACAAAAAAAAAAAAACAGAAGTGAAGAAGATTCGGAATCTAAGAAAAGGATATGACTCTTGAACCACATGTGTAATAGTGGTCCATTATTGGTTTGGCAATCTCTGCAATTGTACTCCCACCTTCCATTACCGTTTGTTTCATTTATCTTCCTTTTTCTTTTTTAAAAACCATTTTGTACCATGTTTTAAAGACCTCAATTATTTCATATTTTATTCAATTTTCTTTATTGCGCTGAGAAATTACAAATATCATATTTTATATGAGTATTTAAGTTTTTGTGCTGATTTTTCTAGGAAGTACAGTATTTTATCACAGAAGAACAGATAAAAATCGACAAAATAACATTATACAATTTTTAACACGAAGAAGTGTTTGAGCAAACAATAGCTAAGTTGGTTTTTTGGGGTACTCTCTTGGTCCGAAAATGGTAGAACCAACCCTCACATTGGTGCTTCCCATCTCAATCTGCAGTTCCATAAGTTAAAAAGAAACATAACGTTGTCAAAGATCTTCCACATTTATAGTTCCTCAGAAGAAAGTAAGCAAGAACAAGTGATATAACAGAGAGACAAAGATATTATACCGCTTGCTCGAAGTCACCGGACATGCCCATAGACAGTTCAAATTCATCCTCAGACATTCCAAGTGCCTTGCAGACATCAGCTCTACAGTTTGAAAGTGTCTGGTCCGAGATTATATATGGGGAAAAAAAGAATAAACCTTGGTAAGCAAAACTTATCGAATGTAGAACAAGAGCCTTAAGTATCAAATCATGTAGAATCCAGTAACATACCCTGAAGTTCTCTGGAGTAGAAGTATAGTCGGGCATTCCTATAGTCATTAATCCGGAGAATACCAGATTGGGACATTGCATTTTCACATGCCTTGCTAGCTCTACAACACTTGAAGGTTCGATTCCAGATTTAGCTGCATCAAAATTTCAAGAACAAAAACAGTTAGCCATCGGACGAAGCTGGAGAAAGAAACCACATTTACAGGAAGGAAGCTCGGTGGTAATATACTCACAAGCTTCTCCACTTGTGTTCACTTGGACCAAAACCTTTAATGGATGTCTGCCAAGACTTGAAACAGCTCGATCAAGATGATTTGCTACCTGTTCATTCGAGTCAAAAATCAATCCCAAGCAGCAAACTGAATTGTTCATGTTAGAAGCCACATATCTGTCATCATTCGAACATAGAATCGCACTCCTACCCTGAAAAAACTATGCAAAGGAATTGCAGGAACTAACTCAAATCATATTATACAAGTGTGTTGTTATCAGGGAAGTTATATTTACCTTTTCGCCATCTACACCATGAACCATTGCCAAGTTTGGGACTCCAGCTGCAAACATTTGATGAAAAGACTTTCACTTTCACTAAACCCATACATCAATAGAATCAATTCACATCCAGAAAACTTGGAGATTCATTATTGAAGACTGGGAATTAAGTCACACCCAATAGCGTTTTGGCTTTGTTGCTCTGTAAATGCCCAACGAAATGCCACTCTATATCTTCCGGGAGCTGTTTATATCAAAGCAAACGAGAAGCTCGTAAGCATCAAAGCACAAAACCGAAAACACTGAGCACAAGATATTACTACCAAGAACTATTTGGATTCCCAGGAAATGAAGAGAGTAACTTTGAAACGCGAGCTTCAAACGATTCCCTTGTATAAAAATCAGCGAACGAATACAAAGAAAGTTAACAACACCGATTTACCTGTGGAGCTTTGTCGATGAACTCTTGAACGTAATTCTCGCCGAAGCAACGGTGGCCAGCGTCGTAGATTTGGCGGATAAGTGAGACGGGTTTAGTCTTGGAGACAGCAACGACCCTTACCCGCTCCGGATCTCTTCCTACATTCTCCGCCGCCTTATGAGCCCTACGGATGACAGATCGCAGCGCAGCTGCGGCGGTTGACTCCACCGCACGAGCTGCCATCGCCAACCGCTAGATACTGTACACACGCAACGCAAATCGCGTTTTCTCTTGTCGGGAATACAATTTTTGTCCGGTCAAAATTAAATTTTCTGACTTAATTTATTTGTGGGATATAAATTATATAAATTCATTAATCACGGACCACATGACAATGGATAATATAAATTGAGAAAATGTCCACTGTCGCCGACTGAATCCTTTTTTTTTCTACAGTCAAAAGGCCCAAAACTTCAACAGTTTTCGAAGAACGTCTCTAGTATTGCCGACTGCCGAGTGGTAAATATATAGCTTCCAAAACAATTTCGTGTGACCTTAGCGGTTTACTCAAACTCAATATACTAAAAAATGAATTCAATGAGTCCATATATATAGACGTTGATCCTGTGGTGAAAGAAACAAGAGAAATACCACTAAATGGTTAAAGATCGGTTGTAAATTAATCAATCGACATATGTTATTTCAGAATTCAAACAGCAAATTATTTAGCCACCATTTTTCACGTTTTTGCCCTCACTTGCTTCTCAATTTTTTTTCAACAAAAAATAATTTATTTACCCAAAATCAGACGATTGTGTATAGAGACAAATAACATATTTTGACAATTACTTTAACTTAAAAAGTTATAACTTATTTTATGTATAGCACATGGACTAGCATATTAATATCTTGCTTTTTGCTTTCACGCAACCCTATAGCACATCTTTGCCGTCTGAGTTTTTTAATATACAGATATCACCAAAGCGAAACAGATACAAGAGAACGAAACTGAGACAGAGGCAATTAAGTTTGTTTGCCGGAAGAATATAGCGCCTCACACGCCGGCAGTTGATTATTCAGGTAACCTCCTTCGATCGGTTGTGTACGTGATTTCCCACGTTTTTGCACTATTGATTTTGACTCCAAATCTTTAGTCAAATCTTTTTCGGATGATTTGCCGTTGTTTCAATCGATAGTGGGAAGTGATTCCCCATTTAGATTGTTTTTCAATCTCATATCTTTTCAGAAATATCACCTAAGTGTCAAAATATTAGGTCTCAAAACCAGATCTTCAACAATTCAAACAAAATTATAGATCTCCAAACCAGATCTTTACATGCATATATGCACATCCGCTCTGATGGTTAGCTAGATAAGCTTTGGGATCTCGACTCTTCCGGACAGATAACTTCATTATAAACCCGGGTAGCCTTGTATCTTATGTTATAGATCTCCAACAATGTAATCAGATACCCGAATATATGGATGTCTAAGTTTGAGTGTGTGGCCTTATAAATCAGTATGCGGATGTCTTTTTGTAGGTGGCTGTGACTTCAATAATCAAAGGCGAATTCGATGGAACCCCCCAAAGTGCCTTCACATGGGCTGATGTAGTAGATGACCCTAAGGTGGATCACATGGAGATGCAATCTTCATCTTGCAGTCTTGTTTGTTCTTGAACACATGCCCCAAATACAGCTCATCTCCCTTAATATGCCATATCCAATATGACATTCTCTGTTTGATCCAATCCTGAGAAAATCCGTCCATCAAATACATTAGATGTCTTTAACTTTTTTTACTCTTCAATGTAATGTTCTTTTAGCAGCCATTCAGATAATCGTCCATCATATTTAATAACACTTCACTAATATTAATAGACAGCTATATAGCCTCATATACTAACATATATTATAGTTATAGGAGCAACATAAAGTCTATGAAAGAAAATATCACACTATAATATAATTTACGGGCACACGATCCGCTGAATAAATATAACAATCTATAGAACAATATAACTTTTGGAGACGAATATAGCACTCCATTAATGTTAATAGACATCTACAATACACTTATACCATTACAAAGCTCTATCATTTTCAGATAACCCGTTACAAGTTTATATCCATCCAGCAATACAAATCGCCACTGCCCCCTGCATATTTCATCCACCACCCTTGTTATGCTCGCTCCAGATCGCTGAGGTCTTTTCAGAGCTGCACCATTGTTGATAACTCCTAACAATGTCAGTTTTACGAGAATATTGTTATTAATAATAATAACACCTCAAATTAATACATAGATATTCATAAACGACATGCTCGGATTCAGAATATACGTTTACCTAATTAATTCGGTTGTAGCGCTATATGAAATTACGTGATCTACCTCGTACACTAACCATCCATCATAACAAATAACCCTCCAAATACGATAATAACTCTCCATCAATATTAGTAGTCAACTATAACAATTTGTAAACTTATATTTTACTCACTATACTCATGTATCATTATAAACTCCTATCATATTAAATAACACGTTATAATATATATATATATATATATATATATATATATATATTTGCCACGTATACAAATATGGAATTAGAAGCAGGAACTAGTACTTGTGGACAGTTCATAAACCTAGGTGTGCCCATATATTTTAGTTTCCCGCTCCGCTCATCGATTTCTTGTTGGAACATTACATATAGCATTAACTCTCCATCACCTCCGTCCGTATCATGCTTACGTAAGGCGGCGACGAATCTATATTGTCTCCACATTTAATATCAAGCCCAATGTCAGCTTTAATTAAAACCATACATGTCCACATATCTAATTCATTCATCAGCTTGCCCATACGCATTCGATGGCAATAGACGTAAATAAACGAAGTTTCGAATTACTGTTCGTCATCCTTTAGCTGATTCCTTCTAGCTCATTTGGATCTTGCTATTTACCTAATAAAAACTCTATCCTGTGTCATCCACTTCTTTATCCCAAGAAACAAACGTCAAATAGAGATCTTAATAAATATAACTGTAAATAATAACAATCAAATTTGTAGTGCAGTGGTTGAATTAATCATGTGGCAAGTTCCAGTCCCACATCAATGGTTTTTGTGTGGCTTTTCAAATAACCACTATTAATGAACCATAGTTTTTTCTTTGTTTAATATTCGACCCGCCTTGAAGAGGATGCTCCACAAAATCGTTTATTTATAAAACAAAAACATAATTGGGATATATTCAGAATTACACTTATTCAATTAATTGGACGCAGCTAGCATCCACTGTAAATAATTGTTCAACCCTTGTATATAATAGAGTTTACTTTTAATTAGCTTTACGCGTAGTTAGTATACCCCTCGTCTGGCGTGATAGATCGATTACGCATTCACGCGTAGTTACAGAGACCGTAGACGCAGAATTCGCCGACCTCGCACGGATGGTTACATTGTCCACAGTGACGTTTATCGTAAGCCAGGTAAACGCATTGGCCGCGACAACACGTCTGTGAGAACTTGCATTTGTTCTTACACGCGCCACAGTTCTTGTCGTCACTGCCCACGTCTATGCATTTGTTGTTGCAGCATGTCACCGTCGTGTTGCTTCCTCCTCCTCCACCGTAGAGCCTACATATCTCAGGGTTCTTGTTGCAATGGTCTGCCGAGTTAGGGTTACGCTCGCCTAGTACTTCCTTCTGAGCCAAGAACTGACTCGACCTTATAGTCGGCGCCTCCGGTTCAACAAAGCTCGTGTGCTCCACGTTCGTGCTGGTTCTGGTTGTGATGACTGCAATTGTAATTGCGGTTGTTATTGCGATGGTCACGAGTAGCTTCACGAGGGCCATTTTTTTTTCCCCTTTGATATTTGAGTTAGTGTAAGGGAAAGATACTGTTTTCCTTTTTTCTACTTATAGAGAGAAATAGATAGAGAGATCGTTAAGATTGATAAGGAGGAAGAAGAGGGGACACTTCGTTAGGGTTTTATAGTTGTCGTCGAGTAGAGTTGACGCAGGAAATGCGGTGGCTGATTAAATGTTTCTTACCATTTGACTTGAGTTTGAATTAAACAAATTTATACAAGTATTTTTGACGATACGAAATTGAAAGAATAAAGGAATTATGAGAATACTTAAACTACAGATGTGCATGTATATTGTTATGCTGCGTGCGTTACGCCTTTACAAATAAAGGAAGAAATAGAAAAATATATATATATCTATATATATACACTAGTAACATATATATGTTAGTTTGCAACCCAAACTAAACACATGCATGCAAACAATACAATATTCAAAGCCATATTCATGCATATGTTGTTATTTTGATATCCATTAGTTTATAAATGACTCAAAATTACACAAACTTGTGACTAGCCTACTACTATTATATATCATCTTGATTCTACAAAATTATCAAATAAAAACCAATCCCTCATCTGACATGATAAAACCAGCTGATGACTACTACTAGTTACATCTTTTTCAAATCGTTTGTAAATATTTTGAGGAAATCATAACTCATATAAGAGGTTGCAGTATTTGTGTATTCGTTTTTGAAAAGCCGTAGTGTTTGTTAGTTTAACAAGATGCAAATCACTAACTGTAATAAATTTCCTTAAGCAGCACTTAAGCATAATTACTTAAGATCAGCTATAAGCATTTAGACCAAACACAAAAGGGATTTTTAAACCGCAAGAGATAATTGATGCAAATGAATGATAAGTTACGTAGTCCATGAATTCATCGCCCCATGGGCCGACCTGAGGCAATTCAGGCGATTTGAACGAACAAGCAAAGGCGTCCATTCTTTAATTTACGAGAACCAAGAAACAGTTAATTTATATTTATAACGTACACAAAAATTAGTCCACAAGCAAGCTGTAACTTCTGTACCAAAACTCGCTCCTCTTTGTAAACTTAATCAGCCAGGCAGCCAGCAATTTACAAACGGTAATTAAAGATGAAAAGTTTACTGAAGATTGAAGAATATATAGATTTATAAACATGTATGCAGATTAACGTTAACTATTATAAGAAGATATTCGAAGAGAGGAAGTTAACATACCCTCTTCTTGACACGACGTGGTTGCTAGATTTTGACTCAATTTCAACATTCACGTTTTTGTATCGCCACTCAAAAGTCAACATCATTATGTATTTTGACCTCTACGGATCTTCTTTTTCGGATTTATTATCAAACCAGGCGAAACTCTTACACAATAGAGATATGCTATTAAGCGTTTCTCTCTGACTCTACGAGAGAGTGAAGGGAGACATTTTGCATTACTTTTATAAGATGAAGGCCCGTATTGATGCCCCAATCGTAAGAAATTGTTTATAAATCCTAGCCCAAGCATTAGAATGGGCTACGTCTTGTTGTTAAGCTTTGATGATTTTTTAACCATAACTAATCTTCTATTTGAGTATTTTGCCATCGTTCTTAGATAGTAACAATCAACAACTAAGCCAATTCCGCACGATGTGCGATTTGTTAAATGTTTATTTTATTTTTTTTAGATTTATGTATCTATTGTTAAAGTATTTTGATCTATATCAATATGGTGTTTCAAGTACGGTCTAACACAAAATGTCATTTGTTTTATTTAATTATATCTTAGTATCGCGTTTTGAGTACGTTGAACATAATAAGATCACATTCTATTTTTAGTGGTTTTGGTTTACGGCACCAAATTAGTGATTCTTATGACTCCAATAAAAATTCTTATGGGCTTACTACTAAGGAATTCGGAAGTCGAGAGTTATGTCAATCTCTATGGCATTTGCTCGAGGATCTTAGCTTAATTAATCAGTTCACCATTTATAATATTTTTTTGTTTAGAATCACATTGCTATCATTTTTAAAAAAAATGAATTGCAACTAGGAGACCATTCAAATTAGCTTTTGTTTGATGCATTCCATGTCATAAAATTAATTTATAGGGTCCATCTTCATATGTTACTTATATAAACCGTCACCAAAATAGTAACAAGTATAAATCACCAAGTCTTGATTCATAAGGTCTTTCATTTTAAAATGAAGTCAAATCAATCATAATTTTTATTGTAAATGTTTGTTCATCATTGAATTTCTATATACTGTATTACACACTTAATCTTGCGGTTAAATATATATACCCAATCTTGACACAACTTTTGTCCAAATCACATGCATGAATCCGCGTTTTCCATCCAACCCCAAAAAAACTCTCAGATTATTATTATATTTCTAAAATTATTAAATTCTATTACAAGCTCATTTACATAACAGAAGAAATAAAGTAAACTCTGAACTCCAACTGTATCCTCGGAGCAAAAGCAAAGAAGAATAAATATTCCCAGAAGAGCAAAAGCATTCTAATTAAAGACATTATCATCCGCATTCACACATTCACACATCCACACATTTTGTTTTCTTTACAGCCGCATAAACAAATAAAAAGAAATAATTAATTTTTAACTTTGATGAAGTTAAATTAAATCCTTCTTAAGCAGGGTGGATTAAACATCTCGTTCCCACGTTAAATGGTCTGTACTTGATTTGATCCACGCGCTTCCGTCACGTGATGGTTTCACGCGAGTTTTGATTTCTATATTTCTTCTTTTTCTTTATTAACGCCGTCCACTCTGGCTTCATGCCGTCAAAGCTGTCTTCACCCATTCTCCTCCCGCCACGTGGCTTGTTTCACGCTCTCGTTTATTATTGCCGCCACAAACGCTACCAGAATCTGTGTTGCCAAATATGTATGCAAATGCAACTGTGAGGTTAGTGTGTTCAATGCAATTAAGTAATTAACTCAAAATAATCTGTGAAAGATACGTTTACAATCACAGGATGATATATATATATATATATTGCATTGAACGTAATACCATCCTAATTGTGGAATAGTGTATACTACAAATATTTTACTATAATAAATTAATAATGAGTAAAAGAGGCACAAACTCATATACATAAGTTTCCAGTTGTACTATTTTCTAATAAGCATGGTTGTCATTGGTGTATGAATCATGCTAAATATTCTCATAACTCAGATCACTAAGTGACGTCTGTCAGAGTATTCCATCATCTTGAATTTTGAATATAAATGTAAACTGCTGTAACACAAAAAAAAAACAATTAGTAATCTAAACGTAGATAAAGTGAAAGATAAGCTAAAAGTATTGGTGCTTAATAATTGGAGAAGCAGAAATCAAGAAATAAAAGAATAAAGAATCTCCGACTTTGAACCAAAAACCCCATGCCAAAGTCACATACACACACTTCTACATACCCAAAACACACACATAGTTAAATATATTCCCTTGTATGTGTATATAAGCTTCTTATAAGCCATTTGCATAAACAATTCAAAACCCTCTTACATCATCACAATTCACATTTCCTCTGTTTTTCTTTTCTGCTCTGTTCCAATGGAGATTCATTGGACAAGAGGACCAATAATCGGTCGAGGCTCCACGGCCACCGTCTCAATAGCAATATTAAACTCCGGTGAGATACTCGCCGTCAAATCCGCCGACCTATCCTCATCAACATTCTTGCAGAAAGAGCAATCCATCTTGTCTACATTGAGCTCTCCTCACATAGTCAAGTACATAGGCTCTGGTTTAACGCGCGAGAACGGCGGATTGGTCTACAATATTCTGATGGAGTACGTTTCCGGTGGGAGTCTTCACGATTTAATCAAGAATTCCGGCGGGAAGTTGCCGGAGCCGGCGATCAGATCATACACGCGTCAGATTCTCAAAGGTTTGATGTGTCTTCACGAGAGAGGGATTGTTCACTGCGACTTGAAGAGCCGGAATGTGCTTGTCGAAGAAAACGGAGTCCTCTCGAAAATCGCCGACATGGGGTGTGCTAAACCGGTTGATAAGTCGGGATTTTCAGGTACACCGGCGTTTATGGCGCCGGAGGTTGCTCGTGGTGAAGAGCAGAGGTTTCCGGCTGATGTGTGGGCTTTGGGGTGTACGGTGATCGAGATGATGACTGGATCAAGCACTTGGCCAGATCTAAACGACGTCCTTGCTGCAATGTATAAGATTGGATTCTCCGGTGAGTCGCCGGAGATTCCCGGGTGGATATCGGAGAAAGCTGATGACTTTTTGAAGAAATGTTTGAGGAGAGATCCGAAACAGAGATGGACGGTGGAAGAATTGCTTAAACATCCTTTTCTCAACCACGACGAAGAATCTCAACCTAGCGATTGTCCGAACAAGACTTCTTCTCCGAGCACTGTACTGGATCAACGATTCTGGGATTCATGCGAAGCCTCGAAAAGTCAGTCAATTTCGATGGATCACGTAGACCCTTTTGCTGATTACTCGGATTGTGGGGATTCGCCGGCTGTTCGAATCGAGAAACTCGCCGGGAATGAATATTCAAGCGTTCCCGATTGGGATATGGTAGACGACGACGAATGGATTCAAGTGCGAGACGACGACACTGAAGAGACCGAGAAACGCGTCGGTGACGGTGACGGCGACGAAGACGCGACTAGGGTTGAAGCAACGTCATCGTCGTCGCAAGCGATTGAAGAAGTTGAAGACTGGATATCGGATCAAGACAGCTTATTCTCGGAATATTCCGCTGACGACATCATTAATGATTATTTCTACGCTAATGTTGCTGCTAGTGAAGGAAATTTAATTGCATTTTATTATCATAATGCTGATTCTGCTGAAGATAAAAATGTACCCACAAAGCAAATGTTTCGTAATAATAATGTGACAGAAGAAATACATATCTACCTCATTTTTTATTCATTAACAAATCAATTTGGTTGTTCAATGAATATGCTACGCTATTCCTTTGAACGTTATGCCTTATATAGCCAAAATAAATTTCTTATAATTGCCTTCTTAATTAGTTTAAGACTGTTATTTTAATTAAGATCTGCGGTAGAAATGTTTTGCTTAACGATTTTTAGTAACTATCATAAATTACTAAATTTCACTGTATAAATAAAAGACAAATCAAACAAGTATGGATTTTCCGGTCTATATATCCTGTAACATTTTGCGATCGTTACTCTTTCAATGTTTGAAACGGAAGTCTTTGTGTGTTTTGTTGGAGGGTTAAGTAAATAAACCACTCTAAAAGATGAGATTGACTATAGACAAAACTCAATCTATATATGGTTGGTCCAAACTTTAGCTAGAGAAGATTAGTGTGTGTTTACTTTTACCTAAACCACAGAAGACCCCGTGCGCCGGTGTTTACTTAGAACACCTCCATCGGGTGAGTCTCCTAAAGAAAGCAGACTAGTCCCAAAAAAACGACTAAGTCAACGTCCAGCGTTATCTAAAACACACACGTACACCGACACGGACGATTTCGTCGGTCTTGAGTTAGTTGTTAGTTCTCTACTCTGAACATCATTTCGACATTCATACTTTGACACCGATACCTAACAAAACCATTGATGTTTTGCAGGTCAATGCCGTACAATTTATTAGGTACCGTTTTCTATAAATTTGTTGAACATTTATATATTTTCTTTTTCTCCCCTACTTATCCAAAGAATATTACTTAGCATAATGCATAAAAAGAAATCCTTTGGTCGACGACAAAAACTCTAAATCACTTTCACTATAAATGTATATTTATGTATAGTACAAATTTTTTTTTTTATTATTATTTATGTGTATAGTACAGTTCAACTTTTATTTATTTATTGAGAAACTTATATTTGTAAGTACTTGTCTGTTTTAAAAGCATTCTTGAAACATTTAAATAGAAAAACTCTTCTCTCTAGTCTCTAATGCGGAAAGGGACACGATAAAAGATCGATGATAATTATTGACGACTCAATGGTGACGTCGCCATGAGTTCATCAAGCACAACACATACCAAAATTACCTGTCGTATCATTTTTTTTAAGTTTCAGTATTGAGCTTGTAAACTTATTCAAATTTCCACAATAATTGCGGTAAAAAAATAAAGCCCAATTAGGTAAAGCATTACAAAATAAATTATTTGCCCGTAAGAGAAGTTCTGAAGCCCAATTCAAGGCCCGCTTAGTAATATAACTTAAAGCGATCGTGGTAGTGAGGTCTGTTTAGTGCTCGACTCTTGACCAGTGTGACGAGTGCAGCAGCAATCGAAGCAGTCACTGAATTGCTATCGATGGAGGCTACGGCGGCGCCATTTTCGTCCATTGTCCCTTCTGCACAAAGCCTTTCTTCGATTCGCGCTTCTTCTCCGAATTCATCGTTTCTCTTCAGGAAGAATATTGGCAATGCTAATCTCAAATTCAAATCTCCGAGAAGCCTCTCCGTCCGCTCATCTTCTAACTCCGATTCTGGTAATTTTTTTGCTGATTTTCGTGTTATACTTGATTCAATTATGTTTTTTTTTTTTTTTTCTGGGTCTGAAGCTTTCTTTTGTCCTCTGACTCTCGGGTGAGTAGTTGTGACTTTGCTTGACTACGGAGCCGGAAATGTCCGGAGCATCCGCAATGCTCTTCGTCATCTAGGATTCAGCATCAAAGACGTAAGCTTTTCAATCTAAGCTAATCATAAAACGTAGTGATGTTATTACGCGTCGTTAGGCAAAGGCTGATATGGAATTGATTGTCGTTCGGGAACTTGAAATGTCAGGTTCAAACGCCGGGAGATATTTTGAGTGCTGATCGTCTTATCTTTCCTGGCGTTGGAGCTTTTTCACCAGCCATGGATGTACTTAACAAAACCGGGTAAGTTAGACTAAGCTCTGTGGATTTACCTTTATTGACTATATAACACCGAGTAGCTTTCTGTTACCCTCGAGGTCATAGAGGACTAGAAATGTAGCGAATTTGGAATCACATCTCATGCTTAATCATTTAAAGTTTGGTTTCACTCTCAGGTGGTCATAAACTTACTGTGAACGATGTCTTATGATGTAGTTCTTCATATACGATTTTGGTTCTTTGGTGTTTGTAGGATGGCTGAAGCCTTGTGCAAATATATTGAGAATGACCGTCCGTTTCTAGGCATATGTCTTGGGCTACAACTACTATTCGAGTCTAGTGAGGAGAATGGACTAGGTTTGGCTCTAGTGCCCCCTCTTCATCTTATGTCTTCTAGAAGCTTTCCTCCTTCAATACACTCACCATGATCTACATTATTATGATGATATCGTATATTGTCATGTTGCGTTTTCTTCTTATACAAATGTATATTTGTGTCAGTCAAAGGTCTTGGTGTGATACCGGGAGTAGTTGGACGCTTTGATTCTTCAGCTGGTATTCAAGTACCACACATCGGCTGGAATGCTTTGCAAGTGAGAAAGGATTCTGAAATTCTTGATGATGTTGGAAGCCAGCATGTTTATTTTGTTCATTCGTACCGGGCCATTCCGGTATGTTCACCTTTCCTTCTTTTGTTATTTTCGAATACGTGCCATTGTCTTTCTCTTCTTCTACGTGCCTTTTATAATTTTGGTTCTGTTATTGTTGTAGTCAAATGAAAACAAGGAATGGATTTCGTCTACCTGCGACTATGGTGAATCCTTTATATCTTCCATAAGAAGGGGAAACGTGCATGCTGTCCAATTCCATCCAGAGAAGAGCGGGGGTATGAAATTTTAGTCTAGTTGTTCTTTTGGTTGATACCTTCATCTCTTATTTAGAGTATATTTTTTTTTTCAAATTTAAATATCTTACTAATTCAGAATCTGGAAATATTCAGAGGTGGGGCTTTCTGTCTTGAGAAGGTTCTTGGATCCAAAATCACAACACAGGTAGCTTTCACTCTAGCCTTACTACATCTAGAATATAAGCTTCCTTATATTTTGGTGTGCCTAATGGAAACTACATTTCACTTGAAGACAGAAGCCAATGGAAAGGAAGGCTTCAAAACTTGCAAAAAGGGTAATTTGTTTGTCCTGTTCTCATTGGAAAAGTCTGTCTCTTCCACATCATTGTTTTTCTAATGACTTTTCTATTGTCTTTAGGTGATTGCTTGTCTTGATGTGAGGACTAATGATAAAGGAGATCTTGTAGTAACTAAAGGGGACCAATATGATGTGAGAGAACAATCTAACGAAAACGAGGTATGTTAAAATTGTTGCTTCACTGTCGTATGTTCTTTGTGAAAAAGTGAAACATTTTTGGTGTTTGGATGTTTTTGTGATACGGCTATATCTTACCTAATTATTATCGCGCTGAACTTATTAACCATTTTGGTGCAGGTTAGAAACCTTGGCAAACCTGTGGATTTGGCTGGGCAGTATTACAAAGATGGCGCAGATGAGGTATGCTTTCATGGTATATGTTTTCATTGCAAGATCATGTTAACAAAGACATCTTTACTAGACTTGGTTTGACACTTACCGTGCTGCCTATTGGGGGTTCAGATCAGCTTTTTAAACATAACTGGATTCCGCGATTTTCCTCTTGGGGATTTGCCGATGATACAGGTACCAAGATTTGTTATCCTTTCTCATTGGAATTGAAGTATTACTTCTGTAGTTCCCTTTATTTTCTGATTTAGATCACTTTTCATGCTTTATAGGTTTTGAGGTACACATCAGAGAATGTCTTTGTACCACTAACTGTCGGAGGTGGTATTAGAGATTTTACAGATGCTAGCGGCAGGTACATGCTAAGAGTTTTCTTTTTAGCTTGCTTCTGTGACTATGTCTGTGTGGGCACTATTTTCTTTCTTTCTTTCCTTTTTTTACCGAGGACATTGCAACAATTTAATACCGAGTTACTTTGTCTCAGGTACTATTCTAGCTTGGAAGTTGCTGCTGAGTATTTCAGATCCGGTGCCGATAAGATCTCCATTGGAAGTGACGCTGTTTATGCTGCAGAAGAGTTTATGAAATCAGGGGTAAGCTTGTACTTTCCGTCTACTTGATCGTTCTTGTTGTTTATGCTAGTCTCTAATAGAGCACAGATCATTTAATCCCCTTTTCTCGTTTTTCTTGTAGGTGAAGACCGGAAAAAGTAGTTTAGAACAGATATCCAGAGTTTATGGAAACCAGGTAATTCTTCAGAATAATTGGCCTTCTTTTTTATATTTAAACCGCAGATTGCAGAAAATATAGGATGGTAGTCGCTGTACACAATGATATAAATAGCTTAGTTACAGATGGAGTAAACAGTGAATGATTGTTTGGCTGCTTTTAGATAGTTGTTTGCTATATTCCCTGATTTATGTGTGAAATCGGAAGCAGCTTCTCTCTTGATTGATAGAGCTTTTCTCTTCACAGGCAGTGGTTGTAAGTATTGATCCTCGTAGAGTTTATGTGAACCATCCTGATGATGTGCCATACAAGGTCATCAGATTAACTAACCCAGGTATGCTGGTCTTTACACCTCTCTTTATACATGCTTTGTACCATAGAAAGAAAGCAGTCACATTGAATTGAATGTCTCCACAAATTTGCATACAAATGTAATAACCGTGGCTTAATCTACTCTTGTTAGGCCCAAACGGGGAAGAATACGCATGGTATCAGTGCACGGTAAAATTCGAGCCACTCTTTTGCAGTTTATTTTTTATATGCTACATTCCTTAATAACTGGTTTCTCGACTAAAAGGTGAGTGGAGGACGAGAAGGTCGGCCTATTGGAGCGTATGAGCTTGCGAAAGCGGTTGAAGAATTAGGTGCTGGTGAAATACTATTGAACTGCATAGACTGTGATGGTGCGTACGCTGAAAAAGTCATCTAACTCTTAAAGCCCCGTTGTTTCAGATTTTAAAGATTTCCTCTCCTTATGATAAGCCTATCTTATCTGCGAGTTTCAGGTCAAGGGAAAGGATTTGACATAGACTTGGTAAAGCTCATCTCTGATTCAGTAGGCATACCGGTGATTGCAAGCAGTGGAGCAGGCATCCCCCAACACTTTTCCGATGTGTTCGAGAAGACAAACGCATCTGCCGCGCTTGCTGCTGGCATTTTCCATCGGAAAGAGGTAAACTTTCTTATTCTCTTCAAAACCTTCGGCAAAATCTGTACCAACTATTATAATACCGTTTTGTATGTAGGTACCAATCCAATCTGTGAAAGTGCACTTACTAGAGAAGGGCATAGAAGTGAGGATCTGAAAATTTCATGTTTAAGGATTTACCAATTCCGTTCAAGTGTGAGCATAATAAATGTCACGATCGTCTCTGTATCTTCAATAATCGTAAGCTTGGAGCTGCTCCCACAGGTCTAAAGGGTTCCTCTTACAATTGATTTCCTTTTGTCCAGACAAAGCTAATTCCTTTGCGATGAAAGTAGTTGCATTTATGTTATTCTTTGTTCCCTTGACAATAAGAAAGCATACAAGATTTCAAATTTTTTTTTACCTTTCAGTTTTCTCTCACATCCAAAATGTTCATTTTTAGTAATATAAGAAAACATTTTAACTTTCAAGAATTATGAACTCTTCTCTCGTTTAGATGTTTGTAAAAAGAAAGCACACGAATTATCATTCAAGGCCTGAGAAAAAGAAGAAATTCATGGAAAATCATTCAAGTCGAAGAACCAACCTCAAAAGGGTATTTTATTCGATCAAAATTGAACATATTATTTATCAAAATGTATAACAACAAACAAGTTAAGAACTTAGACACTGATGCCTTTTTCTTCCCGCCCGGCAATACCCCGGAAACTGTTAAAGAAACTTGAAAGAGGAAAAACTGTTGTTACCCAAAACCTTTTGAAGACATTGCAGGTCTCCTCAAATCCAGACACATTTTTGACTCCTTGAATCAGATTCTTTCATATGTCAAGAAGAAGCCTTTGAGGATCCTCCACAACATCCTTGACACGGCGCAGGAAGTACACAGCCTCTCTTCCATCAATCAGTCTGTGATCATAAGTCAGTGCGACGTACATCATTGGTCTTGGCACTACGCTTCCTCCTACCACCATGGGGCGTGACACAATCGAGTGCATACCGAGTATAGCAGACTGCAAAACCGCAGGTAGCTTTTAGTAAAACAAACTTGTTTCCGATCAAGACTCGGTGAGAGAGTTTTTGAATTAAACCTGAGGAGGGTTGATGATTGGAGTGCTTATGAGACTTCCATAGACACCACCGTTTGAAACGGTGAATGATCCTCCAGCCATCTCGTCTATTGATATGGTTCCTTCATTTGCCTTCTTGGCAAGCGTGTTTATCGTCTTCTCTATCTCGGCAAAGTTCATCTTATCAGCACCTCTTATGACTGGTACTACAAGTCCCTGAAAAAGAGACCACAGATAAGAATATTTCACCCTCACAAACATGGTCGCAATAAGGATGCAACGTAGCACAAATCGATGATAGCTATAGAGAATGTGAACAAACCTTAGATGTACCAACAGCGATACTAATATCCACATAGTCTCTGTATATGATATCATCCCCGTCGATAACTGCATTTACAACTGGTTGATCCTGGAGGGCGCTAACAGCAGCCTGAGACAGATAACGAAGAATATTGTATTATGTTTTGCTATTTAACTCTCGGTATTGTATAATTTATATCGAGATAAAAAAAAAAAGTAAGTATTGCATACTTTAATGAATCCAGACATAAGCCCCAACTTCACTCCATGTTTCTCATAAAATGCATCCTTGTATTGAGATCGGAGCTTCATCAAATTAGTCCTACACGAAGAAAAGAGATCCATAATTAGCAAACAACATCAAACTGACTAGTGCACCAAAAGGACTGGCATAACTGATATAGACATGTCAACTTGGAGGGGTAGTGGTTTAGCTGTTACTCACATATCGACTTCATTGAAAGTTGTCAGCAATGCGAAAGTATTCTGAGAGTCTTTCAACCTAGTTGCAACCCTTTTCCGAAGTCTTGTCATCGGAACCTGCAATGTTGATAGATGTCATATCAGTATATCACCAATTATGTAAACTGTTAAGCTTTTAATTAAGGAATAAAACCAGCTTTATATAAACTCTTGACCACAGTCATTTAATGAATTCAAGACAGGTGCAAGAATAAACGAGAGATTTTGCGTACCCTTCTTTCTCTTTCCTTTGGAGGAAGTTGCGGTTCTTTAGCAGACTGTTTAGGTGGTGGTGGCGAGGATGGTGCTTTGGGTTTCTCTGCTACAGGAGCACTTTCCACTTTAGGCTTCTGCTTGTCTTCAGCAGGAGGAGAAGGCTTGGGATCACATGTCTCTGGTGTCTTCTCAGATGGGGCAGCATGAGGAGCGTCAGACTTTGCAATAATGGCGACCTTGGTTCCTGGTTCTACAGTATCTCCTTCCTTGACTAGAAACTGCATTACAAGACCAAACCAAACAAGTCTACTCAATGTGAACTTAAACCATAGAGACACCAGAAAGAGAACAACAATAACGAGTGTGTGGACATAAAATAACACAAATAGCAAAACATATTTACCTCTTGGATCACACCACTTGCTGGGCTAGAAATATCTATCGTCACCTAATGCAGAAGGATGAATCATATAATAGTATTTGGAAAAAAAAAACTTAACCGAAACTCTTCCAAATGTCTATAAACAAAAGAGCAAGAAAATAAATAAATATTGATACCTTATCAGTTTCAATTTGCGCAATAGCCTCATCAGCCTCGACTCTATCACCAGGTTCTGAAAGGTAAACATCAGGAAGAACTTTTAGACATATGTTCACGCTTCAGAAAGAACCGGAAAAGACAAAACAAATGAGAAAACATACTCTTGAGAAAAGTTGCTAAGGTGCCATCGGTGATCGATTCCCCCATATGAGGCACAACAGCTTCCACGGAATCTCCTACAATAAAATAAAATGGAAAGTGTGTGAAGAAACCTACAAATCCAAATCAAGCTACAGAAAAAAAAAAGATTGCAATAATCTGCAACAGAATGGAGGATCCTGAATTTCTTCTAAGCAATCATAGCTTCACTAAAAGAAAGGAAGCTCTCGGGTAAGAAGAACCATTACCACTTTCAGATGAAAAAGGCCTGACCCATCTTTGCAGGGTAGATGAAGCTGAGTTTGGTAACATCGAGCAGCCTGAGTTCCCTTGAAGAAGAACTAGAAGAAGAGCACAATTTAAAGAAGCTAGAAGAAGAACTAACAGTAAAGTCACATGGGACAGGAGTTGTAAGAAATACCTGGCAAAGCAAGGTTATGAAAGCTATGTCCATGGTTACCACGATGTAGTAATGCCTGCTCAGATGTTCACATATAATTCAAAATGAAACTTTTTAAAATTGTTCGTGCAGAAGAAAAGACAGCTCTAAAATTTACAGAAGTTGGAATAGATCAGAAAACAAACGCACCGCTGATTCTGAAACAGCCAGCAAGCTTGGGGAAGACGCAGCAACACGAGAAGATTGCAATGATTTCCCAAATAACTGATGCATAGATAGAGAGAGAGAGATAGAGAGAGGCAGATAAACCGTCACATTGATTCGACAGAGCCGACCAAATTATTTAGATCCAAAATTGAGCACTAACCGAATGAGAAGAGCATTTACTGGCAGCTCTCCTTACAACAGCACGCAACATCATCTCTGTTTTATGAACACAAAAACAACATATCAATCGAGATTCATCAGAACAGCCATAAACGTCGGAATGTTCATCAGCCAAATTGAACAAAGAAAAGATTAGGATTTTTCAGCCACATCTATTGTTTCTCAAAGCCCATTTCCAAATTATTTTAAAAACATTCAAATACCATACACACCACAGTCAGATTCATGTTTTTTCCGATTTGGATATTTCTCGCTACCGAAAACAAAAACGAATAACGAAAGAGCAGAATATTGACAAATCTAACCGCAATCGCAAAGCGGGGGAAACCCAGAACGACGAATTAAATCGTTAGGGGGTTTAGATTTGGAGGATGGAGAAGATCGGGAAACGCATATGAGTTTTGAGCAAGTCACCGGAATATGGTCAAAGTTCATAAAGGCTTTGTGAATGCGATTTACACGTGTCACGTTACAATTCGATGACATGAACAGAAAAGTTGTACAACTTTGGCAAGTGCACACGATTTTAGACTTTTAGCATTCCGGTTTACTTTGAACCGGTTAGAAAGCTCGACTGGTGTATTGTGTGTGAATGTGACGAAAAAAAACATCTCAATGAAATGAATATTGGGTTATTGAAATCACTAAACAACCTCATTTTTCACTGTTGGGCGTACGTCACATGCATTTACGATGTCCAGATCACATGCATAAGTATAATCTTGACAATATGCTAATAATCTTACCCAAAGAAAGCAAGTCACATGCATTTACAATGCCAAAACAATACACAAGAACGTAAAAATGTGCTTAAAATAGAAAGGAAAACATGATCTTATGACAAAGAAAGTAAGCCAAAAGATGTTTCAAAGGATTTCGTGTTGTCTACAGAGAAACAAACTCTGGCATCTCTCTCTCTCTCTCTCTCCCCCCTTTATTTATATCATATCCTCTCTTTTATTTTTCAGTTGTAATTTTACCACGTAAATTACCAAGAGTTACCCTTTTTCTCTCTTTGTTTTTGCCATTTTCCTCCTTTGTCATTTGTGAGGGAGGAGAGGTTAAAACAAAAAAAAGACAAAGATTTTAACTATGGAAGAACTCAGGGGGGTGAATATCGTTTTGTAGGTCCTACCTTTTCCAAAACCCCCCGACGTTCAACCAATCACCGTCGAGATATATCATTGGGCTCCACGTCCAACGTACCAATCACACAAGAAAATAAACAAACTGAAAAAAAAAAACGTCTTTTTTGTCTCCCCCTGAATTTTCGGATCAAGGGGACGGCAGAGAGGGAGCTATGATCCTGTACGGCGAGGGAGCAGCCAATGAATGTGGATCAGACGGAGGAGATGGAGGGGTGGTTCTGAAGAAGGGACCGTGGACGGCGGCGGAGGACGAGACATTGGCGGCTTACGTGAGGGAATACGGAGAAGGGAACTGGAACGCGGTTCGGAAAAAGACGTGGCTGGCTCGTTGCGGCAAGAGCTGCCGCCTCCGCTGGGCTAACCACCTCCGACCTAATCTCAGAAAAGGCTCCTTCTCCGCCGAGGAGGAACGTCTCATCATCCAGCTCCATTCTCAGCTCGGCAACAAATGGGCTCTCATGGCTGCTCAGGTATTGACAACAACCACTCTCCTCCTCCTGTTTCAAAATCTCATCTTTGTCAACGTTACGGTGAATCTGATCAACTGCATTGTTTACCTCTCTCTCTCTGTTTTGCAATAGTTACCAGGAAGAACAGATAACGAGATCAAGAACTTCTGGAACACGAGGCTGAAACGCTTCCAACGACAAGGCCTCCCTCTCTACCCTCCAGATATGACCACAAACAACAACAACCATCATCATCAACAGACGTATCTTCCACAGCCCAACACGCCTTCCTCCCCAACACACGCTTCTTCCTTCTCCTTTCACACTCCAAGCTCCCCTCTCTTCACCTTCCCTAAACCCCAACCTCTCCTTCAACCTCCTTCGCTGCATCTTAAACGTTGTTACGACACTGCCTTCAGTAGTTGCCTCCCTACCAAGCCCTCTTATACTTCCCCGACCTTTCTTCACACCCATTCCTCTACTCCTTCCTCCTATCAGTCTACCAATCCGGTTTACTCCATGAAACCGGAGCTCCCTTCAACCCAAACTCCATACTCTGCCTCTTTAGGAGTCTGTGAAGTAAGCAACTTCTCAGACAATGCCTATTGTAACCATAACCTTAACTCTGGTTTGGATATAAGTACCTGCCAGCTTTTAGAGGATTTGATGGAAGAGGCCGAGTCCTTAGCCGATAGCTATCGGGCTCCTAAGCGGAGACAACTCATGGCTGCTCCAGAGGACAATAACAACAACTTCTTCGTCTCGGGTAGTTTCCGACATTGTGGTTCTTCCAACGATCTATGTTCCCCGCAAGGTAAATAATCAGACACCTCAAAAAATGCTCCTAGTACACATCTGCGAAGTTCTTGACTGTTTTGTTTCTGTTAATACAGGTTCGAAACCGGAGGAAAAAGAGTCTCTCCAGATGATCACGATGCAAGATGAGGACATAGCAAAACTTCTTGACTGGAGAACCGAAAGCGGAGAGATCTCAAACGGGGAATCCTCTGAGATAACAACAGAGGATAACCTCGTCCTTGACAGTCACCTTTTGGCTTTGCTGTTTCCAGTTGATGAGGACGACAACAACGATACTAACAAGAACCCCACCGTGTCCTACTCGTGGGACAACTTGCCAGGGATCTGCTAGAGAAAGTGCTTAAGCTCAATTTAACATGTTCTTCATTGTACAATTCAAATCCTGGATTATATAACATTGTTACTAAAGCTATTTGATCCTCACGTTTGTGAAATGACAAGTATAATCTTGATGTGTTCATTCACCTATCTCTTTGCACAACGTCCATTGGCCCAAGCAAGCATCTCCTGCCACTGGGATCTAGCTGCAACCTCTCATAAATCATTGTGTGTACATTTCTCTTAACCAAGGAAAGGTTTATTCTATGTTTCTGATTTTCTTCTCATATGTGGTTTAACCTTTTTGATAGACACAAGTAATCCCATTGATTAGTCTACAACCATGTCAAAATACAAATTGAATAAACGAAGCAAATCCATAAAGACATGAACAAGTACGACTCAAAACTTTGGTGTTTTAAGCACAAAGGCTGAGAAAACGCCTCAGTGCAAGGACTCTGAAAGTGCGCTCGTGGAGTCTGCCTTTTGCAGCTAAAATCTGCATCTGTGTGCAAACGACTCCTGACCTTCAGAGGACTGAAAAAAACAATCACAAAAGAAACAAGAACGGAGGGCAAAAAGCACCCTTCTCATCTCAGTTCACCAAGATACATACATACATACATATATAGAGAGAATGTTGTGTCTATACTACAACGTGTTGAGCGGATTTGTCTCTGTACTCTCTTATTCCTCAATGTGTTTCTTCTGCTATTTTGTTCAGAAAGATGCGGCCATTAGAGCATTTGGGCCTTCTCCACACCTCCGATGAACATCCTTCATCCGTTCCGCTGATCTACAAATCCCACTGCAGCTCCAGTCGAACGAGGCAACACAGATGTTGCCTGCTTGCGCCTTCCACTCGCAATCTGCAGTTTCTCATTGATCAACATTGGAATTGACCAAACTTCCATACATGGAAATAGATATGGGAACTTGAATTTTCTTTTACCTGTTGTACCACAACATAACCTACGGTCATCTACATGCTCCACATCCAATCCAAGAAACCATGATCCTAAAGAGACATCCTCATTCACGTACTTGTGAAGTACGTTTCTGCATACATAATATGTCCTTGGTTAACACACACAAGCATATAGCATATTAGTTTTTGGATTTGTCAAGGCTATGGGAAAAAAAAAAACTCACTGGTTTATCGATATATAAGACGCCAATTCCCTAGAAATTGCGTAGAGCTGACCAGTGGCATGGCGGAAGTATTTGTTACCCTCTTCTCCAAATTTCCAGTACTCCGGTTCATGATATCTCACTCCTCTTAACAATGGAAATTTTTAGTGAGAAATGAAAGTGAGACAAACATTGGAAACGAGAAGTAGTCTCTTGAAGTTGAGAAGCTTACTTCTGAGCAAGAACGGGTCCAGATTTCATGCAACCAATGTACACTCGGGGCTTCATCTGGTATCTCGCTAATTCTGCTCCGAGAGTGGCTGCAAAAATATCACTAACAGAAGTGAGCAAAAGGCGCACACTTGAGATGACAAGAAACATAACAATTGAGATATAGTAAGAGGGCTTATATCTTTTCACCTATGTTTACATGCACATCATCATCTACTTTCACGTAAAAGTCTGCATCCCACAGTTTGAAAGCCGTGGTAAAGTAAGATTTAGTCTTTGCTGACAGCTCGAGATAACCTTCAACGTGGTCCTGCTCAAACAAACTTCAGAAATTTAAAAACAGAAAGCCGCAATAACGGGAATATATGACTAATATGACTACAAAATATGACCAGCAAAAACTCATACCAGCCTCAAGAAGTCTCCATGTTTACTTTCTTCAGCCTGAATCGCTCTATCAAGAATTCCACCTGGAGTGGCACTGCGCACAAAAAACCACACAATCAAGAATATTATATAACATGAATCAACCTCGATTTGTGCCAGTCTAAGGTACAAGTTTTACCTATGGCCTATAACGAATCGCATCACGATCCCTTTCTCTTCCTCGAGCTTCTTTCTCTCCTCACCTAAAGAAGACCCACATGTTCAGTCCCAAACAATATATTACTTAAGGCTGATGAAAACGCTTTCTTAGAATTAACATACCAGGAGGCATCCAAGTAGCACGGACTGAATCCCTACGCTTTCTGCTGCTAAACGCAGTATTAACCCCAACAACCATCAGATACTTTCTTTTGGTGACAGTTTCAGAGAGCTTGAAGTCATCAGAGACGGGTGAACCATTCATGATGGATTCTTGAGCGGCTCTCGCAGCCGCTAACTCCATTTCCAGAGTCGAAATCGTTTTGTCGAGCGTTCTGCGTAAACACCATCCAAGCAAAACCAAAAAGCTCAATGCCTAAATAAATAAGAACGAAGTGATGTTTCATATCAGATCTTTTTTCACTTACTGAATTGCATCTGGACTCTTGTAAACCTCTCTAGGGATGTCTTTTGATTCACGCTTCAAGCCTTTCTGATAAACATGAAGAATTGCTATGAACAACTCGGAATTCGAGAATGCCTCTAGTGTTCATGATATATACAATCGATTCACCTAAATGAGAAAACTTACTTTTGATGAATCACAGTCCTCTGACACTAAACGCAGTCGTTCATCTGAAGCTTCCCTTGATACAACATTGGCTTCAGGCTCTGGCCACATTCTATTAAAGAAACAACAGAGTCTGATTAGGGCAAAATTAGAGGATCACATCTGCTTGCTTGTGACTGTGTCGCATATGGATTGATTTTGGTTCTTCCACGAACTACGAAATGACTCTCGAACATATTATCTAATACAGATTATACTTTGTCTATAAATGCATGTCTTTACTTACTTTCTGAAGAAATACAGCTTTTTACCAATAGAGAATACAAAGAATGAAATTTAAGAATCATTGTAGTTTTGGCATCTAAACAGGAAAACTCAACCATATTTTTTCCCGGAAAAGAAGGATTCCAATTATATCTGTCTTCCCCACCACATATTCAAAACTTTAAAAGCATGAGTTTTCACGAAAATGTAAATCTGGCTGTTCCGAAAGCGAGGGAATTTTACCCACCGACGGTCCCAAAAGTGATAAATAGATCAATTCAGTTTGTGATAAAAGTGGCAATATTTTCCCGCAAAAGTCGTAAACAGATGAGTAACAAGGATTTGAAATTTAATTAACAGAGCATTATTTTGTTACCTGTCGGAGAAGAGAATCCCCGCGCAGAAGAATCCGATACAGAGAAAGAAAGTCCATTTCTTCGAGACAAAACTCTTGGACGCAGACAGCTCCAATCCTCTATGGTGGTGCTTCAACGACATTTTTTTTGTATGTTTCTAAGCAAAAAACATAAGAATCTATCGAGCCATAAACCCAGAAAGAATCTCAAAGAGCTGCTAAATAAGAGACGCTCATCTCACGACGCGACCCGCCCCGAGTCAACCGAGTCAACCCCAAAAGCTCCAGTTTTCAGATCCAGTAGATCGAGACGTTTCCTCCTCGGAAACGGAAACGGAAACAGAAACAGAAACAGAGAAAGTTAAGAATGTGATGTTGATTGGTCCTAGAAAAGATTGGAGACGAATGTAGGGAGAAGACGACAAGAGAAGCCGTGGCTTTGTTCTCTCGCTTTGTGCGTGGAATTCGAAGCTGGAGGTAGATGAACGGAATCTTATTTAGTGTTGGGATAATTAAATTAAATTATTATTTGCTTTATTAGTTAGTTTTCACTTTACAGTAATTATATCAGGTAGATTGCAGATTAAGAAAGTAATTAAAATTGAAGCTACCGACATGACCACTCGACGATTCAATTGAGCAACGAACATAGTAGAGTCAAAACTCAAAACAAATCAAAAACGTCACACTTACAATCTTTCATTTGCATTCTGTGTCGATTTTGATTTTTTTTGTTATACATTTGTGTTTTCTCACTTTCTGTGTAAGTTATTAGGCTATAATAAACGAGAACGAATATTTTCGATTCGAAAAGTTTAATCGAATTTCCCCATTCACATGTTCGTTCCTAAGCTGTCGAAGAATGGCGACAAAAGGAATCAATATCGACCACGTGTGCAGCACATGATCCTCTCAATCAATAATTTCCCTTACAAGTTACAACTCACCTCTATTTTTCGGTTACTAGTACAGTTTTATATTATTATTTTTTCTCGAAATAAACTGTTTAATTAACAGGGAAAAATCTGAAAGCCTGTCTTTTTGTTCTTCTTTCGCGAGTGTCAAACGCAGTTCGAATAATCTCTCGTTGTCATCGACGGTTCGAATCGTGTAACTCAATGAATCTTAAACTCATACAATCTTTACTTGGAAGTCTTTTTGTTTACCAAACTTTGAGTCAAATCTTTAAAACCTTACATCACCCGTCTCAACAGTAATAGACACTTTTATTATTATGCCAAATGAAATCACCTATATATAGCAAACTAGAGTTACTTCTAATAATTCTTCAAAAATAAAAGTTTTTCTAATGACAATGGAAATATATCTAAACATTTCGGGTCATACATATCTAAAAAATATATTATACAATCTTGGTCTATTCAAGAAATCCAGTTTTCTTCAACACTGCATTCCTAACGTTGCTCAAGTCTCTTCCTTTCAATTTCCTTCCAACTCCTTCCATAACCGAAGACGACGATGATCGACTGCGCCGCAGAAAATACTCCTCCGGTGACACACTCTCATCATCATCATCACCATCATTATCATCATCGTCATCGTCATCTACGTTCTTCTTTGTCTTCATTCTCTGAACCATTGACCAGTCAGGGGCATTGACAGGAGCCGAGTATTGTCTCATAGGTGCCATTCCTTCTTTGCCCTGCCTCTGAGGGATCATTCTAGGTTCGCTTGGAAGTAAACTCTGGGTTGAGAAAGAGGGCTTAGTCGTATGGCTGCTGATCATGAACGATGATTGATAATATCCATCAAGAACATCCCATACATCATCTTCTTGAAGATCTCCATCTCTCAAAGATCCCCATACCTCATGTCTCATGACGTTATTCTCCATTGATACTCACCGGTTTCTAAAAACATAACAGATCAACAAATAGAGATCTTTAATTAGCGAACTTCTCTTAGCTAGTAACAAGATAGCAAAGAGAAAAGAATGTAAGAATCTACGTACCTTTTGTTTTAAGAGCTGAAGCTTGGAGAATATAATAATATAGAGAGATTTATAGAGTGGAATCTGTGTCTGGAGAAGCAAAAAAAGCTGGAGAATTAGAGAAGAGAGAGGAAGAAAGTGACACAAGAGGTGTGGGATTGAAGAAGAGCAACACATATAGATTGGTTCTTATTTTTGTCTTTATAGATATGATCCAAAAACATGGGAACCTATACAACATACGTCCGGACAATAATTTATCATCATCAATATCGTAGCGTTATGTGATGAGGAAGAGGAGTTAATTTAACAGTCAAACAAAGTACACTGTATATAGTCCTACGTACACTAGGAATATGTAGCCAAATTTACTTTTAGTGTCTTTAGCACAGGAAGTAATTTACTCGTGTTTAATTTACTCTTCAAGTTATAAATATTAGAAAATGGGTACCATATGGAAAATCTATATAATATCCCACTTTTTGTTTTTAAATAAACCAAAAAGTTCACAGATTCATCCCCTTTAAAATGGAAAATCTGGAGCCTTTGACTTTTTGACAAAGGTTTCATCCAGACGACTGCTTTCTAAGATCAGAATAAGTCGACTGTGATAAATGATAACAAATACACAAAAGAAATGGTAAAATCTGATTTCTGTAGAATTCACACTTTTTTTTTTATAAATCTAAAATGCTTCTAAATCTTTGAGATCATTAATTATCGCTTTTTTTTAGTCCTCTTAGGATTAAAATTACAGTTTCATAGATAATTAGAGGAAATATTATATATGGCCGTATGGCGGCTAGTTGTTGTGCATGTTATATAATTGCATTTACATTTAAACTAGGGTTGAAAGAGTTGAACAAGTTTTTGTTAAAAAAAATATAGTAGTGATGCAATTTGCTTTTCTAGTTAAGAGAACAAACAAAATGTTTAGCTTGAAAGGAAGATTCTTCAATGGATGATGAGTACTTGGGCCCTTTTGAGTTTTTGAGTAGTAGCCGTCATTCATCGAACTTTGTTGCTCTCTTTTATAACAAAAATAGAAAAAAAAATAAAAATCACTCACTTCAAGATTTTGATTTTATCTAAGCTGACCTAATCAATCTGAGCGTGTGAGAGCGACGGATTTAGTATTATCTGGGCCTTAATCAACAATACATTTGGGCGGTCCAAAATAAAATTTAACAAGTTTTCGTGTAATATCGTCTAAGATCATCATTATTTTTTAAAATCACCACCACAGTACAACAATACATATATAGCTGCACACAACCTTTATTATTTTTTCTTGTAGATCACTAATTTTAGACTATCTATTGTATATACTTTCTTCAATTATATAGGATGTAACCGAGGGGACAAGACTAAGTTTTAACATCAAAAAAATTCTGATAAGTTTTTGTTTCTACAAATCATAAGTGGTGCAAAAGAAAGTGAGTCGATGTTAGAACATTTAAAAAGAAATTTATGTTTCCTATCAACCTCAACGCCACATCCGTAAAGTGAAAAGAACATTTGTATGACCAATCTTGAAAATGAGCAAAATCCACGTTTTAATTAAAGGCTAATCATTCATCATCTCGTATTTTAGCTATTGAATTGTTTAGATGGACCACTCTTTTACTAAGCTACTTCCCACTGCATTGCCTTTTAAGATTCAACATCTCACCAGAAATTTAGTAGAATTTGCGATTAATTGGTTTAACCTATATCAGCTTTTCCCGGATTCATGGACAGGGAGCATGAACCTACATAACAGAGGTGTTGCGGATTCTAATTTCAACTTAATGCATCATATATGTATTAGGGTTAGACAATATCAACATCGGAAAAAAACAGTCAAAGCAATTCCACACACTCTTCTTGCTTCAATACTTGAAACTAGAGGCGATCAATATAAAATTCGCAATCAGAGGAATAATGGACATAATAATTTAACCGTGTTTTTAAGATCAATCTTGTATCACCTTATCATCTGTTGACCTTCAAGACCAAACCCAGATAATTGGGTAAATGACAGCATCTTTGAAATGATCAACTCGCAGTCACAATAGATAAGCTATCAGTAAATTAAATGAAGAAGCAACATGAATTATCATAATTGAAGCCAACTTGGGAATAATCTGAGCAACCCATTCAATTAACAAAGTGAAATCTTCAGTTATTGGGATTTCTGTATATATAAAAGTCTGATGAGTATTGAAGATCTTTCCCAAAGTGTAACAGTTACAAAGTACTTTATTACAGAAAAAAAATCAATCTACAGAAGAGGGAAATCAACTAAGCTTAATTCAATGAGCAAGTACAACATCGTTACTCAACACGTTGCTGTTACCATTATTGGATTCAAGTACAGAGTTTGGAGAAGGGTTCAAGTTCATCATCGTCCGCAAGACAGATCTAGCAGGACCCAGTTTCTTCCGACCGATGCGATACGGACCATAGATCTTGCTCAAGAGATCAGGCATCTGGTCCATCGTCGGCGCCTCTGCGACAGGGCTCTGGGAAGAAGGCGAAGGCGGGTCGACTCGGTCTGGGAGAGAGCGAGTCAAAGGAGAGTTGGATCTAGCGTTGATTCTAGAGTTACGAATCTGAGCAAGAGCCCCTGGCTTCAAGTAGCGGTGGAAACCGTCGTTTTTTCTCACCGGCGACGTGGAGAGTCCTTTCATGGATCCGAATTGGAGAAGAGATTGTGAGAGAGAGAGAGAGACTCGAGAAGGAAAGTAAGGGAAACGAGGGCTTTTGTAAATGAAGGAGCGGGTGTGATGATGAGAGGCGGGAAAATTGGTGTTGAGAGGTGGGAAAACAAAAATGAGGTTTCTGAGTGAGTCGTGCCCTTTAGCCTTTTAGGGCTTTGAAAAGGTACGAAGCGGGAGTTTGCGTTTTGTCATGTGGTCATGACGCGGTTCGCGGCCGAATGGTCAGATGAAACGAAACCAAATGATTTAACCGATAGTTAGCCGACACATCTTATGGCTTCACAGTGAGCTTTACGACTCACTCCCGATGAATTTTATGACCGTCGTAGCTTGCTTTCATTTAATAAATAAAACGAAGCTAGTTTTGTAGTAGAATCATGGTGACGTTATTATTAAACATTTTGTTGGGAGTAGTTTTCACTAAATATCCGTAATCGGGTCGGATCTTCATCCCAACCCGATATAACGAAACATTGGTGGATCCGGATCCAACACTCGAACCCGGTGTTATTTTTTTGATACGGAGTCGAGCCGATCGGGGGAACGAATAGTTCTGGACGTGTTGCGTGTTTGGATCATACAAAGAAGAAATCGGCGGGAGAAGCTATGTCGAGGCTATGGGCAAGATTTGCCGGATTCTTCAGCAGCAAGAGTTTCATCGGAGCTGACAAGACTGGTAACAAGTACTTTTCCAGAATGGAGGAGATTGACGGATTCGGCGAGTATTGTTCTTCCTACCTCTTACCTCTATTTCATTAAGTTTACTTCTCGTCGGAGTTCTGTCATTTATGTGAGACTAATGACATCAAAATTCGCTGGTCTTTTGTTAAAATTGCTGAATTTCTTTGATCTTTGTTGGTGCGTTCGACGAGATGAATCAGCTGGCTTTTCCTGTTGTATGTCGCAGTGAAGTAAAAGAAATTAGAAATTGTTTTAGTCTGTGGGATAAGATTAAATTCCGTTTCAAAGTCTTGTTTTGATTGTAACCTTTGGAATTCGATTAATCAGAGAACTTGAGAAAGGATTGTGTTTCTCTTTTCATTCATGAAACGATTCATCTATCGTGTAATGAGCTTTGGGAATAATGTATTTGATACCCAAACGAAACTGACAAAAGTTCTGATATGTGCAGTAAGATGTTCTGATTTATTTCTTTCTAATTTCCAGTGAAGGAGAAAAGATGGGTTGTCTTTAGACGAGAAGAGGATCCGACCTCTATTCCTGGTAACTCCTCTTATAAATTGGGTTGTTTCATTTGTATGACCATATATACATTCATTACTCTTGGGTTTTTAAGATACTTAACCGGGGTGATTTGTCAAAACAAAGCAGTGATGTCAGATTTGAAACATCTATAGAATATTTCTTCCGATCCAATTACATTTTTTTGTTTGATCAATGTTGTAGTTGAATGGATATGCTGGCTGAATGGGCAGCGAAAAAGGGCTCCTACTCCAGAGGTAAGATAAACTCCTACTTAACCAGAATTATTTGTGGTCAGTATTGTGTTCTTCCTCATTTAGATTGGCTTTATGGATTTAGTATCTGGCCGTTGATGTTGGTTTTTCTTACTGGTCCAGGAAATGGCTCAGCTTGAAGCAAGGCGTGAGCGTGTGAAGCTTAATGTTGCTCGTAGGTGTTCCAGATTATCAATACATTCAGTAGACATTAGCTATGCTTTTAAAATGTCTCACTAATCCTTGCTGCAAGTAGTTTATGACTATGATGACTTGATTTTGGGAATCTAGAAGTTCTGAGTGAACAAAGTCGAATGTTATTATTGCGTCTCTGTGTACTAGCAAGTCAAGAACTTCTTGTGCTTCTGTTCATTGAAAGTCGCTTCAAGTTCTACGCAAATGTTTATTGTTTTTTCTTTTGCCTTCGATTCCTTGTCAAGTTCTCAAGAAAGAAGAGGAGGAGAAGAAAGCCAGAGAAGGCACTGGACGCAAAATCACGAGCATCGGTAATTAACATTTAGTGCCCACAAAGTTTGTTTAATTTGTCTTTCCAACTATGAAGTGGACGCTCAATGCTCGCTCTCTTTGTGTAAAGGTAAAGTTGAGGGTCCGGATTTGACAAGCTTTGTTCGCCACTTTCCAGCGGATTCAACAGGTATACACGTTCTCTCTATCAATTGATTAAGGGAGTCACCATAGTGTGCTGAAGACAAACTTCTTAGGTTTCGTGTTCTCCCATTTTCTGAAATTTCATTGTATAATATAATCAAGATTGTTGTGGACAGGCATTTACACTTTGTCCATTTGTGTGATAAGAAATGCTTCTGAGTGAACTTGATTGATTTTTGTTCAGCATCTTGTGTTAACTGTTGCAGTGATTATTATAGTAGTTTTGTGAACTTGAATCAGAAACATGTTTTGAATTTGCCTTGTGAAGTTTGTGATTGTGATGGTGTTGACTGTTGGTAGTGAAAAGTTCCTTGTATGCTCATTTTTGATTACTGTAGCTAGAAGGGCAATAAGAATTGTTCATATTCGCCATTATATATCCTTTATGCCATTTGTTGTTGATTAAAGGGGTGATCTTGCTACAGTGCTACTTTTCTTTTAACCAAAAAATGAGATTGTTGTTTCATACATTCGTGGCAGTAAGACTGACAGTTTTAGTTTTTTTTTGTGTGTCAATGCCTTAAGGTGATAAACAAGGGGAAGCTAGTGAAGAAGCGGATGAATCAAGGTGAATCATCATGATTCATATTATCTCCTTACATTCTATCTTTTGCTAAATCATATCTTGCTTTTACAGGGCCAAGGAACATGAACCCGAGATAGCTACTCCAGAACCACCCGAACCAAAGTAAGTCTAGCTGGTTTTACCTTTTTACTCTTAGTTTGTACATTCAACCACTACTATGCAGAATCTATTCTCTATGAACATGACCTAATGTATAATATGTATTGTGTTTGGTATGATCAAAATCCAACCAAACTAATGGTGATGATGATGATGATAATGCAGGACAACAGAGCCATCAGGGTCTGGATCATCATTTAGGCCCGGGACATGGCAGCCACCATCCTAAACACATCTCATGTTCGCGCAGATAACAAAGCAACATAATTTTCCGTCCAATTATTTGTTTGATGTAGTCTACAGAAACCGATCGGTTTGAATCGTCCTACAGTTGAATTAGAGACCATAGCGCTTTGCAGGACCCTAGATTTGTGGCCTTTGACGTTGTTATTGAGGACATAGAAGAGTCAAAATGAGAAGCCATCTTCTTATGAATTTTATTTTGTTTCTTTGGGTGGGTTTTGCCTTGTCTCTTGGCATTGTGCTTGAGACTTAAAATTGCCTTTGTCCTTCATAGCTAAAGAAGAGCCTACCTACCCTACGTTTTTCCTCGTTGACTTTTGTTTATTAGAATTTAAACGATTTGTTTCTTGGGTTATATCATGGTTGAATGAGTATATATTTTCATGTCACAGGATAGAAGAAAATACGTAAGTACTAAGTAGTGAATAATTTTTACAATTAAGAGAAGAAAACCTACTCTGATTGTGCCAGAAACGGGTCAATCAAAACGTGGTATTACCAAAATTAATGTATAAAAATGTAGAGGAAGACAATTACATCTACTAGTTATAACTTTATGATCCAAAAGCTCGAAACGAAGTTATTTTCTTTTATTTTGCGAAAAAGTTCTGGTAAAAGAAAACATTCCCCTCTTTCGACGAAAAGCCAATTATTCGAATGTTCTCACGTTGGTGGTGTCTTTAGCTGTAACCTTTTATAATAATAATAACTCTTTCTATAATTTGCAAGAACAAATATTTTTTTGCATATCTCAAAAACAAAACGCAATCGTTGACCAAACACAAATTGCAATCGTAGTTATATTGTTAATCAATGGTCAAAGAAGAAATCATAGCCGTCCGTTCTCCCGGCTCGAGTCCATCCAACGGTTAAACGAGAGAGCCCAGACGTGGCCTTGGCATTGTATATTTAGTGAGTGTGTCCTTGAGAGCTTCTGCCATTCGGCTCCTTCAGAGGCTTGAGGAACGAAATCTCTCTCTCTCCCCCTCGTCCTTCCACGATCTTCTTCCAATAAACGTTCCATTTTCCAGGGTTTTGTTGATCCTTTCTCCCTCTGAAGCTTTCCCAATCTCTTGAACTGTTTTGATTTTCCGTCATGTATCGACGCGCCACCTCCGGCGTTCGATCTGCCTCCAATACGCTAGCGAGGCTTTCTTCTTCTTCCCTCTCGAAGATCGCCTCGACTCCCGCAGCTTCGGCTTCGGCTCCATCCGCCTCGGTCCTCAATCAGACGAACCGATCTAGGAGCTTCTCCTCGGCTCTCCGCTCGTTTCGAGTATGCTCTGCCACCACGCGGTGGAGCCATGGTGGGAGCTGGCGATCGCCTGCTAGCCTTCGTGCTCAAGCTAGGAATTCCGCTCCGGTGATGGAGAAATTTGAGCGGAAATACGCCACCATGGGTATGCCTGTTCTCTTTCGTTGTTCTAGAATGGTTGCTCTTAACTTGTATTACACGAATACGTATTTGATGCACTTCTGCTTGGATCGATTTCGTTTTTTATGTTTTGACATACGCTGAATCAGCTGATCTTGAGATTTCACCCCTTCGAATGTCTCCAAAGAGAATTTCCTAAATTCTGAACGTTTTGATATATATTCTTATGCAATGAACATTTGATTTGCTCTTGCACTTTGTTTTCTCAAACTGATGTGGTCTGTGCCAATTGAATTATGGTTATGCATTTCTAATAGTATTGATATGGAAAAAACGCAGCTTCTGAGCATGCCTACAAGGATATTTTGACAAGTCTTCCTAAACCTGGAGGTGGAGAGTATGGAAAATACTACTCGTTACCAGCTTTAAACGATCCAAGAATTGGTATGGTTCCTCGAGAAATTCTTTCTCTATCTATTTTTGTTGTAATGGCTTTCTGGTGAATGTAACACCTTTTCGTGATACTGCAGACAAGCTGCCATACTCTGTGAGGATACTGTTGGAATCGGCAATTCGTAACTGTGACAACTATCAAGTCACAAAGGATGACGTTGAGAAAATCCTTGACTGGGAGAATACATCTACTAAGCAAGTTGAAATCGCCTTCAAGCCAGCCCGTGTTATTTTGCAGGTTTGTAGCATTAATTTTCTTTACTTCGATACCACTAAGACTCGTCTAGCTTTCGTACTTAACAGTCTTTTGTTTTCTTGCCTAGGACTTTACTGGAGTACCAGCTCTAGTTGATCTTGCTTCTATGAGGGACGCGGTGAAGAATCTTGGTAGTGATCCTAACAAGATTAACCCCTTGGTTAGTGAACTGTCATATTGTTTTTGGGGTTTGTAATATGTTTAATATAGCAATTCTCATATTTTCCTGTTTATATATAGGTCCCTGTTGATCTTGTCGTTGATCACTCAGTCCAAGTTGACTTTGCAAGGTCAGAAGATGCCGCACAGAAAAATATGGAGCTTGAATTCAAGAGGAACAAAGAAAGATTTGCGTTCCTTAAATGGGGTTCAACAGCATTCCAAAACATGCTGGTCGTTCCTCCTGGGTCTGGGATTGTCCATCAGGTACAAGATAGTACTGTCATATGATGTAGATATGCATAACATGTGGAACATAAGTGTGATGAGAGTATTAGCCTGTTTAATCTGTTTGGTGGACTACTTGATTATCGATGGGTACTTGAATCTCATTATGCTATCAAATGATTCTGTATTGATATATTGTTCTTATTTGGCATCAGGTCAACTTGGAATACCTTGGACGTGTTGTTTTCAACTCGGGGGGATTTCTCTACCCTGATAGCGTTGTTGGAACCGATTCCCACACCACTATGATCGATGGACTAGGAGTCGCTGGGTGGGGTGTTGGAGGAATTGAGGCAGAGGCAGCAATGCTCGGTCAGGTGAGCTTATTTCCTCTGTATTTATTTTTGGTTTATGTTGTCTTGTGTAGATATATATGATAAAGCTTGCTTTGCCACTGATATGGAATTTCAAAAACTTGTTAGCCCATGAGCATGGTGTTACCTGGCGTGGTTGGATTTAAGTTGGATGGAAAGTTGAAGGAAGGGGTTACTGCTACTGATTTAGTTCTCACTGTGACCCAAATATTAAGGAAGCATGGTGTTGTCGGCAAGTTTGTTGAATTTTACGGTGAGAACCATGGTTGCGTGGCTTTGTCTTTCTGTGTGGACTACTAGTTGGTCAGTATTCATATTTTATCGTTTTTATTTCAATATGAAGGTGAGGGGATGAGTGAACTTTCACTGGCTGATAGAGCCACAATTGCAAATATGTCTCCCGAGTATGGAGCAACTATGGGTTTCTTCCCAGTGGACCATGTTACACTGGAGTACCTGAAGTTGACAGGAAGAAGCGACGAAACTGTAAATTCTCTCACCATCTCTAGTTTTTCATTCTTTTTTTTTTTTTTTTTGGTAAAATCGAATCGTCATGCATAAAATGTGATTTTAGTTTCTAGTGGTTTACGTGTGCTGGGGCTGACACAGTTACTGCAATACTCTCATTTTCTTAATATTTTCACGCTATCTATCCTTCAGTATGCTATATCACATGGCTTAGTTTTTCAGCATCTTAAGCTAAACATTTGAAGTAGCTATCTATCCTATTTCTTCTGGTTTCTGTGACTCACCTGATCGGAAACTTTACGTTTATTTAGGTTTCAATGATAGAATCATACTTGCGCGCAAACAATATGTTTGTTGACTACAACGAGGTATGGGACATCCTTGAATCAGTTTTACTATATTATTTTCATATTTCAACAAGGTTCTCAACAGCAGATATATGGACATTATTGCAGCCCCAGCAAGAAAGAGCGTACTCATCTTACTTGCAATTGGATTTGGGACATGTTGAACCATGTATATCTGGGCCTAAAAGGTATACTTTCTCTTCTTTTTGATAATTAGAAAGTTCTGACCCACCGCCCTTATCTTCCTAAGGTCTGTGATTCGCCATGTTTGCTGTAGTTGTCAGTAAGTTTCGAACTCGGTCCCATTTGAATATCCATTTTTTCCTTTTCATTTTTATGTTTTCTGTTCAACAGACCTCATGACCGTGTGACTCTGAAAGATATGAAGGCTGACTGGCAGGCATGCCTTGACAACCCTGTTGGATTCAAGGTGAGATGCAACTTGTGGTTTCCAAAAAATTCATTAAACGCCCAACAACGTTGATTATTTTTGTTTGCCTAATCTGTAAGACTTTGTTTCTTGTCTTGAAGGGTTTTGCAGTGCCAAAAGACAAACAAGACGAAGTTGTGAAGTTCTCATTCGAAGGACAACCTGCTGAGATCAAGCATGGTAGTGTTGTTATTGCGGCAATTACGAGTTGTACAAACACATCAAACCCTAGTGTCATGATCGGGGCTGCACTCGTTGCAAAAAAAGCTTTTGATCTTGGCCTGAAGGTGAGTTTTTGTCTTTGATCTGCGGCTTTGGCCCTATTCTATGAATCACATTTTGACTGTTGTTGACGTTACGACTCAGGTGAAACCATGGGTTAAGACAAGTCTTGCTCCAGGGTCTAGAGTTGTCGAGCAATATTTGGATCGAAGGTGTGTTAGATTCAATGATATTCCATCTGGATAACTTATTAGATCACGGAACAACCATACTGAACCTTTACCTTCTCTGCAGTGGACTCCGAGAGTCACTGAACAACCAAGGATTCCAAATTGTCGGCTACGGTTGCACAACATGCATTGGGAATTCTGGCGACCTTGAGAAATCAGTTGCAGCTGCTATAGAAGGAACTGGTAATAACATCCTCATGTACATGAACATACTAGAAAACTGCATAAATATGTATTATTTTTGTTGTCTCTTGGAATCTCCTCGAGCCATGTTTATTTTTAGTTCACCTAAATCCTCGTCAAATTGTGCTTCCCCACTGATCAATTAGTGCCCTTATATTTTATCTGGTCAAATTGAAGCTCACTTTTTGGTTGGTCCTTTCTGCTTCCTTCGTGTCACAGATATCATTCCGGCTGCTGTGCTCTCTGGGAACCGAAACTTTGAAGGCCGTGTTCATCCACAAACAAGAGCTAACTATCTTGCGTCACCACCATTAGTTGTTGCTTATGCTCTTGCCGGAACGGTTTGTACTTTTTAATCTTTCAGCCATGACGTTTGGGATCTGTAGTTCGAAATCCAGATGTTTGTGTTTAGTCTCTGGCATCGTTTAACAAGATTGAGTAGTATAGTTTCGCTTATCTAAAGTTTATCTGTCATCTATAATGATCTCGAGCTTGTTTTTATATTATTGATCTCATGTGATTACAGGTTGACATTGATTTTGAGAAAGAGCCTTTAGGAACTGGAAAGGATGGCAAAAGTGTGTACCTGAGGGACATATGGCCAAGCAATGAGGAAGTTGCTAAGGTAGAATGGTCACAGACTCGCATGCTTTTATAGAATAAGTTCTTCACATTTTTCTCTCTGACACCTTTAATTTAACATTCATTGCCAACTTTTGTGGTACTCTTGCATAGGTTGTTCAATTTAGCGTGCTACCAAGCATGTTCAAGAGCTCGTACGAGACAATAACAGAGGGAAATCCCTTGTGGAATGAACTTTCTGCACCGGGCTCGACGTTGTATTCTTGGGATCCAAACTCCACGTACATTCATGAACCTCCGTATTTCAAGAATATGACTGCAAATCCACCTGGTGCTCGTGAAGTGAAGGATGCGTACTGCTTACTGAACTTTGGAGACAGCGTAACAACAGATCACATCTCTCCAGCAGGAAATATCCAAAAAAGTAGTCCTGCTGCAAAGTTTTTAATGGAGCGTGGTGTGAGTCAAACTGACTTCAACTCATATGGAAGTCGAAGGGGAAACGATGAGGTGATGGCTCGTGGTACCTTTGCCAACATTAGGATCGTTAACAAGCTCTTAAAAGGAGAAGTTGGCCCCAAGACTGTTCACATTCCGACTGGAGAGAAACTTAGCGTTTTTGATGCAGCAAGTGTAAGTAGAAGTACACAGCTTCACATACTCTGTATATATATCCTTCACCAAGTCCTGAATTGTTCACCCAAATCATATATATTTTTCAGCGATACAAGACCGCTGGACAGGATACGCTCATTCTGGCTGGTGCTGAATATGGAAGTGGTAGCTCTCGGGATTGGGCTGCAAAGGGTCCCTTGCTTTTGGTAAGTTCACATTATTTACAACTGATTTAAGTGATGTCCTGTGAAACTCTGTAATCGTAACTGACGTAATCACAAATTAGGGAGTGAAAGCTGTGATTGCCAAGAGCTTCGAGAGAATCCACCGCAGCAACTTGGCTGGTATGGGGATCATTCCCCTGTGTTTCAAGGCCGGTGAGGACGCAGAAACCCTTGGACTGACTGGTCACGAACGCTACACAGTCCACCTTCCTACCAAAGTCAGTGACATTAGACCCGGTCAAGACGTCACTGTTACCACTGACACTGGCAAATCATTTGTTTGCACTCTCCGGTTTGATACAGAGGTAAACTATATAAGCAAACAAATCTCAAGCTCCATCTCTAAAATCAAAATTCAATTTGCCTGACAATTTTTTTTTTTTGGGAATGTGCCTAGGTGGAACTGGCGTACTATGATCACGGCGGTATTCTTCCCTACGTCATCCGGAGTTTGAGCACCAAGTGATCAATGTGTTTCTCCCTTTTATGTCTTCTTCGTCCTTTAAAAGTTTCCATAGTTCCAAATAAAAGCAAATTTTGTGAGCATCTTTATTCTTTCAGGTTACACTGAACCTTTTTCAGCAAAAGCTGTTAGCAGAAAATGCAAAGAGACGCAGTCCATTCTTATATATATCAATTCGTACTTGAACTGTAGCATTAACAAAAAGATTTTCAAATAAGATTGACGGATCAAATACCAACAGTTTTTGGTAACCCGTCACTGTTCTTCTCTATTCGCTTTTCTTCCCAAAATAAACACAGTAAAGAAGAGGCAAGCGTGCTTAGAACATACACTGATCTTGATCCTCCTCTGGTGTTTTCTTTAACGTCTCTCTTAAAAAGAGGATCCTTATTCCTCAGTACACTAACTCTTGTGCAAAGATCTGGTGGCCTTTGATGCGAAAACCATTGCTTTGGCTTCGTCACTTGACCTCATCCATTCCCTCTCAGCACGACGTTGATGCTGCCTTGCATTCTTCGCTCGTTTAGGGGCCAATCGTGCATCTCTCTCTGCAAACGCTAGTCTGAACTTCTCTGCTATCGGCAGCTCACTGGAGGTCATGGATAATGAGGAGGATGTGGGATTCTGCACGAGTCCTCTAACAGCCCACGTCTTAGGATCAATCTCTTTCACAAATGGCTCATCTAATGCAACATCTGGTAATGCTTCTCGAGGAGCCTCGTGTAGACTGTAAGTGAGAAGTGAGGGCTTTGGATTAACCACTATCCTTGGGCACTCCATGGATAGCATCTCCAATGAGTCCTTATCAATTCGTGGCTACACAGAGAAAGAATTAACCAAAGACTAGAAAGTAGATTCTTCTTATTATTAGTCAGAGGGACAATACGTACCCAAACAAGCCAACGCAAAGATTGACCACCATGACCAATCTCTGTAATGTCTAGTTCTTCCCATGTTTCTCCTTCAACATTACTCAGGTTTGGCTTAAATAGACTCAAAGATCTGCGTGCCGTGGACTCGCTACTGGGGCATCCTCTGCAATATTAATTTGTTTATTCTCTCATTGCCTGTTTTATAAAGTTTGTTAGCCCTAGTCAAACCCACACACTATGGGTTCAATTCTGTCTCACAAGCCACCGCAGCAGCAACCCATGAAAGGTCAGTCTTACTGCACTTAGCTGGAGCAGAAGAAAGAATAATTTACCCGCATCTTAGAGTCTCCAATGATCGGCAGTGTTGTACAAGCTCTGTGATGCCCATGGATGTGATTCTGTTGCACCGGCTGCATAACAAAGTAATTCAACTATATAAACTACACCGCCTATATAACATACAGAAGCTACAAGCTTAAGAACCAACAAGACCAGACGTACAACATTAAAACACAATCAGGCATAGGTTTGGGATATTATGTTCAAAAGGACAAGGGATTGATTTCAGAGCTTAGAGAACCATAGAGAAATAAGCATCATGCTACCCAGCTAAGTCAAAATTAAAGTAACGCAAAGAATGAGGTCGGAGCACAAAGATAAAGATTTCTCAGAACTATAATACCTAATGTCCACAGCTCGGAGAGATTTGCACATTTCCGCCACTTTAGCCAAACCAGAATCCGAAACATCTGAACCGCTAACGTCTAGAATTTCCCAGGAAGTGTCAGCCAAAGAGAGAATCAAATCATCATCCAGTAGCTTTCTTCTTTTAGCAATGGCTGCAATAGACAGCTGTTGCACATGAATACGCCTTGGATTTTAGCAAAGGGTACAGTACAAAAACCGAGTAAAAGACAATACAGCTTGAAGGAAAACCTTGATGTCTGCAGGAAATATGACAGAGATGTCAGCTAAACAAGGAATGATTTCTTCCAAATGCCTCCCAACAACCCCAAGACACAAGCTGACTAGAGATGGTGGTCCTGATTTCAACGCAGGAATCCCTGTGTTTAGAAGCAAAACCAACAGAAACATGTCAGAATCCGGCTCCGTAATCATCACCACCGCTAATCCATTCTTAGGCATAACACCTGTACAACGGAGCATACAAGACTACGGAGAGTGGCATAAACAGAATGTCGAAAGCGAGACTTACGTGAGGAAGATAGATAAGCTGAAGCATGAATCTTGTTCTTTGGTCCAGGATCCGTATTCAAGTCGAGACCCTTGAGGGAAATTGGCAGCTTTCGTTCTGAATTGCGGATTTCCATCAAAAATTCACCGCGAAATTTCTGATCGCCGGAAATTCGAATCGAGGAATTTTGTGGACGGCGGATTAAGGAATCTCCGGTCAAGTCAACCCGAAAAATAAAAATGATTAAAATAACCGACGTAACGTCGTTTCGCGGGCTTACAAAAATTATTCAGCTATGGGCTTTTTAATGTTCATAGTTGACCCATTATCATTTGTATCTAAACTGAACTGAATCCTTTTACACTAATGGCCCAAAAAAATTTGGCATCAATTTATTACAACAAGACATTTCAATTTTCTAATGTTAAAATGTTACATGAGAGCCTCGCTTGTAATTGGGCCCATACGCCAGCGTTTCAAACGTAATTTCTGCTCCTAACATCTATTACAGTGCCATTTATTGAGATCACACAAATTTACATAATTACTTTCTCAATTGATCTCAACCAAAGAATCATTGTTCACACTTCACATTCAACTCAACAAACCAATGAAAAAAGAATAAACAAGCAATAGATGATGCCAAAACCAAAAAAGGAAATAAAACTATGAACCAAACCAGAACGCTTTTTTTGTTGTTGTTGTTTTCTAAATTAGGTTGCTAAATTAAAGAATAAAAGTATGAAACCAAAAAAACAAAGAGCCTGTCTATTTATGGAAACTTTATGCCAAAGAAACCATTGGGCACTGCAACTGGCATTGGCTGATTCGTGGGCAAAGGAGGCTGCATAACCGGAAATTGGGTGGGAACGCCATAAGGTTGCAGTCCACTGGCCGTGAGCGGTTGGGAAACGCATAGCTGCAGCGGCTGGCCAGCTGCAACTACACCTGCATCACGTAATGGTTCATCCTAGTTAGGACCAACGTTTTGGTTTGGTCCAAAATGGTAAAAACCATCGATGGTTCTTTAGCCTTTAGGGTATATTTACTTAGTTAAGAGAGACTCAATTATTTACCTTGATGCTTCAGGTATTGGACATGTTGTGCGGTTGGTAGAGGACGGGAGAGCATAGGTGGGACTGGAAGAGGCGGTGTTCCTTGAACCAGATCCTGAAAAAAAAGGAAGAAAAATATGAATAAGAGGAGATCTTCACCAAACTTAAAGCGTGATACTATTTCCTCTTTCACTCAGCGATACGGGACATAACATGTGATTTAAGTCACATACTGATTATCCGATCATCATTAAAAGTTCACTAAATTGCTTGTATTTCAAAAGACAAACAATTCATCAAGATCCAGGTTCTAACCTGAGAAACTGGTTGGATATATACAAGCTGCCCCGATCTCGTGACCATCACCTGGATCCAGCAAAGAGAATCTTCAGAAACATATACACCAAGTAAAGCTCAAGACAGATTCATTATAATGATCACGTTTTTAACAAAAGTGAGTTTCGGGGTCCTCCATGAAATACAACCTGAGGATTTGGATTTACAAACATTGGTGACGCTTGAACAGATTGGTACTGAGAGGTGAATCTATGAGGCTGTGCTCTGATAACGGTAGGCGCAATCATCTGCACAAAAGATGGGTACAGGTGGAAGTATGATTCAATATTCATCGATGGAACAAATTTAAAATTGCAAAACTTAAGTTACATCAACTCAAAGTAATCTTCAGCCTGGTCTTCTATAATGACATGTGTTAACCATACAGGCGCGTAGTGCTGAAGGGGAGTGGTCTATTCTCAACTATTAGTTGATAGCATGCCTGAAGAGAGTAAATAGAGGCAGAGACAATAATGGAAAGATCATGCTTACATGTTGAAGATAGTGAAATCCACCGACAGCATTTCCAGCAGTCAAATTACTACCATATGGCACAAACTTGGAAGGTGGAGATGCTTGGGGGATATAAGGGTCGCTTCCAACCTCTGGGTAAAGAGCTTCAGGAAATGGTATCATGGGAGTGTTTCTTGGTGTATACGCAATATTTCCAACACCAGACATACCAGCAGGAGCCGGTGAAAGACGTTTTGTATAAGATGGAGAAAAAATCTTTGCCTCTGGATTCAGCTTGAATTCCTGTATGTGGAAATGTTTTAGAAAATAGAAATTTGGTAACAGAGAAAATAAAATAACCTCGGACTAAATTGACCTTAGACTTATTAACGTCCTGGATAGGTACTGATGCACATGAAGCTGCCACTAAACTCTGACACAACTCTGAGGTTTCATCAGCAGTTGTACTTGACGATGAATTGTCAGTTGAAGAGGGCCTTTCAGCAGCATCGTGGAAACCGTTACTAGAAGGTTCCAGCATTAACTTATCTTCTTCTATTGGTTTAACTCGTTCGGAATCCACTGGATGGTCAATGTTTTCACATCAACGAAAGTTGAAGATGAGCATGTCATAAAACAAGAATCAGAAACAAAGATAAAAACAATTGCGGGGACAAAGAACTTACAGCTAGAACTTGAGCTTTGGATATCAACCTGCACTATGAAACTAACAAATAAGCATCTGTTAAGTAATAACCGTATCGAACAAATGAACTATCTTTGTGTAAGACTAACATTATCCTCCTGGTGAACATCAGGAAGTTGTTCACTACGCTTCAAAATCTTGGCTCCTGCTTGTCTGTCAACAAGAGCAAACAAGAGTCAGAAGAGAGAAAGAAATTTATCTAGGAAAAATTTTAAACATTTGTTTCCAATATAATAAGTGACTTGTGCCATCATTGATATGTAATATGTTTGATGCAGCTCCTAAAACAGATTGCTAAGATTGACATGGAAATGGAAAAACTGTAACATAAAGCCAATTCGGTGTTTTCTTAAGATTTGTACATCATTTTTTTCAGATAAATTAAAAGTACAGAAGTATTCCTGTTATTCGGCAGTTTTAAGAGAGATTAGCACAATAATCATCTGGTGCGTTCAAAGCCAAAAAGTAAACAACAAAGTTTCTGTTTCAAAATGAACTTAAACAAAGTAGACAATTTACCTTCTGTGATTAATGCCCTTTCCTTCAATGCAAAATTTTGTGGATTTATTAGCAGCACAAAGACGAGGTTCAGAAGGTAAAGATTTTGTGGCTGATCCTACAATTTCACCCTCGTTATTGCCTGTAACATTTGATGGACGCGAGACTCCCTATCAAAGCATGTCACATAGGTTGTTATAAATGAAGCTCTAAGAAAAGGAAGCAAAGAAATGACAAAATTGGCAGCAACCATTTGAACAATATTGGAAGACAGAATAACAAGTGTCTCGACCACACTCCCGCTTGCTACATTCACTTTACTCTTCCCCTTCTTAACGATTTGTGCATCCTTCAAAACAATGCCTAGACCGAACAACATCAAGATAAATAGACAGGCATGATAAGAACACATAGCAAAAGAGTAGCTGTTCTTCATCTGGACAAGCCGAACTCCATAATTGTAGACTGTTTAAACTGTTTAATAAACGCATGAAATCTCATCGTTCACTGTGAAAGTGTGAATTGCATTGAAATTCGCACCACGAACATTTTTAATAAAGAAATTAACAGAATCTTCGATACCAAAGATCACATTCAGATCTCTGCTACACATTACGTTATAAATATAGCAAGCAAAGTAAAACAAACAATTACGAGAGAGAAGCTCGAAAAACCAAAATCGCTCAAAACAATTCAAAATCAATCCAAGCATATTGATGGACGAAAAATTCAATTTAACAAAAATGAAACGGTACCAAAGCCGTTGTCGAGGGAAGCTGTGTAGAGTATCCCAGAAAACACTGAACCGTCCCTGACGTGAACATGAACTTGCAATCCGATGATGCACATAGTTGCTACTAACAGCGCTTCGTTCAGTGATGAGGAAGAGTTGTCGTCTTCCATTTTCCTTGCGTATCCCTTTTGTATTGACCTTCAACTATTCAAAGTTTAAGTCTTTAGAAGTTTCTATCTATCACGGTCGATGCGGTGCTACTTTATTTATATACATCACCGTACTAAAAAAGATGGTGAAGAAGAATAGATCCAAAGAGATACGAGGGAACCCGTAAAGCCACTCTTTTTCTTTTTCCCTCATTTTTTCTCCAGAAGATATATTTGGGCCCTAATTTGGTAATAAAGGCCCGGGCCACTACTGCTGTTTCTTACCTTTATAATTACCAAAGTTGTCTCAATCATCATCAACAATTAATGGGCTTAATCATTCATCTTATATTAGCTATATATACAGAAATGTGAAAACAGTGTGTTTGTTCTTCTTTGGGGTTCGTAAGCACATCTGTGTTTGTAATCATGTTATAAGCATTACATAAAGCATAAAAAGTAGATTACAGAAAGTTTGACTAATTCGATTTTGTTCTTAAACAATCATCTTTCTTAAAAGTTAAAACTAACCAACCCAATCGTATTTATACCAGATTTCGTGACCGCAGGTTTTGGGTTTACACAACGAAAATACTGTTGTATGCATATTTATACAAACACACTAATGGGCGTGGTGGTAGGTGGCTTTCGTGGCCTTGTAGAATCTGTAAAAGTAGTCATAGGCGATGCAAGAAAACAGTACAGTAACAAGCAACAACATGAAGAAACACAATGGTCAAATTAGTCAAATGACAAAAAGCATTTTCAGTTAAAGCCTTTTGTTACGACTTCATGAGAAGGACACTCAACAATTGTCACGCGAAGGAGAAAGATAAAGCAAAGAAAAGAAGAGTTGTAGAGAGAATTTGAGACAAGAGCTAATAATACACATCCACTCCAATAATTCATTCACCGTTTTCAGACGGTGGTGGTTTTCATCACAGACAGCTTTCTGCAACTTCAGCTCGATCACGACATACACATCATGCTTCACTGCAATTCGGAATAACAAACAGAAGGAAGAAGATTTAGTAAAAGCTCCCAAAACGAGTTTTAGAGTGTTATGGATATCATTTTTCAAGGTTAAAAACAAAATAAGTACCTGCTGTTGCTGCTGGTAGCCACCGGGCTGCTGGTAGTTTCCATAGCCGGCACCAGGATAGCCACCGTAGTAGGCGTTAGGATCCTGAGGAGGAGGTGCATATCCGTAACCTTCGTATCCCTGAGGAGGATACCCATAGTATCCACCACCACCACCACCATACTGGGCTTGATCAGGTTGAGTCTGTGATATGGATCGAATCATCAGATGACATAGAGTAGAGAATAGTAGAGAGTAAAATAAAACTTGTTGCGTTCTCTAATAGATACAAACCTGCTTGTTGGAAGGACTGCGACCCCATGAAAGACGAACGCTTTGTCCGCCAAGTTGTGTTCCATTCAACAAGGAGAGGGCTTGCTCTGCGCATGCCCTGAAAGCACACAGACGGAGAAAGAATGAGACCACATTCTCAAAATAAAAATGAAGTTTGTCTTCACGGCCACACTACCTATTAGCATACTGAACAAATCCGCAACGCTTTCCTGCTGGTATTTTCACATGAACAAGTTCACCAAATTGACCAAATACTGTCTTCAAAATATCTTCTGTTACACTTTGATCCAAAGCTCCAACAAAAATCTGGCAGGCCCAAAAATAATGCTTAAATTCAGACAATATACCCTATACATAAAACAGGCTTAAGGACACCAAAGAAAAAGTACGCACTGTTGTGTTGGTTGGATCAGTTTCTCCGGGGTTTCCTTGAGTGTTTTGATAGGCAGCTGCAAATAACATACAAGAGAACTTAGTGGAGAATACTCAAACTTCTATATACTAAATAGACCTGAGAGTGCAAGGAAACAAACACTAAAGCAAACACGCACAAACAACAGCAGTTGCAAATTTACCCAAATCAAGATCCAAACATATCAGCAGATAAAGCAAATAGCATATATAATACAACTTGAAGATTAAGGTAAAATAGATTCTGATGTTAGCAGATTACTGATACACAAATCGTTAAGGATGTTCTAGGGGAAAACTGGTACCAAATCAGAGAATTGGATCAAAATTAACCAAGATATCCCAGGTAACCTAAATTCCTTCCAAGGTCTGACACTCTTTACCATAGTAATCAGCTTGCGAAGGAAGAACAGTAACACTAAAGAAGAAGTGTAAATTCAGTGGAGAAAAGTAACTGAAGCAAAGGAAAAAATTGCAACACTAATTACTATAGAAGATGAACTGAGAGATATGAAGAAGATTGCAAAACTCTTTAAAGATTGCATACTGGAAAAGAAGCGAAACGTAATGAACTGTGTAATAAGAAATGAATTAACTTAAAGGTAGGGCTTAAAAGTAAGAGAAAAGACTTATGCGTGGTAAATAAGGAACTGGAAAATAATTTGCTACTACTAGTAATTAACTTCTTCTGAAAACATAACCAACTGACCTAAATGAGGCCACGCAATAAGGTGGAATCATTTTCAGCTGAAATCAGTTCCAGGCCCCCCCAAAGAGAGCCTCTTGTTCTCCTGCTTAAAGACAACATGAGTTTTTTCTTATAAGTTTTAGGATGTTTTGCGATATTAAAATCTCCGAAATGCTGAAAGGCAAGAAGCGGAAGGAAAAGGTAGGCCAGCTAAATTCTCTTTAATCAACTAACAGAACAAGTTTCACCAGTCAGAAAGAAAGCGGCAAAGGAATACCCCAAGGAAAATAAAAATCAACTAACAAACACAGTTATAAAACAAAGTGAGCAAAGTCCACATTATCAAGTCGTGAGGAATATGGTTCCTGAATAACAAAACATACCTGGTTGCATCGTAAGAGGCTTCTTGTTGGCAGCTGGACCAGTACGCATAGGCCTGGATGAGCAGTATTGACCATTCATTTCGGTCATGGCACGTATCTGCTCACTTTCATCCCCAAACCGAACAAATCCATAGCCCTTGGACCGTCCAGTGGTCCTATCGGTCACAACTTTAGCGCCCTTGACGGAGGAATACACAGTCTTGAAGGTTTCAGTAAGAATGTAGTCGGTGACATCAGGTGCCAGGTCTCCTACAAAAACCGTGTGGTCAGGCCCATCGGCCTGGCGTCTCTCTCCGGCTCCAAGCTGAGCCCAGTTCAGTCTGAAGGTCTGTTCGCTGCTCGGCATTGGAGCACCATTGTAAGTCTGCAAAATCCTCTCAGCTGCAGCATGGTTCACAAACTCAATAAACCCATAACCTTCAGAATATCCGCTCTGCTTATTGCGGATGACTTTAGCTTGTTGAGCCTGCAGCCGCAAAGATAAAAAAAAAATTAAAAACACTGAGTCACTGAATCAAGCCTTATACAGAAGGAGGAAAATTTCGACATTTCAAATTAAAAACGAAAGATTGGGAACAAAAGGTCGGAGAAATGAATTGGCTTTACCTCGCCAGTGAGAGCGAAGATGCTCATGAGATAGCCCTCGTCCATCCATGGCTGGAGGTCTCCGATCCACAAGGACCGGATCTCGCCAGCTGATCCTGGATTCTGAGATCCACCGCCATATTGCTGGGGTTGACCCGGAGACGGCGCCGACTGAGGATTCCAAGCTGCCGGCGGCTGACCCTGTTGCTGCTGCTGCTGCTGCATCATCAGCCACGACTGCTGCTGGTGGTAAGCCTGTTGGTCCGAAGGAATCTGCCCTGACCCTGCGGGAGCACCGTTAGCGGCTGGAGGTGGCTGCTGCATCATGACGACGAAGACCTAAAATGGGGACGATGACGCAGATGCAGTTTCAAGGGTTATCTATCACTCGGACGAAAGGGCAAAAGGGAGACAGTAAATGCAGTCACGGTTGCCTTTTATAGAAAACAGAAAGAACCAAAAAAACTATAAATGTCATGTGATTTGTACATCACAAGGCCCAATCAAAAAGGTTTCGGCTCGGCCCATTATGAGAGCACGACAACAACCCGGTTTAATGCCAAACCGGTAAAAGGCCGGATAATTCCGATTTTCGAGCCCCAGTGACTGAAGTTTTTTTACCGGCCGGCATGCTTAATTTCGAAACCCACTTTCGCCGACTTTATTCTCGATTTAAACCCTAAACCCCACGAGGAGAGAAGAGCTCTCTGACTGTTAAACTCTCTACTATTCTTTTAATGGCGGAATCATCATCAGACTTGGAAGATCAAGGTACGATAAGATGGTTGAACTTTGCAGACCCGTTTAGCAATTTCTGTTTGATTTCGCCAATTACTCCATCGATTGTTCTATCTGTTTCGAAATTGCGGAATAGTAATAAAAGCTGTTATCTTTGAGTCAATTAATATCTTCTTCTAGCTAATATTTGAACTTGGTTTCTTCTTGGCCTTACTATTTGTTTCTCTTGTTTGTATTGCGCAGTAAAGTTTTAACTTTTAAGTCCTTTGGACAGGAAGTAGTTTACTTTCTGATGAAATGACCTGTTTGCTATTTCAGAAATGGTGGCAGTCGGAGGGAATGTAGACCTTGAGGTGGAAAAAATCCCGGTGATGGCTTTCAGACCATCCCATGAAGCTAAACTCAGGGAACTGTTGCATAAGATTTGCTTACATGAGATTAAGCTGTGCTCTGATGCTGCAAAAGAATTCGTTAAGTTACTAGAGGGAGAAACTGGCGGCGATTTGTTGCGTCTATATTTCCACAACTCGCCCAAGTTTGCTGAGCTTCAAGAGGCGTGGAAGCTTCGACATGGAAGGCAAGGACTATCCTATATATTCAAGCTTATCCAGGCGATTCTGAGTCATCCAGAGGGAAGAAGCAGATCGACTGATATTGGAAGAGCTATTGACCAGTTTGTTTGGTTGCTTATTGATGAGAAACTGGATGACATCTACATAGAATTGAAGAGCAAAGAGGGAAAACAACAGAATGCTGCACTTTCACTGCTGGCTTCGATAGTTAGACGTGGTTCAGGCATGGCATCAGAGATAGCTAAGAAATTTGATTTTAAGGGTTTTGCGAAACTGGCGGAGCATAAAACGCGAGGGGCTGGCAAGGGAAAGAAGCACTCAACGAGGAAGGCCTGTGTTGGGTTTGCAATTTCATTCCTTCAAGTTGGGAAGCCTGGACTGTTAAGGTCTGTTTTACAGCAGAGGGAAATGTATTCGAAAGTGCTACAAGGACTTGGGAAAGACGATGAAGACACTGTGGCTTCTGTCTTGTCTACGTTGAACGACAATATCCTTGTTGAAGAATCATTGATTCCTCCTGGTCTAAGGAGTGTTCTTTTTGGAAGTGCTACACTAGAGCAGCTAGTCAGCATTTCAGCAAGGGAGGATGTTGGTATTGTCAATGAGTTGGCCCATGAGGTTCTTGTTAAAGTTTGTACAGACCCCTCTAATGGATTAATGCCAGATATTAAGAGAGGGTTGAAAGGCAATGCAAACAGATTACTAATGCTCATGAAGAGTTTGAGAGCAACAGAGGTTGGTTATCACAGGGATTTGCTTTTAGCTATTGCTACGAGTAGAACGTCTTTAGCTTCAGCTTTCTTGGAAGAATTTCCTTATAATGTGGAAGATTTTGCATCACCATCCTGGTTAGTCTTCTTCAGAGTACCAGAGTTTATCTATCCTTTTTCTTTAGTGCTGCCTTTACAGTCAACTTCTTGCTGTTTTGTTCATTCTTTCTGCGTAGTAATTGAAGTCATTGCAGGTCTTCTTCTATTTCCTTGGCAGCAAATTTGGTGTCGCCAGTAAGAAATTCATGTTCCTTTGACTTTCTCAATCCAGATCAACGCGCTGCACCTACTCCTCCTGGTTCAGATGTGCAGACTATCATGAAATGCATATGCCCCCGAGCATTTAGCCGGTCACTGATCACCAAAGGGATGCTTCATTCTGATTCTCTTGTGAAACATGGGACCTTGAAATTTCTCTTCGAGACGCTGAGGTTGTTGGATTCTTTTGTTACTTCTTGGAAACTTTGCTCGTCTCATAGCTGCTCTGTAGAGAAAATTCAGGCTTCTCTTGAGCGGGATGTCATGGGTGAGGTGAGGAATTTTTTTCCGGATTTTCAGGTGTTTTTGAGTGTACTGAAGTCTCCAGGCGGTTCTAGCGGAATTCAAAAGCTGTCTTTGAAGAAACAAGCAGGCTGTAATAGTGGATTAGTAGATAGAAATAAACGCGTTAAGAGATCTGAGAAGGATGTTTTGGAAGAAGAGGCTGGTGATATCGTCATTGGTGGGTTGGGTTCTGATAAAGATATATTTTTGGAAGAGGACACTGAGGATGCTCAGATGACAGATCAGGCAGATGCTGATAGAAAAGAATATCTTGGGACTGTTTCAGAAATTTGGGGTTCAGAGTTTTGTTCTAAGCCTTTCGTGTCGTTCGAAGAAGCAGATGTGTTCTTTCAGATAATGCTCCTGGATACCCTCAGGATGTATGTGGTACGTTGATTTTTTCACATTATTAATTTTGTTGTCTTGTTGATAAATGAAAACGCGGAACCCGTTTACAATTTTTGTACTCACTAATAACAGGGTTGTTTTGCACTGTACTTTAAACCCTCCGTGTCAAATTTTAGTTTTGAAGTTTTTGCAAGTGTAGTATACCGATTGAAGATTAATTTTTGAGTTGTAGTATTTTGTCCAGTAGACAGCTAGAGAACCGGAAGCGGTCATGCTGTTCTTACTCAGTTTTGGTCAAATTTCTTGTTTCTTTTGTCGGTTTGATTTAGTTTATTTTATTATTGTTAATATGTCTTAGCATTAGTAGTAGCTTAGACATTCCTCATATCTGGTTTTTAAGCTACATGTTTTTCATCTTTGCAGCGTTCTGTGCCTAATGTGCTTGAAGGATCGTTTGATGTCTTTATGAAAATTCTGAGCAGTTCTTCAGGATTGCCAGCTGAATTGCAGAGAGCTGTGTTGTCTTTGCTAAATGAGTACATTAGTTGGACGCCAAAGTCTCAAATTGAGAGATTTCCTTCAAGAATTCCACCACTTATGTACAAGCATTTGCATGTATTCATGAAATTATTACTTTTTTCTTCACACAACGAGGTGAAAGATCTAGCCTACAATTTAGCACTGGTAGCTATGAGCAGCACCGGTGCATTTGACAAAGATCCAAGTGAAATTGGTGCATGGTTCCTGTTTCTACAAGGTTTTGGAAAGATTAAACTACCTCCTAAGGTTCAGGAGGCTGTACAGAGCATGTCATCAGTTGTCATCTCCTTTTTATGTGATTCAGTTTCGACTGTTGGAAAAAAATTATTCAAGCAGTGGGATATTGTGAGAAGTAGCTTGTCCCATTTAAAAGGTATATGTGTTTTGTGCTCTCAAAAGCAATGGTTTGGTATAGATTGCACATGTTTACTCTTTTTGCTTAGGTTTAGCTTCGGAGATGCATAATTTGTTGCTCTTGTGTTTGTCTATATACATTATTTTCCGTAACTGTTAGTGGCAAATTTATAGTCTGCACAAAGATGATTATTTAATGCCGCTGCAATTAATCTTATGAATCTATGGGATTTTTTTTATAGTCAGACACGATTCAGTTAATCTCATGCAAGTTTAACCCTGGTTACTTATCCATTGGACCTGTGATAAGCCTAGAGGAATTTATTGACTGGTTTATCTTCTTTCTGTTTGTTGCAGGTGTGTCAATTGGTTTTAGCCCCTTAATTGTTTGTATTCTGCAGAATTGTGTGAGGCTGCTAAATTCTGAATCTAAAACATATTCTTTACCGGAGAAGTCAGCAATATCTCTGTACGTCTGCACCACATTGAAATATCTTTTGCAAACTCAGGTACATATACATCTGCATATATATATTAACAATTGCCATGCAATATGTTTATATTCTAGTTTATACCAATACCTTTTCTATAAATTGAATATTGTAGGTAGACTCCAGACCACTCTCATGTTTGGTCCAGTCAGTTTTGTCTGAGGTGGTTGATGGATCTAAGGATTCTTTATCTGAATGGAGGCCATTGAGAGTGTTGCTACTTTTCTCACAATCATTGTCAGACAAAAAACCTTTCATATTGCATTCCAGAAGGACAACAGGTCTACTTGCTGACACTTCTTTTGCAGATACTCTTGATAAGATAAAAGGACTGGTGAGAAGTGTTTCTCCCGATGGGCAAAAAAAAAGAAGAAGAAGTATTTCTCCGGATGAAATTGCAGGAATTGTTAAAGCGTTTTCTTCTGCATTAATTTGTGCAACACCTGAATCGATTTTGAAGAATTTTGCTGGTGTGATGGCTGTTTCTTGGGCTTTATACGGAACATCATTCTCATTTTTACAGTCCATCCTCTTTCTAGACGAAAACTTCCTCGGAGACCTTTCAAAGCTATCGCCTGACTTATTTGCGCAAGGTTCAGAACGTACTGGGTCAAGGAATCTCTGTGAGAGAACAGAAGATAGTGAGATTGATTTTGCTGACCACGCATCCATAGCTGAAGAAATCAAAAGAAAGATGGACATTCGTGATATTGAATCTCCCGCCTTCTCTGTGTTTTTAGAGGAGCTTCCTTTTCCTGTGTTACTTACCGCAATAAGGAGCATGGATGCATCTTGCTTACCAAGAATATCAGACCTGCTGCTGCTAAAAGTTTCGCAACCTAAAAGTGATAGTATTGAATCAGATATCCGATCAATACTATTTTCGCTCCTCGAAATACGATCATCGTATGAGGTTCAACCAGCTCCGGTACTCTGTCAACTCTCTGAGATCTGCTTGCGTCTCATAAAGCACTTGTTCTCTCAAAAATCAGAACGTGACCTTGTTTCTGGACATTCTCCAGATAAGTTGCATGCTCCTTCTACAAAGTGGAAGCATCAAGCGGCTCAGACTGTTCTTTGCCACCCAGTTGTGATGGCACTGTTGGAGAGTCCCTTGGATTGTGGCACATTGCCTCGAGTGCAGAATATCGAGAATTTTTCAGAAACGTCGGTGACAATGGGCAGGCTAGTAATTAGTGAAATAGATCAACACATCCTTGATCTATTGGCTTCTACTTGTGAGCACTTTTTGTTTGATGAAAGACACATCGTGCAGAAAGGGGACCTCGGGCCAAATAAATCAATTATGGCTTTTAAGGACTTGGTCGAAAGGCTTCTCTCGGTATTCAGAGGCAAGTTTGAGCTTTGTGTAAGTTCTCAAAGTTACGCTCCGCTTCACCAACCATCACAATTCATTCACGCTTTGTTGAGATTTATATCACCTTTTAAACTTTTATATCTTGCCCGTTTCATGCTGAGTAGAATTGATGAGGAAGAACTGGTTTGTCCAAATTCGAGTATGATTCGCAGTATGGGATTGGATATTGCTGGCGGGGCTTTTGAAATGCTCATATTGTATTCACACCAGCCGGCTGCTAAGAGAGGGATATATGATTTGCTGTGGGAATTAGAAGAAAAGAATTATGACAGTAACCTCATTGAGGAAGTCTATAGCCTGGCATGCAGGTTTTCTACCTCTTTGGGTTTGGTGTCGGCAGATTCTTGTTTGCTTAAAGTTGGCGGTGGCATTTTTAGGGGGAAGCATAATCAGCATTGTAGTGTTCACCCGTTGACCGTGACAATTTCACAGATTGTTGGGAGAACTCCTCAAGATTTGATTGACCATTGCATCAACCAGGCAAGCATCACCAGAGCCAAGATATTGTTCTATCTTGTGGAGTCCAGTCCCTTGCATTTGTCAGTCTTTGGACACTCGTTCTCTAGTTTGCTAAGTAAGAAACAGGATGACTCTGCGCTTACAGATGAGCAGTTTATCATGCTACTGCCTGCGGTGCTATCGTATCTGGCATCAGTTTTTGCAAAACTCGAGAAGCCGTGTAGTAGATTTTTGGATATAACTTCAGTTTATTCAAATATACTAACAAATTGTTTTCGTCAGTGGCCAAAGTTTTTGCCTGGGTGCATCTTTGAAGAGAAATATGAAGAGATTCTTCTGTCGACGACTGAGGATATCGACACTATGTTTGATGCGAGTCTTCTTGGCAAGGCAGTACGTATGTTTCAGTACCACTTTGCCTTGACTGAAAGTCCAACTAAAACAGACGATCTCTTAAAGGTATTCTATTCCATGTTTCCTCACATTAGTACTGGCAAAGAGATGTTGGATTATGAGATCAAAGAAGTGGACGTTCAGTCAGTAGACGATATGTTTAGTGTTGCTATCCGTGTAGTTGCAAAAGTAGAACTTTCAAGGATTTGTTTGTTTCCTGAGGATAGCAGCATGTGTCCTTTTAGACGTCAAGCAGGTAGTTGTGTGAAGGAAAGTTCTCCAGAAATGGGATCCAACAGGGAGAGTATATTAAAGCCGTTACTAAATGCTTTAGTTAATAGTTGGCAATGTGTTGTCAAGAGATCTGATGGTTCGTTTAAAGGGAATTCCGAAGGGAAACAAGACAAATGTCGGTTCCTGTGGAAAAGCCTTGAAAACTTCATTTTGAGAAGTATTCGAAAGTTTTTGGAAGACATGTGTGAGGAGCTTGTTCATTTGGATTCCGTTCCTTTCCTGGAGAGACTGATGAAATCAGTTCTTCTGTATAGATTTGAGGACTCGAAGACATTGAAGATACTGAGAGAAATTTTCTCCTTATTGTCTAGAGGAAAGTACTCGTATGCACCATATATCCAACTCCTAATATCTCACTCTCAGTTTACACCGACTATCAGTTCTCTATCCATATCATTCTCACATACTGGTGAGATATCCAGTCCTGTCTCCAGCATTCTAAAACATCTTATCATCCCAAGTCCAAATTCTGTCGGTTTTGGAAGGTGTTGTCTCGAAGCACCTGACTATGTGAAGCAGTTAGAAATTGTCAAGACTCTCAGAGTGCTGCTCTCCAAATGTGGAAAAGAATCAGGAATAAATCTGAAAGAACTGCACTTTCTTCTTTTGTGTTCTTATGGTGCAACTCTGGGCGAGATCGACTTAGAGCTCTACAAGTTGATGCGTGATATCGAGTTGATTGATGACGAACACAGGCTGCATGTTTTAGAAACATGTTATTTGTGGGGGAAAGCTGCCTTGCAAATAAGGGAGGGACTACGTTTCTCTCAAGATGCATCTGACGGTGGTGAAGCTGATTTAGTGGAAGATTCCCGGCAGAGTCTTTTCAAAGAGAATCTTTGTGTTGATCCCAAAATATGCGCTCGAACTGTTTTGTATTTTCCTTATCAACGAACTGCAGAGGTATCGGATAACTCTTACCAATATGATGACCCGATAGGCGAGGTACCCGTCTTTAATTTTAATTTTCAGTCAAAAGTTCGTGTACTAGCATTTGTCAAACATCGCTCAAACTAATTCTTCTTCCCTGTGTAGAAATGCTCACCTGTTGTGGAGAACATTGAACTATATGATCCAGCTTTCATCCTGCGATTCTCAGAACATTCATTGAGGATGAGATATATTGAACCTGTGGAATTCGCCAGTTTAGGGTTGCTTGCAGTTGCACTTGTGAGCATGTCTTCAGCAGATCTTGGGATGAGGAAATTGGGCTATACAACTCTTGAGATCTTTCTGGTTGCCCTTGAGGTAATAGTTAATTTTATGTTTGACTTATCTGTATGCATGGGCTGTTTTGACTGTACTGAAGTTCTCTTCAGAATCTCTGAGGTATTATCATTCCTTTGGTAAATGGTATTTTCAGTAATTTTAGTGCTACATGATATGAAAAAGGGAAAATATTTGGGCTACCTTATCTTCACAGAGGTAGCAAAGTATTAGATTTTGCTGGAGTTATGGGTCCTAAACCTACCAATCCTTTTCGTTTATCAATTGGGTTTGCAAATGCTCATTGGTCAGATTTGTTCTCGATTATTCCAAAGTTAATTGCTTCTGAGGACACGGGTAGAATTTCTTCTTTTAACTAAAACATTTCTGATGTAGGGTTGTGGGAAGAATAAACATGTAAAGGGGCTTAGGCTTCTGCTGATGTATGTGCGAAATGGAGTTGAGGAACAATGGCAAAGAATCCCAACTGTTTCTGCTGTTTTTGCCGCTGAGACATCTCTTATATTATTGGATTCTTCTCACGAACATTATGTTCCCGTATATAACCTGTTGAAAAGCTCATCTACACCGAAGCTTAGGGTACGTATTCTCGAAATACTGTAAACTCGTGTCTTTATTTTTTACATTTTGCCAGCATTCAAACTGCTTTTTATCTCTTTGTTAGGGAATACCGTTGTTTCATGATTTTTTCCGGAGCAGCGCTGTGGAAAACAAAAGCTTTAGATCACAGAGGCTTTGGGAACTTCGCCTAGTGTGTGTGGGCTTGAAAACAGATGACGATGCCCAAATTTACATTAGAAACTCCGTTCTTGAGACGCTGATGAGTTTTTACTCAACCCCTCTTGCTGATGATGAATATAAAGGACTAATCCTTCAGGTGATACTTTCTTTCCTTAATGTCACTTCGTGTTTATTTTGCAGTATATGAATTCCTTCTTCAATAATATAAGGCGGAGTCTGAAAAATATATATTTCTCTGGTCTTTCTATATAACGGGTATTTTTTCTTCAGTTTTGAGCTCTAAACCCAACACGACAAAAATCGTCTTTCTTTCACTTTTCTTTTCAGGTTGTGAGGAAGTCAGTCAAATTCCATAAGATGGCCCGACATCTCGTTGAAAATTGTGATCTGTTTTCATGGTGTTCATCATTTATCTCAACGTTTACTACAAATCCCATTGGAGATGAAGATATGCGCTTGGTGGTTGTCTTGGAGGTATGTACAGTATTAGTCCATTAATGCTATTAGTAACATAATCATGTTCAAGCGTGCACACTGTTTCAGAATATAGATTTGTATAAATAACAACGGATACATTTATGCAACTGAAAATCTATCGAGTATTATAATGAATGCATAATTGACTCAAATTTCTAGATGGCCAACCATGAATATAGACTGTTTTCATCAAGAATCCTTATGTAGAATAGTGTATTCGTTAATCGAATAGCTTTGTGATATTGTTTTGTCAGGTTATTACCGATGTTCTCGCCTCCAGAAACGTTACAGAGTGGTTGCAACGATCTGCCCTCGAAGGGCTAATGGAAATCTCATCGCGTTTATACAGACTTTTAGGTGGTGGATTGGTTTCAGTACAAGAAAATGGTACTTTGGTTAATTTAGTTTTGCAGATACTATCTGCTACTCTAAAGATATCTCAGAAGCGAAAAATGTACCAGCCACATTTTACCATCACAATCGAGGGGATATTCCAACTCTATGAGGCTGTTGCTAATTGCGATTCAGCTAGTGAAGAGTGTGGTCTCAGTACTTTATTAATGAGCACCCCGCCAGTTGACATTATATGCATGGTATCTCTCTCTCTCTCTGACTTATTGAGCATCCCTCCAATTTGTTTTGAAGAGTTTGACATTTTTATTTCATACGATTATCTTTCAGGATGTGGACAAGCTGAGAAGGTTTCTTTTGTGGGGAATCTCTACAGCCTTGAAGAGTGACCTTAAAAAGAGATCCAAGCCAAGTGAGTCTCATCAAGATACTATGACACTCACTGAAGAACCACAAGCGGAGACTATGGTAGCAAAGTTTTTACGCTGGCTGTTGGCTTCGGTGATTCTTGGGAAGCTTTATTCTAAAGCTAATGATTTGGACCCGACAGTCTTAAGTAAAACAAAGCCAGAAACTTTGCTGACATTGTTAGAATGCTTCAAGACAAGGAATCTCGAAGGGAGCGAGACAAAGTCAGAGCACATAATAGGGGAAGTAATCGTACACCTCCAACAGCTTCTGAGTACAAACTACAGTGTTCTTCCATCTGTTGTATGTGCACTTTCTCTCATGGTTCTTCGTAATGGCCTTGGGATTGCAGGTATGCTGCTGAAACTAAACTATTAGATAGATTTGTTCTTAGGTGTTAAGCTACATCTGTTTATGTCCCAATGCACGTGTTTCTGCCAATCAACATATCTGTAACTTAATATTTTGCTATTCTCCTGCATAGGTTCAGAGTCCAATGGCGATCACAGGCTCATCAAATCTCTGTGTTCTAGAATAAGTAGTCCTCCTGAGGCTACTCCAATCTGGAGATGGTAAACGATTCTTCTATTGTTCAGTCACTTTCTAAAGCTTTGTTCATCGTTCAAACGCTTGACTTAATTTTGCTCCACAGGTCATATTATCAGGCGTGGAAGGATCTTACATCGGAGTCGGCCACGAATCTTGAAAAGATCGATGAACTCCATGCATGCCAATATCTTTTGCGTATATTATCTGATATGCTTGGAGTAAAGACAGGGGAATCTCAACAGGTGCTGCTGCTTCATCAAAGTTTTGACATGTCGAGTGTATTTGAATGGGAAAGAGGTTTAGTTGAGACCTAGTCATTGTATTTTACCATCCAAATCAATCAGTTTTGCTTTATCAGTGACATAAATTGTTGTTGATTTCTTTATACGTGTGAAACAATGTTAAGTTTTGTTGTCTCAACGATATATGTCATCGAGTGAGATTCCATATAAAATCAGAGTGTAGCAACCAAAAGCTCTCGCTACTTTTAAGAATTTTTCTCTGAATATGTATATCCATGGAAGGTATACGTCGTCTGTGAACTATTTTATATACGAAAATTAATATATACAGGATCCTACCAACGGTTTATTTCAAATGTTTTGAAGTGAACTTTTTTCACCTAATAATGGATCATAACACTAAGTCATACATAACAAACAGGCAACGCAGTTGATTTGTTGGTTCTAGCAGTTCTTTGGTCTGTGGTACTTTGGAGGCAGAGAGGGGCAGTGCTCGTTCATATGCGGGTATGGCTCCATAGTGTTGTAGCCGGGAAGTTCCATTCTGTATTTCCCGAGTATTTGACAGTACGGAAGCTTTACATCGTCATTGTCATTGCACCATTTGGGTAAACGGCTTGCATTGTTCTCGAAAAACTTGAGCATGTAAGCATCTTTGATCTGCAAAAATGGATTCCGCTGTTCAGTGTGTGTGCGTAACGGTATCTTCTAGATCATGCATAGGTTGGTGGTTCTTACCGTGAATTCGGTGACTTGAATGGAACTAGAGATTGGATCAAACAAGCCACCTTCTTTGTACATTTCGAGGATGAAAGCGATACAAGAAGTTGATTTCCCATCGCTATATATCCAATCATCTTGCTCAGGGACTGCCAGCAACTCGTCAAAAGAAGAGCCACGCTTTTCAACTTCCACCAGTACATCAGGAAGATCAAGACCCTGCCATTTTGGAACATCTCAGAGAAAGAACTAAAGAAAACGAATAAGATGATAACAGAGAAAAATGCAGAATCGTCTTGGTACGGATTTAAGTTGATTGTACATAACAACAGTCAATTATATCTTTCATCTGAAACTGGTGTACATGCGCTTACTAACCATTACATTGTTTACCAGTCTGTTTAGTTTGTTTTTTTCATAACATCATCCAATGCCCGAACCTAAGAGCTTCTACTTTTTTTTCAATCCATATAACCCGAAAGAGAAAAATAATATAAATATTTGATCAAGCATTTTGAAGAAGTGAAATGAATGAACAAAACACTAATACCTCTGTTCCGAGTCGCTTGTTAAGGGCTTCATTCCACATGTTAGCAGCATAATCAGGCTGGATTTTGCTCCAAACGGTCATGACAGAAGCAACCTGGGAACATATGAAAGAAACAAAAAATACAGAGTAAGGAGTCATGAGCTTTAAAAGAAGGTGTTTAAAGAGAGAACAAGAAAGAGATAATCTGAAGCTCATAATTTCATCAATGCCAAAAGTTTTAAGAAATGAGAACCTACGAGATGAGCATCCAAAGGAGGTGGGTAGTTTCCGCTGATGGTATCGATCCAGCTAAAGATCAAGTTGTGATAGCCATATGGTTTACCATCCATGCTGCGAGCATATTCCCATGCTGCTGTAACATTAAACCTGGCTCGATAATCAGGATGCAAAGGTAGCAATGCAATCTGGGGATTTGAGTCATCCTTGGTTTGCTCGAACTCCCACCACTCTTCCCATGGCAATACCGCTATTACATCTTCTCCCTGTGACCCAAAATTTTCAAGGGAGAAGACAGGAAGCGAATCATGCTATGCATAAAATATATGAAGAAAACTGAAGTTCCACAAGAAGAATCAGTTTAACAAGATTGGCTTGGAAATAAGTCACTGGTACAAATGAATATACAATATCAAGTTCAGAGTAACTACAGAAATGTTACTCAACAATCACTGCGATGATGTTCAACCAAATCAGTTTAGTTTGTTCTTAGAAGAGATAATCATCTAAATGATAGCCAAATCAGTTTAGTTTGTACTCAATGGCTACACCTTTTTCAATAGAACCCACATATAAGTTAAAACCAATTCATCCAGAATTTCAAGTGTTACCTGTTCATTTTCATGCCCGGATTCACCAACCCAGAGTCTCCCTTCAGAATCCCTCAAACAGACAGCAGTGTGACCGGCATAGGCTCCGCTTACCCACTTCTCAAGGGTCTCAAACCCACCCCACCGCCCACGGATCTTTGAGATAGCTAGTAAGTCTCCGGAGTGGATTTCATCGGTAGTGATGTTTGTAACCCAAGGTTCAGGACGAGCATAAAAATTAGCACCCATATGCTTCTCAAGAAATGCGATGTTAGAGTTCTCCCCCCATCCGGTATTGGTAAAGAGAGGGAACACATCCCACAGCGCTCTGAGAGTTCCAAGCATCCCAGCTTCCATGAGGAATATCGAAACTCCTTTCCGCTTAACCTGATCAAATGTGAGCATTAGATATAATTGATTCTAAGATGGGGCAAAACAAAAAGATTAACAAAGGAAAAAACAGCAGCTTACATGTTCATACTCGGCTTTACCCTCCCACTCTTTGAATTCCATGGTGTGCTCCCTTGAAATGAAGTACCAATCCCATGTCACACGATATGGAGTCACAAAGACATAAATATCCATGCAAGTCCAGCTATGTGCCTTATCGACCTGCGTAAAACACGCAATTATATCTTGAATCAGTGTCAAGATTCATCAATCGAAAACAGCTTCCGAGGATCATATAGAAAGGTCGAAATTAGTAACTACTGATGCAGGATGAAGCTTACACACACACAAAAAAATCAACCCTTACAATGGAATAAACTGAAATATGTGAGCTTTAAATATAACATCCAGGTAAAGAGTCTATAAGAACCTCAAAAGGCTAAACCCATAGACAAAAACCTCAACATATTCGCCCAAAATGAAACCTTCGAAAATGAAAATCAACGATTCATAGAGCAGTCTAAGAGAGGAAAAAGAAAAACTCATTATTTCGTCACCTTAATGTGAAGTGTGCCACCGCCGAATTCGGAACCGGACTTATTATTGAGCTCCAACCAAGCTTTGTTCTCGTAGAAGCAAGCACCTTTCCACTCGACGGCGTCGTTTTTGATAGAGGCGGAGCCGATGTAAGTAGGGAGGAGATCGACGGCGGAGTTGAGAGAGTTAAGAAGCGGCCAGGAGACTCGCCTGGGCAAAAGCGGGAGCAGGTCCCGAGGGTGAAATGGTAATTTCAGGGATGAGACAGTGAGAAGAAGAAGCAGCACGGTAACGGCGAAGAAGAGGCGCGGAGAGGATGAAGCCGCCATGGTTAACACCTTGGGTCGGTGACGGTGTCTCCCCTCTTTCCGTGTAGAATTCGTAACTCTTTACTAATTTTTCCGATCGTCCTCGTCCATGACTACTCAGTGGTTTTTCTTTTCCTGACGTGTCTATTCGGTATATTCTTTATTTTTTAGTTTCACTATTTAATATCATATATTCAGTTTCGCGCATAAAAAGATTGAACAAGACAAACAATCCGAATATACCGTGGCGTATATTCAGGAAAGCGCATGCATGGATTGAAGCTTTTTCGGCTATGGAGAAGAAGCAGTAAGCAAATTTAAACATTCAAAGCTTATGTATATTATCTTGTATGATTTTTATTTTTTAATAATAAAGAAAAAAAGCCGGATTGAAGAACAATCGCGGTTTGAGGGACTAAATAGCACCTTTAGAAAATGTTGGGTTATAGCTGGTAACTTTAGAAACAAAGAATCTGTAAGTTTCCCAGCTGTCAGCTAGTAATTGGTCAGCTATCGCAATTGTCCCCACAACATAACTTTATCGTAATCTTCTTCCTCTTATCGGTGAAAAAATCAAGAAACTTGAGATCTTTCACATCATCACTTCAATGGCTGTACAACTTCGAACCAAGTACACTATAATCCCCATCACCAATAACACCCCAAGAAGTCACCGTCCGTCGCTTTCTCGTCTACGTGCCATATGCTCGGTTAATTCCACCGCCGCCAAGCCTCGTCCTAACCGTGAGAAGCTTGTGGTGGTTGTGAATCCTCTTCTGTCCAATGACCCAACTCTGCAATCGACATGGACCCACCGCTTTTGGGTTTCAGCGGGCTGCACCTCCGTGTTTGCTTCTTTAGCTAAATCTGTTGTTGCAGGGTTTGCTTCTCATCTCTGGCTCGAACCAGCTTTAGCCGGTTTTGTCGGATACATATTAGCAGATCTAGTCTCTGGTGTGTACCACTGGGCCAGCGATAACTACGGTGATGAGTCAACGCCTCTAGTAGGAACGCTAATCGAAGATTCTCAAAGTCACCACAAGTGGCCTTGTACAATCACCAGACGTCAATTTGCAAACAATCTACACTTTCTGGCTCGTGGCGTAACCTTGACAGTTCTCCCACTAGACCTTGCGTTTAATGACCATGTGGTTCATGGCTTTGTAAGCACGTTTGCGTTTTGCGTACTCTTCTGCCAGCAATTCCACGCTTGGGCTCATGGAACCAAGAGCAAGCTTCCACCTCTCGTGGTGGCGTTGCAAGACATGGGGCTGCTCGTGTCACGGACGCATCACGTGAAACATCACCGAGCACCGTATAGCAACAACTACTGCGTAGTGAGTGGAGTGTGGAACAAGGCTTTGGATGAAAACAACGTCTTTGAGGCGATGGAGATGGTGTTGTATTTCCAGCTCGGGGTGAGGCCGAGATCATGGACTGATCCCATTCTCTGACTGGATGGAAGAAACTGACATATCCAAAAATTAGCCGTCATTTTTGGCTAACATTTTGTTTTTTTTCTTTCAGTATAACTGGTACCATTAATTTTTTTTTAAAAAACAGAGGCCTATTATTGAATGAGGGAGTATTATTATGTGTGTGTGTGTGTGTTTTTTTTACCATCTGAAGTTGAATTAGATAGAAGCAGATACAAAGCTATTATTGGGTTGCAATTGGAGTGAAAATTAAAACAAATTGATTAACGGATAAATTAGTCACAGTCATCCCACATCTTTCAAATTTAAGTTGTTTCACCTTATATATACGTATTTTGTTTTCTTTCTTCTACCTTCAAAATAAAGTTATCTACACGCCACAACATAACTTCAGCGTAAAATATATTCCTCTCTCGATTGTTTTAGTTTTGAAAGTATATATCAGAAACTTGTACCCTCCTCAATGGCTGTATCGCTTCAAACTAAATACAGTCTAAGTTCCACCACCGATAACATCCCAAGAAGCCACCGTCCCTCGCTTCTCCGTGTACGTGTCACTTGCTCGGTTACTAACACCACCACCAACTCTAACCCTCACCGGGAGAAGCTTGTGGTTGGGAAACACCTTGTGAATCCTCCTCTGTCCAATGACCCAACTCTGCAATCGACATGGACCCACCGCTTTTGGGTTGCAGCGGGCTGCACCTCCGTGTTTGTCTCTTTCGCCAAGTCGATCAAAGGAGGCTTTGGTTCTCATCTCTGGCTCGAACCAGCTTTATCCGGTTTTGCCGGATACATCTTAGCAGATCTAGGCTCTGGTGTGTACCACTGGGCCATCGATAACTACGGTGACGAATCAACGCCTCTCTTAGGAAACCAAATCGAAGCTGCTCAAGGTCACCACAAATGGCCTTGGATCATCACCATACGGCAATTTGCCAACAATTCACACGCTCTGGCTCGAGGCATAGCCTTGACAGTTCTCCCACTCGTCCTCGCGTTTAATGACCCTGTGGTTCATGGCTTCGTGAGCACGTTTGCGTTTTGCGTATTGTTTTGCCAGCAGTTTCATGCTTGGGCTCATGGAAGCAAGAGCAAGCTTACACGTCTAGTGGTGGCGTTGCAGGACATGGGGATACTCCTTTCACGGACACAGCACGTGAATCATCACCGACCACCGTGTAACAGTTACTGCATAGTGAGTGGGGCGTGGAACAAGGTTTTGGATGAAAGTAAGTTCTTTGAGGCATTGGAGAAGGTGCTGTATTTCCAGTTCGGGGTGAGACCTAGGTCATGGAGCGACCCAAACTCCGAATGGACAGAAGAAACCGACATCTCCAATAACCTAGCATAAATCAACCTTCAAGAGAAACTAAATTAGCATCAAACTCTCTTTTCCATCTTTTGTTTTGTTATATCTCAGGTTGTGATAACGTTCGTGCATATCGTCTCACTAAAACAGCACGAACACGGAAAATTTTCTTGTTTTCATGTAAGCTCTCGAGTTCTAAATTGGTTTTTTCCCATGGGAAGTCTTTTCCCACAAGCTTGATGGGACATCGTGCTTTTTTATTTTTGCTGTAGAAAGATGAATAAATCGGAACACTGCTTTTTCCATATCATTTTGGGATTTCGAACCTAATCTTATAACCATTTTGATTAATTTGAGAACTTTTGACCTCTTCTGATCTCAACAACTAATCATAAATCTTTCGTTCTAAAAGATCATAATTAGTTATGTACAATTCTTAAGGTAATGCTTAAAACAATGGTATATATTGTGTCTTTGCAAATAATTACTTTAGCTTTTTACATGAGAATGCCCCAATGTGGATTTAGGTCGAAGAACAAGTTACTTCATTACAGAAGTCTAGTAAGAAAAAGTTGATTTTCTTAATGCACATGGAGAAGATGGCTAAGGTGGCAAGTAATGGAAACTTTGGAAATTGGGCAACTTATTATTAACGGAAAGTTGGGAATCTATTCCATATATAGGATATTTTTTCCATTATTACAGAATTTTTATCTCAGCGAATAATTGAGTCTCATAAATGATTGAATTATTGGTTTAGCATTTAGTTAGAAGCAAACGTAATATATACGACCACGAACAAAAAATTAGATAAAAACAAAAAAACAGAACGTTCTATTTGTATGTTTTTTTTGTTGAGTTGTGGAATAATTGAATGATTAAGATGGATAGTTAGAGAAAATCCCGAAATGTTTTAGAATTTTTTTCTTTCAAAAATGAATGTTTTGTATCCTCAATGCATTTTTATTAGTTAATGATAATCAAATGTAGTTTTAAAGAAATTTAATTGAATTACTATTAGTTAAAATTTATTGAAAATTATTAATCACAAAAGCATATATTTATAATCAAATTTTAATGTCTTCTTAATGTATATTTAAACATCTTTATTTTAAGAACTGAAAAAATATCTTAAGGAATTTATAATTTGGTAACAATGAAAAAGTTATGATTTTGAGTAAATGATGTACAATTCAGAATTCAGAGTGAGAGTATATTATTAATGAAAAAGGTTATAATTTTGAGTAAATGATGTACATTTAATTGTTATTCAGAATCCCTAAGCCGTTTAACTCCCCCTTGAATTGTTAATTGAAAAATAAAAACCTAAAAAAAAAAAATCCGGATTGAAGAGCAATCTTGGTTGTGAACTGAGGGAGGCAAATAGCACCTTTTAAAATGTTGGGTTTTAGTTGGTAACTTTAAAAACTAAGAGTCCAATTTTCAAACTTTTTCTATAAGTTACATAGCTAATGCTAGCGATCACAATAGTCCCACGCAGCTCTGACGTACACCACAACATAGCTTCAGCGTAATCTCTTCCTCTATCGTTGGTTTTAGGTTGAAAAAAAAACTAGAACTTTTTTACGCCTTTCTCCTGTAATCTCTTCCAATGGCTGTATCACTTCAAAAGTACCCTCTAAGACCCATCTCCAACAACATCCCAAGAAGCCACCGCCCGTCTCTTCTCCATGTTCGTGTCACGTGCTCTGCTACAACAACCACCAAGCCTCAGCCTAACCTTGAGAAGCTTGTGGTTGAGAATCGCTTCGTGAACCCTCCTCTGCCCAACGACCCAACTCTGCAATCGACATGGTCCCACCGCTTATGGGTTGCAGCAGGCTGCACCAGCTTGTTTGCTTCTTTAGCTAAATCTATTGTTGGAGGGTTTGGTTCTCATCTCTGGCTCGAACCAGCTTTAGCCGGTTATGCAGGGTATGTCTTAGCTGATCTCGGCTCCGGAGTGTACCACTGGGCCATCGATAACTACGGTGATGAGTCAACGCCTATTGTCGGAACCCAAATCGAAGCGTTTCAGGGTCACCACAAGTGGCCTTGGATCATCACCAGAAGGCAATTTGCCAACAATCTACACGCTCTAGCTCGGGTCATAACCTTGACAGTTCTCCCACTAGACCTTGCGTTTAGTGACCCTGTGGTTCATGGCTTTGTGAGCACGTTTGCATTTTGCATAATGTTTAGCCAGCAGTTCCATGCTTGGGCTCATGGGACCAAGAGCAAGCTTCCACCTCTCGTGGTGGCGTTGCAGGACATCGGGCTGCTTGTTTCACGGAGACAGCACGCGGAACATCACCGAGCACCGTATAACAACAATTACTGCATAGTGAGTGGTGCGTGGAACAAGGTGTTGGATGAAACTAAGGTCTTTGAGGCAATGGAAATGGTGTTGTATTTGCAGCTCGGGGTGAGACCGAGATCATGGAGCGACCCAAACTCAGACTGGACGGAAGAAACCGAGATCATCTCCAACAACCAAGCATAATCAAGGTTGATCTATGCAGGTGTTTGAAAAACAATTATTTATATATACACATGTACAAGAAGATTTATGATATATACTGATAAGAATTTTTGCAATTTATCTGCAACAATGAGTAAGTGTATCGAGTATAAAACAAAAACACAAGAACATCAAATGCTTACTTGTTTTTTCTTAAGTGTTCAAGTATCAGACCCAGCGAATGAATAAACAGAGGAAACACAGGGGAACCAATACTGACATTTTCCGTCTTTATTGCCATTGTCGATCATTGCGAGGCCCTCCTGAAACAAGTTTTTTTTTTTAAATTGTAAAGTTTCGGGACCCACATAGGTCTCACTGGATTTACTACATGTACTGAATCACAATAAATCCAATAGGGGAAAAGAACAGCAAATGCTTACTTCTAACAAAGTCTCGAGAGTATCTATAACCCGACCAGATGTCCACGAGAGCCGTCTTTGTACCTCTTCCACAGTCACAAAGCCTTGACCCTGTGAGGAAAGCAACATAATTCTGAGTTACACATCTAAGATAATGCAAGACATGTGAAAGTTGTTTTCTTTTGTGAAAAAACTGTAAGTAGTATATGATAATAACCTGAGCCAACTCCAAGATTTGGTTATGGTCTTTGTTCAGCTCAGTGGGGACTGAACGGACAAACCTTTTCTTGCCAATTGTGATAACCTCAAATCCGCTACCTAATACCTGAGGAAAAGAAGCCGAAGATACCAGAAAGAACAGTTCAATTTTTTTCCTTTTTTTTGTTGAAAACCTGAAAAGAAAAACACAAGTCATATACCTTTAGCTTGCTAATAGCTCGAAGACAATCATCTTCAGTCACAGCTTCACGGTCTTTTTTCCGTCTCTGACGAAGATGGTTACAGAGCTCTTGCAAGCTGATCAAACCTCCATTCTGTGACCTTGTAAGCATGCAAACTTCAATAATCTGGACTCCTGTTTCATCAATATACTACTTTTCGGATAAATGTTTCTAATTTAACAGAGGGAATTTGATTCCAAAGTACGAAAAAGAACTACATATACGCCAGTGCTTATGTTCCCTTATCCAAACATGGACTTAGGAATCATAGCTAACAATGGAACATGTCAGAAAAAAGAGATCAAACATACCAAGTTCATAGTAGAAGTCACCAATTCCCAGGAGCTCAGCCCAGAAGCCCTTGTTGGAAGCTAATGGATCCACACCAATTTTAGCACACATTTCATGGAATTGAGCTCTGAAGGCTGGATTTTTACGAATGTCATTCTGCAACCAAAGGACAAATATGCTTCTTTTTCAGTGGAATGTAACCACACTGATCCATATCCGACAGATCATATTATTTTATAGGCAAAGGCAATCAAGAGGATGATGTAACAGCAAACCCACCAAAGGAACAATATATAAAATTTCAACAAAATTCGACCTTGTGTTTACGAGCAAACTCTTCAAGCTGCGACCGGAACGTGGCAAGCTGCTCTTTCATCATATCAGTCCGTAACTTGGCCACATTTTCTCCTAATAACCGGTACTGGTCCTGATTTTGTTGGATAGAGATATAGCAAAAAAATCAACAAATATGTGACAAAAGGCACATACGAGACATCGGAAACAAACAGATTCGACGAATAAGGATATCAAATCTGGTTTAGAAGCGAAACCCGAGCAGCCGCGGCCGTTTGTAGCCCTCCGATTCCTGGTCGTCGTCGCATCTTTCAATGTTTTTTGATCTTTTGGAATTCTCTTCCGGTAATACACAGCTTCGAGAAGGAAAATTGGAGAAGACGACATTTTTCTTGTATAATTAATTTTAGTTTCTTCTACTTTCAACAAATCAGAGTGGCGCAGCGGAAGCGTGGTGGGCCCATAACCCACAGGTCCCAGGATCGAAACCTGGCTCTGATATATATCTATTATTTTTTTTCCTGTTTTTACTTTACAATTTTTATTTATCCGCTCTTCAAAACAAAACAAAAATTTGTTTCTGACCGTTTTCACAATCTCAAATATGTTGTCTGTTGATCTGTTCCACCATCAAACTCATCTTCTAAAACGACATATACTGAAAATTTAAAATAGAGAGCACATGTTTCTCAGATCTTACTTTATTATATAAAAGTACTGTATTAGAAAATACCAAGTGTCTGAAACTTGAAATCTTATTAGAAATTATTAGAAACTTGCTTATACATCATAACTTCTGCAACAAGTTATATGACTCTTAACAACCGAAACATAAAGCAACCAGAAACATAAAACAGCCGCCTTGAATGGAATCTCCTTTTTTTCTGGGCTTATCTCCACCACTGATCTCAGCAGATCAAATTTTTGGGTCTTGGAACCATCATCATCACCGGTCTTCCTTGTCTTGCAGAATATCCCTCCATCCCATTGTTCCTTGCGACAGAAGCAAACATGAGAGGAGAAAGACACGGAAGCATCGTTGGCCGTGGTGGAACACTCATCACTCTTTGCTTAACAAAAGGATGGTTCAACAGCTCCGCTGCGGTGGCTCTTCGTGACGGCTGCAAATCCAAGCACCGCCTCAAGAAGTCGCTGGCCATAGGCGAGACACGTTTGGGAAGCCTCCACGTGTAACAATCTCCCATCCTCTCTGGACAGCCTCCAAACATCTGAAGAACCACACACCCTAGAGACCATATGTCAACGGCCGGTCCAATCACTCTGTTGGGTCCACAAGACTCCGGAGGCATGTACTGCTTCGTGCCACCATACAACGACCTCGAATCCTGACAGGGCTCCTTGGATAAACCGAAATCAGCGAGCTTGAGATCCCACGGCTCCCCAACAGTCTTGGAAGGGAAGACGAGAACGTTGTCTGGCTTTATGTCGCAGTGAACGTAGCCGTGTGAGTGAAGAGCCTCGATTCCTTGTAGGATCATAAGAGCGGCGTGTCCGATCACAGATTCAGGCATTGGTCTCCCACGGAACTCGGAGATCATCTTCTGGAGAGTACCTTTGGAGGCAAACTCCATGTAGATGAAGCATCGTTCGGGATTGGTGCCTATGTGGAGATTAGGGCTTGCCGTTTGGACGATGCGAGGATGGTTTCGGAAACGAAGCATGATCCTGTGCTCTTTCTCCAGATTCCTCAGGAAATCGAGCGGCGACGACTTCTCTGCGTATAATCGGAAGTTGGAATCCCTCATGAGAGAGACGGAACCGAAACCCCCTCGGCCAAGTAAAGAGACAAAGGTTAGGTTTGAGGATTCGTCAACATTCAAGGCTTCTCTGTCTCTAATCATCATCTTCTCCATGATCTTTTAGGTTTTGCTTCGAATTCTATTTTTCTTTTGTTGTGGTTGAGAAATAAGAAATCGAATCAATGATACTTCATATGGGAGAGTCTGACACTCTCTATTTATAAGAAAGATAGATATAAGTCGGTGATTTCTATTTTGTTTTGTAATCGAGAGTGATCTTGCTCACTATTTCCTTTTTTCTATCATGTTTAATTTCCTTTTTGTTGTTTCTTATATCTGGTTTCCATTTTTATTGTTGAAATTAAAATTAGTCTAACTCACAATCCAATATATTTTTATTAACTTTATCTGCATAATGAAATCGAGATTGATTTTCTCGCCCTCTAAAAATGCGTAGAATATTCAATTGGTTTTTACTAAACGATCTTAAACTTGTCATTTCCTTTTTGTTTTCTTAAAATTCTCGCTTTATATATAAACTCGCAGAATATTCAATTGATTTTACTAGACCATATCAATAAAAAGCTATTATTTTTAATAAATTCTACTTGATTTTAATCTGCGAATAGGAGACACTACACCACCCGAGTCAAAGCTTTACAAGAATATTTCTCTATCTTAAAACTAATTTTTCAAAATTTTAAATCACTAAATTCTTCCCTCGTGATTTATATATGTCACGATGGTGGTGAAAGTTGATTTAGTGTTTACAAGTTTATGTCAACAGGACCACAGTAATACTTGATGAATCGATTCAAGTCACCCTTTCACCCTTTCACGATTTTCCAAATAGAAAAAATAAAAAAATCTTTAGTTGTCGAGATCAGGTGTACGAAAATTATGAACAAACGGTACTAAAACCAAGCTCTGTTCAAACAACATTGTATCTTACAGACATACGACATGCTTAAGAAAACTCTCAATGGAAGAAACAAACAAAAAAATATCTCAGAAGCTCAAGTTTACTTGTCGAATTGTTGCAGATCGATTTCCCAAACTGATGCCAACTGCATCACAAGCTGTTCCGGCGCGGGACCTTCCCAGTCTTCAGGTGGATCCATCGTGGAACATGCGTCTTGTAAATTGAACAATATCTCTGTCTTCAGTTCCATTGGAACTCCAAATGTGTCTGCACCATCTTGTAAAACCAATTCCAGCAGCTGTAAATGGCAAAAGAGAGAAAGAGAGAGGGAAGTATTAAGACCAAATATCGATATGATTCTTGGAAATCAATGTCTTGTAAAAGAATTTACCTGTTGAATCCAAGATAAACAGATGTCGTAGAGATTGTGATCCAACAGAAACTGAGTGATGAAATTAAGAGCTTCGTTTGCAATCTCATTTGACATCTGGTCAAGGGAAGGTCCTGTTTTGTCCATCAGCTTGATGATCAAGTGCTGGTCACCGGCGCAAAGGACTTCTGCGTAAGCAGAGTCAATGTCACCAACACGGAGTGAGTGCATTGCATTACTCCATGAACTCCATATCGGGTCACGTTCTTGCCCTTCGTTTTCTTCATCTCCCATGGCTTCAGCTTCAGGGACCGCAGCAACTCGGGTTGGACGAGTGACTGCACCATCCTCGCCAGCTACTCTGATAGCTTCAAGTGTAGCTTCATCCTTTGATGCTTGCCACACACTTCTTGCTGAAGGACCTTCACCAAATCTAATAGTTCCAGCTGCTTTATTATCCCAACCTCTCCTGCTATTTCCCATGTGCTCATCCTCATGTTGTTCTGACCGAGGTGACCTTCTTGGCCCGGCTTGTCCGTTTCTGGAAGCCGCATGTGGAGGCATGAACCAGTCATCCGCCATGTCGGAACCCCACATCCTGCCCCTCATAGCTCCATCAGGTTGTGAGCCTCTGTCTCCTGGAGCTCGGCCGTTATACTTTCCAGTAGAATAGTTTGCGAAGCTATTATATTTGCCAAATCCAGCTGTGAGATTACTCCTACGACCTGATGATATTGAAAGATCTCTTGCCATGTCTTCAACAATCCTCTCTAAACCCCTTACCCTGCCCTCTAAGGTCACCATACTGTCATGTGAGCCACCAATAAACTCCTGGAGCATGTTCATGAGGTTAGACTGTTGTCTCTCTAGCTGCAACAACTGCCTCTGGATGGCTGACCAATTTCCTCTATTACTTGTGAAGGATCCTTCAGATTGGTTTCCGGGCGTATCTTTTCCGTTTACAAGGCCAGCCTTATCATCACCAGATGTCCCTGCCTGTAACCTGTTCCCATCAAACCTACCTTTTAACTGTTTATCACTCGCCGACTCTAAGTTGTGGAACTTGGAATCTGGAAATTCATGATCATCTGCTTGGCTGTTCTTGAAGCGATTTGAAGATCCCATGGAATTGAGATCATCGAGTCCTGATTCTTCCTCATCATTTTTTTTACATCTACGAGGGACTACTACTTCGACGGATTGCCGTCTTTCTAGTCTCTGGAAAAATTCAGGATTAAACTCTTTGTCACTTAAGGCAGGTGCTTTCTTCTTCAACATTACAGCTGCTTTTTCAGGAAGACCTCCTTTTCCTTTAGAAGCAGAGTTCGGTGAGAGTGTGGAACCATCGGAAGCCTCCTTTTTCATTAGATCAGCTAGATTAGACCTCTTGTCCCCGTTCTTCTCTGATCCAAGCTGCTCACCAGATGAACTCTTTGACTCATCTGGAGCACCATCTAAACATTTTCCAGAAATCTTTTTCCATAACTGCAGCGCCTCTGTCACACTTTCCCTGACAGGTTTAATCTGTCCAAGAAAATATCATCATTAAACTGTTTTGAGGAGATCACTACACAACCTAAGTAAGTTTATGTGGGGCATTTCACAAAATATTCACCCATTACAACGCTCACTAGTAAGCAAAGTGATAGATGACTGAAATGAGATATGCAGATCATAGTAAACAATTACAAGAAAGCGCTCTGTGAGAAATTCAAGCTACTTGCTTGTGCGTTTCAATTGCATAGCAAATGATGAGGAAGGCCCGCTAGCACCATCATCTACTAATTGATATGTCTGAGCTGCTAATAACATATGACATTATTTCACAAGGAATTGATGAGCTTTTGGTGTTTCAAACACGGTAATACACTAATACTTTGCTTTGTTCTTAATTAAAACCTCACGCTACTTAGAGAAAGAGAACGTATCTACCTTGTCAAACCGACAGGTCTCAAGCACGGCAAGAGTCGAATCTGCTCTATCCTTAACTAAACTGCTTGAATGTAATGCCAATGCAGTCAAGGTCTCAGCCGCAGCCTTTCGTGTTACCCAATCTGTACTTCCAATGCAATCATGGATAGTTTCTAGCAATGACTCCAAGCTCTGAGGCGCGATGGCTCCCACCTGAACCAGAGTTATTGTTCTTTACTTCTCTTTTTCAAAGACAATTTTAATCATTGAACCTACTGGCATTAAATTACCAGAAGTAAAGAGAGAGATGCTTAAACCCCAAATTCACTGGATCTAGTTAAGCTAAAACAAAACAATACAGCAACACCAAGAAGAAAAGTTGTCGAACTACGCCTAAACCTCAAGCAGTCCATATTTAAACCAGAGAATATCCTTTTAAGAAAACTGCAACATTCAATCGATCCCCCAATACTAAGGTTTACTGACCTATTGACTAAAGCTTCCAACATGTTGACTAAAGCCTTTTTTTCTCACTAAGTTCAAAAATCAACCTATTCGTCACATGCATGGCATTGTCTACATATGACAAGGAGATTAATGGTTCCGCGCAAACCTGAGACAGACTTGAAACAACGGGCAAAAGGGATGCCTTAGCCAAGAAACTGGAATTGCTCAACAGCTTGCAGATTCTAGGGCAAAGCTTTTGGAAAGATGTAACAGGAGGACTGGCCGCTGATTCCACCATCCTAGCCATACACATTGCCGCTCCAGCTTGTACTACTTTGTTCTGCTCTCCCATCGCCTCAAACAATGGCTTCACGAATAGACCCACCGCGCCGGTATTGTTCCCGTCTTCTTTTCCTTTGAGGTAAATCCCAGACAAAGCACCAATCGTATCCCTGCAAGCATCCCTGACTCCGGAATCGGAATCCTTCAGCCGTTTAACAATCTGAGCGATGATTCTAGTGAGATGCGCAGCCGTCGAATCGGAATGTAAGCTACAGACGTACGAGAGGAGGTGGAGGCACTCCTTCTTCACGGCGGGTTTCGGATCGGAGCACGAATCGTAGAGACAGTTGAGGAACATAGGTAGGGTTTCGGGAGAGATAGACTGAATAGTTTTCTCGAGATCTTCAACGGCGATCTGGTATGTATCCCGATCGGCGAGCTTAGAGATAGAGGTGAGGATCTTCTGCTTCTGCTCCACCATGGTCTGGAAAGCAGTGAGGGAGCCGGAATTGGAGGATGACCTAGTTGCCACGCTCGACGACCTTGCTGGTTTTGTCGGCTTCGCCGCCGAACCGGATGCGGCAGGTGTGCTCATTCCGAAATCGCCGGCGAGAGAAGTGCTGAATCGTAGAAGAAGAAGAGACGGTTTGCGGAAAATGACGAGATCTGACACTGGAAAGTGTAACGGTTAAGACTCTGAATAAGAACTCTGAGTCGCTCTCGCTCATTTTATCAATATTAGCTTTTTCAATTTTTTCAAATTTTAAAGATAAATTCATAATTTATTTAATATATATTTACAGTGCCGGATTTTGATTTTCACGCGGAAAGTCGGTGTTCGTTTTCCACCTCTAACTCTAAGTTGATATCAAAGTACTCTTTCCGTTCATATTTCTATCAAAATCTGATCGGAAACAGTTCTTCCGACGTCCTTTGTTTGTTCTTTAAATTGCTTTCCCAAACATCTGATTGGGCCTAATATCACATTTTGACCAGGCCCATAACCGAGTCCATGTTATCTCTTTGCTGGGACAATCACAGGTGTGTCATTGTGTTGTAAAGATCACTTTATGCCAAAAGTTAGGCCAACCAAATTTATTATCTCATTTTTTAACTGCTATCAAATAACGGATGCACATATTCCCTGAGCTTCCCATAGGCTATCATCAGCGACGATCACAAGCTAAAAACAAGAGTATATTACAAACTATTTTTACAGAAAATGATACAAAGTCATCCTGCAGATTAAGGATTATTAGCAACTCTAAAAAAAAACTTATAGAAGAAATTTTGCCCGGAAAAAGTTAACACTAATTACCCAAATTTAGTCAAAGAAAATGTAAAAAAAATTAAGACCAAATAAGGCATGTGATAAACACATCCAACCCCCAAAGATGTACACCGCCCTCTTCTTACCAACCTCCTCTTGATTTTTGTTATCCACAATTAAATTAATGTGATACCGATTCCTTATTTTACTGAAATTTCTGGTCACAGAACTGGCCACATAAACTTTGTTTTTGAACGAATCTATAAAGTGCCCTCACTTTCAAGGTTTTGTCAGCCAAAATACAATAAAATCTGTCCCGCTTGAGTAATAGATAAAGATTCAGTAATGGCCACCACAGGCACCGCTGCTACTTTCAGACCGTCCCTTTCAGCTCATTCCGAATCGACCCATCTGAGATCGCCCTTCAAACTCCCCAAATTTACGACTCTGCCATCGTCTCGCTCACGGTCGTCTTCGCCGTCGTTCTCTATCTCCTGCACCATCGCTAAGGACCCTACTGTTCGCATGGCGGAGACTGAGAAGACCAAGGCCGCTGGATCTGATCCGACCCAGTGGCAACGACCCGATTCATTCGGTCGGTTCGGGGTGTTTGGCGGGAAGTACGTCCCTGAAACCCTTATGCACGCCCTCTCCGAACTCGAAACGGCTTTCTATTCGCTCGCCACCGACGAAGATTTCCAGGTAAGTCGACTTAATTTTTGTTTTGATCTTGTTCGTCAATGCTGAATCGATCAAAAATGATTTTTTGCTTTGCGGTTTCCTGATCCAAGCGTTGTCATTGGCATGAGTCGGAAAATGATTGGCCAAAAGCTTTGAACTTTGATTATCAGAAGAAAAAAAGTTTTAAACTTTTGTCGAATGAGTTATGAAAATCTCCAGAACAATATGAAGTCTTAGGGCATGTGGGTGAATCGTTTTTTATCTGTCGATGTAGTCTTAGGAAAATTGTTGTTATTTCCCATATCAAATCTGAAACCATTATGCATATTAATGTGTTCTTAAGCTATACATGTTTCTGCGTGATGCAATCTGTAAGCTTTTTTTTAGTTAGAGCGTTTGTAGGCAATGGTCTAATTAATGTTTGATGTTTCTGTAGAGGGAATTGGCAGAGATCTTGAAAGACTACGTGGGTCGGGAAAGTCCTCTTTACTTCGCAGAGAGGCTCACGGAGCATTACCGCCGAGAAAACGGTGAAGGGCCGCTCATATACCTCAAAAGGGAAGACCTTAACCACACCGGGGCTCACAAGATCAACAACGCCGTGGCTCAGGCTCTTCTCGCCAAGCGTTTAGGAAAGAAGAGGATTATCGCTGAGACAGGAGCTGGTCAACACGGTGTAGCCACAGCAACCGTGTGTGCCCGCTTCGGTTTGCAATGTATTATCTACATGGGTGCTCAAGACATGGAGAGACAAGCTCTTAATGTATTTAGGATGCGTCTTCTCGGTGCCGAGGTCATGTGAACTCTATGCAGAAAACCTTTGCAAAGGTCGTGATGTTTTCAAAAATGGTTATCTAATTTATGGTCCTTGTATAGGTGAGGGGAGTCCACTCTGGAACAGCGACTTTAAAGGACGCGACATCCGAAGCTATAAGGGATTGGGTGACGAATGTGGAGACGACACATTACATATTGGGATCTGTTGCGGGTCCTCACCCTTACCCTATGATGGTCAGAGACTTTCACGCCGTGATTGGTAAAGAGACGAGGAGACAAGCGATGGAGAAATGGGGCGGGAAGCCTGATGTTCTGGTTGCTTGCGTTGGTGGGGGCTCGAATGCTATGGGACTATTCCATGAGTTTGTCGATGACTCAGAGGTTCGAATGATCGGCGTGGAGGCCGCTGGATTTGGACTGGACAGCGGCAAACACGCTGCCACATTGACAAAAGGAGATGTCGGTGTACTCCACGGAGCTATGAGTTACCTGCTTCAAGATGATGATGGCCAAATCATTGAACCACACTCCATCAGTGCCGGGTAAGAGATTCTTCTCGGTTTAAATATCCGGTTTAGTCCTCCTTAACATAACACTCCTTCTAAAGAGTATAAAGTGCATGTTAACAGCTTGGACTACCCTGGAGTCGGACCTGAGCATAGTTTCCTTAAAGATGTGGGACGAGCTGAATACTACAGCGTTACCGATGAAGAAGCCTTAGAAGGTACTTGCTTGACAGCATCATGTTCTTTCTCTATATATGTTTCTTCCACATCTCATGAAAACTTGCAATGGTTTTTTTAAAACTGATCTCCTCTTGTAGCGTTCAAGAGAGTGTCTCGGTTGGAAGGAATTATCCCGGCATTGGAGACATCTCACGCGTTGGCCCATCTTGAGAAGCTTTGTCCGACGTTACCCGATGGAACCAGAGTGGTCTTAAACTTCAGCGGGAGAGGCGATAAGGATGTTCAGACGGCCATCAAGTATCTTGAAGTTTAGAGAGATTAATACTTTTATTTCGTGTTGTTAGTTCTTTCTTCTGGCCGGGAACCCAAAAATAGGAAGAAATGATAGAGAACAAATATAAAGAATGTATCCTATAAATAAGAATGTTCTAATAAGAACTTCGAACTGTATTGTTGTTGACTTGCTGATCTTCCTTTTCATAACTTAATTTGACAGAAACTTATAAAACCTTAATGCATAATAAACAACTCTGATTTAATAGTATTAAAAGACTGAGAGATGATGTATTGTTCCAGTTACATTCGAAACTGGTGCATTGTTGGAACATTCAATTGCGCACCACCTACGCCGAATGTCATAAATGACTTTTGACTGTAACATTTTGAGACGATAAGGTACTAAATTTTCTCTGGTAAAAAATATTTGGGTCAAATGGGAAATGAAGCAAAGGAGAAGGGACTGGTGTTGTAAATTTGTACCGATCGGGGAGAGAGTTTTAAATCTGGACGGTGAAGATAAATTGCAAGGGAGGTGCTTCGTCCCGAAGCTTATAGAAGTAGCCCAAGCAGGAAGCAGCTGTTGTTTTCCCAGTTGACTCCTTTATCCGGCGAAGATGGTCTCCACGAGCAAGATCAAATCCGTTGATTTCTATAGGTTTTGTTTCTGTTTGCTTCTGTATCCCATTTTTCCAGATTTCTTCCAGCTTGCTTAGACTTCGAATTTCTTCGATCTAGGGAGTGACAGAATTTGTATTGATAGTTTAGTTTGAATACAATCTTGGGGAAAATCTACATTCTGTTGATTTTCATGTTGATTACTGGTAGGGTTTAGCTGTGAAGAGGCGATCCTGAAGTTGTAGGTTTTTTTGCCTCTCCGTGTGTAAGAGCATTGTCAAATCGTCATTTGATCTTAGTGAAATTGGATTGTTGAAGTGTATTTGTTGCTAAGTTTAGATTATGGGGGAAATGTATCAAACTCCGATAGCATCTGAGATTTGTGATTCTACAGGCTAGAGAATTCATATTTGTTCTATTTTTCATTCCCGTGCCTGCAGGAAAATCCCGAGGGATTTGACAGAGGCGACTCTGTCTGGAGCTGGATTGTCCATTGTAGCAGCGCTCTCAATGCTATTTCTATTTGGAATGGTAAGTTTCTAGCTCACTGGACTTGTTGGTTTTAAGACATTCTGTAGCGATTTTTCAAGACTGGTGTCACTGATGTTAAGAAGTATCATTTCGTTTCGCTAATTTGGATAAATGCTCAGTTTTGACTTCGTAAGTTTCGTATTACAGGAATTGAATAATTATATGGCTGTCAGCACTACAACGTCCATCATTGTTGACAGGAGCTCTGATGGAGACTTCTTGCGCATAGATTTTAACATAAGGTAGATTAGACCGTTAATTTATGTTGCGCACCCACTTTTTTGTTGAGTGCATACTTTCTATTTTCATGAATGTCCTGTGTGTGGCCCAATCAAATTCATGCAAAATTCATCATCTATCTGATTGCTAACTAGATACAGATTCATTTTTTTTTGGCAGCTTCCCATCACTTTCATGTGAATTCGCATCTGTGGATGTCAGTGACGTATTAGGAACTGTAAGTTTGGTTTCATCATAAGCTCATTTCAACTTTCAAGTCTCTACTTTAATTGCTTTTCTTGCTCATGGCTATGGTGTGGCCATTTTGGTCGCTCAATTTATTCGGTTGTTCTCTCTCCTGATTTTGCTAACTTTTGTTTTCAGAATAGGCTAAATGTAACGAAGACAATTCGGAAGTTTTCTATTGATTCGAATTTGAGACCCACTGGTACTGAGTTTCACTCCGGGGAAGTTTTATCGCTCATCAATCATGGAGATGAAGCTGGTGAAGAATTAGTTGAAGATTCTGTATCACTTACTGGCCGCAACTTTGACACATTTACACATCAGTAAGGAGTTTAAGTCCGTCCTGCACGTTTCGTATAGATGCTGGAATACTATGAAATATTCATAGTACGTAGTTTGTTTTTTTTTTGCTTCTTGTGACAACGTATGTAACATGCATTTTGCAGATTTCCAATCTCGGTTGTTAATTTCTATGCTCCCTGGTGCTATTGGTGTAATCTCCTGGTAAACCCCGTATCTTGTGTATCCTTCTCTTATATATTCTAGATGTCACAGCATATTTTGCATCTAGAACCATATTTTGCTTCCTGTTGGCAAGGGTCATATTAGCGTTGTTACTAGAGGAGATCCTACATGTTTGGTTGCTAAGACGCGCTTAGAGTGCAATTTACTGCAACCTAGTTAATCGTTCCTGAAAATGCTCTTTGGCTGTAGCCGTAATAATTTCGTCATGGAAAGATTACATTTAAATAAGGATCAACTTTAATATAGAATACTTTTGAGGTAGAATTATTTATGCACAGTAGAGTGGTAATTTTGCTGTTCTTACTCTAAGACTATAACTTTAATGTCTATTGTCAGAAACCATCATGGGAGAAAGCAGCAAAACAAATAAAAGAGAGGTATGCCATTATTGTCTCTTTTAATAAAGATTATTGTGATACTATTTTTTCTCATAAGTTTCTTGTTTTTGGTAGATATGATCCAGAAATGGACGGACGTGTCATTTTAGCAAAAGTTGACTGCACTCAAGAAGCTGATCTCTGTCGGAGGTATATTCTATCATATTTGATATCGTTTTCCATTTTGACTTCTTAAGCTACGAAGCTTAACTAATTTCCCCTACAGTGCAAAAAGTAATATCCATAGCTTCTTCAGTGTGCATAATATTACTGTATTGGAGATTCATGTAGGAATGTCTTTAACTCATTTCTCTGTAAATAAGGTCTAAGATGCATTTTCTATTCGTAAATAGAGGGAGGGTTAGTTAGTTACTTTATAAGTTTGTATTGGCTTCTTACAAATGAATTTTGTTTTATGTAAAATATTATGTGCACCTCTTCAAAAGAAAGTTATGGTTGAAGCAAAGAGAGACATACCATACATAATTACATAGGTTAATGACTTCCTGTAGGATTTCATTTGCTATAGCCAAATGCGTTCTCTGTAATCTTATACCAGTTTTAAGGTATAATTTATGCTCATTAAGTTTCTTCTGCAATTGATCTCCAGGAATCACATACAAGGGTATCCATCCATTCGCATTTTCCGCAAAGGCAGTGATCTTAGGTAACAGAACGTAACTCCTACTTTTCTTGTTAATAGAATGCATGACCATCATTTGCTCGAATCTCCTAAACTCTGTTTTCTCCATCATCTGTTTGATTCTCTTGCTTAATAGGGATGATAATGCACACCACGATCATGAATCGTACTATGGAGACCGTGATACAGAAAGCTTGGTCAAGGTAATTGCTGTCCTAGGTTTATTTTCAACATCTCTTCTGTGCCCCTTGAAAAAATTAGACAAGCATTTGTAGCTTATTTCTGAATATTTTGCGTTCTTCTATAGATGGTGATAGGTCTGGTTGAAGCAATGCATCTAGAACCCCAAAGACTAGCATTGGAGGACAAATCAGACAATGCATCGACAACTTTAAAAAAGGCACCTTCTACAGGAGGATGTCGAATTGAAGGATACATGCGTGTAAAGAAGGTAAGCATTTGACTGGGAGAAATTACTCTTGCTGTGTCTGCTTGCCCTTTTAATTCGCTTAATAAACTTTTAGGTACTTTTCGTGTGATCTTCGCAGGTTCCAGGCAACCTAATGGTTTCAGCTCGCTCAGGATCTCATTCCTTTGATTCATCTCAGATGAATATGTCCCATGTTGTTAACCATCTTTCATTTGGGCGGAAGATTTTGCCTCAGACATTTGCTGATTTAAAGCGCTTGTCACCGTATCTCGGCCAAAGCCACAACCGATTGGACGGCCGTTCTTTCATAAACCAACGTGATCTCGGCCCGAATGTTACAGTAAGTTTATACAACTCCGAAAGAAATCATCTAACTATGCCTTGTAGCATGCTTTAAGGTGTTGTTTTCATGGACAGATCGAGCATTATCTTCAAATAGTAAAGACAGAGGTAGCGAAAAGCAATGGACATGCATTGATTGAGGAGTATGAGTACACAGCACATAGCAGCGTTGCTCATAGTTACTATTTACCAGTCGCCAAGTTTCACTTCGAGCTCTCACCAATGCAGGTAGGCTTCAGCATTCGTTTTGCTGCCTACTCATGTCTGTTGCATATATTAGGGATGGAATGGTGATCCAAAAACCCTTCTTCTTCTGTTTTTTGTTTGTAGGTTCTCATAACAGAAACCTCCAAGTCCTTCTCACACTTCATCACCAACGTATGCGCCATTATCGGTGGTGTCTTCACGGTTAGTAGAGAGAGAACTTAGAATCATCTTTTTCTTCTTGTGATTCATTTAACACGTTTCCTTATGACTTGTCTTTTTCCTTCTGCTCAGGTGGCCGGAATCGTGGATTCTATTCTCCACCAGACGATGACACTGATGAAAAAGATTGAGCTTGGTAAAAACTTTTGAAGCATTTCGCAAGGGTTCATTTCGTTTTCTGTGTAACGAGCTGCTGAGTTTTTTGTTATATTATACACAACCAAATGAGACCATATAATCCAGTTATATATATTCGGAAAATGTTATATCGTTAAAATCTTTGGGCGTTTTTTTACCTTTGTCGCCGGCCAGAGCTTTCCGGTTAAGATTAAAACATTTACAATTTGCACAGAACTCACCCGCCTTCACCACTATCTCAATTAAAGCTTCTTCTTTGGCACTTAAAATTTTATTTGGAACTTCAACATATAGAACAACAAGAACATAATTAGATTTTCTCGCTTTGCACTATAACAGAGATCAGTAATCACACTGTCGTAGCTGGGACACATCACGGATAATTCGTTCATGTTCAAATGTTTGGTAAGAATACGTGAACCGAAGAATAAGAATTGATGGTGATATTAGACAGAGTTCAAGCCACTTTCCACGTTTTATATCATTATGCTCTCTCGAAGGGACAAGCGGTTGTTATCACTTAAGCAGGAGGATTTGCACATTAAATACCAAAATTAACAAATTCAAATGAAGACGTGATAAGAAAAAGCAAATGGACCTTTAGTGATAAGAGTAAGATCAAATAACTAAGGTTTCCCAAACAAGGTTTCAAACTTGAAACTAACATCCGAAAATTGAGTAGATAATGATGTTGAGACATGCGAAAACACTAATTTACCAACCCAAAATCAAAAAAACAGATTTGCAGATAATATTCGACTTGATCAGGCAGTGATCTCCTTCTTGAGTTTTGCAAGCTCTTGCCTGACGACACCAGCTTTCTGCAAACAACAAACAAAGACATTCACATTTCAGTTTAACACACGCAAAACACGATAATATAATCTTTTTCAGTCTAACAATTCAACAAACTGACCTTGATTTTGGCCAACATGATCTTGAACCTATCAAAATCGTTGAGGTTAGCCCTACGCTTCTGCACGATAAGCTTCCTACCCCATGAGCTCTTCTCCCACTTGTTCTTCACGTCTGCAAATACTTTCGGGATTAGATGGAACCACTTACAAATTCCCAACATTACATTGTAAAGCAGAGCACTCACCAGCCTTTTCCATTGCCTCGATCAAAGCCTTCTTCTTTGGCACTCGGTTGATTTCAATCACGATATCTGTAAGAGACAACCTCTTGAAGTTCATCTGGATCCTCTCCATATCAGGGGCATCTACTAAAGCCTACATGACAAGAACAAAATCAGAAATCTACAATACCAAAATCAGAAATCTACAATACCAAAATCAAAACTTGTGAAACCAGAATTCAACATAGGCAGGCCTATGGCATTACTTAATATCTATATTATTACAGATTCTAAAGCAATGAGAAATCAGAAAGCCAAATTTGCAGCTAGCTCAGATTCACAATTGATAAGAGCTCCATGATGTATGAATGAATAAAACCAACTTACCCTGTTCTGGTCAACGACGTCGACGATTACGACGAGTTTGCCATGGTCCTTTCCGTAGTTGACAAGTGCAACTCTTCCTATCTCCACGTACCTCTTGAAAACCTGAACAATCACAAAGAATCGTAAGATCTCACAACCTTGGTCGATGTTAAAGAGATGAACAACACTTGACTGAAGACATCTACACCCAAATCACCCAATACTTTCGAGAAATAAAGAAATCAGAATCAAATATCTCACCATTTTCGCCGCCGGTAGGTTAGAAGGTAGAAGCTCCGAGTGATAAAAGTGAACGAGCAACAGCTGAAACGTCTAGCGTTTGGTCAAGAGATTATATATACCACGTATTTTAGGGTTTTCGATTTTGGGCCTTAAAGATTTAAAATAAGTAACCCATAAAGCCCATATATGAACGGTTCAAAAAGCGTCGTTTAAGTTGGGTATCTGGTTAGGCCCATACGAGAAAAATGTCCACTGTTCTCGTTGCTTGCTCTTTGCCTTGTCTCTCTCCCACTGTTGTTGTTGCAATTTCGTTACCAAATTACTCTCAGGTGAGCATTTTTTTTTATAACATTTTCTTACAGAATTGCAGAAAGTCAACTGGTTTTCGCAAATTTTTTATTGATTAGTACTTTTGAGTGACAGTAAAAACGAAAATCCAAAAGAGATTAAGATGAAAACGTTCCCTAAAATTGTGAGGACAAAAAACGAAAATCCAAAAGAGATTAAGATGAAACATGTTATTAAACTCGACGGTCGGTACGACCAAAAAAAACACCGAGAAACTATAAGAAACCCAAAAAGAAAGGAAGTTTCTGACTTTTCGACTCCAATCCACTTTACGTCTAAGCTGGGTCCCCCCTTAAACTCTCGGAATTTTCTTTCGTAAAGATCGACAAATTAAATAAAATTTCTTCATTGATCGTCGATCAATCTTTTTGAGTTTTGAGGGGATCCCGATCCAATGTATTAGTTTCTGTTTTGTTTTAATTGGTTTTTCCTTGATTTTTTTTGTTTTCCCGGGGAAAATTCGTGTGTAATTGATTGGAGTTTCGTAGATGTGGGGAGGTGCAGCTGAGCCAGCAGATTCTTACTACCAAGTCCGTCCCGAGTGCACCGAAGATGTACCCAAAACCAAATTCAAAATCAAGGTTACGTCTTTCGTTTTCATTCATCTTACTTTTCTCCGATTTTGCTTCTTCTTCTCTTTTTTTAGATTGGGTCGTGTTTGTCAACAATTACGGATACGACATGTGATTTCAGATTCGGTTCCAATTACATAACCATCTGCTTATTTACGTTGTTCGAAATATGCATTGTCTCTCTCTCTCTCTCTTGTCGACTTGTTGATTCCAAATTAAAAGATCGATTGCCTCACCGGCTTTTGCATTTGATTTCTCTTTGAATTCCAAGTTCAGGCATTAATGTTCATTTATATCTGTTTCCTAATGAGCACATATTGATCTTAGGAGATGTTAGTTAGGTTCTCACAATCTATTATTGTTCACATGATTGAGTTTAGAGAAGGCATTTGCTTGATTGTCTATTTCTCCTGAAAGAATATTTAAAAGCTTGAAAGGATTAAACTTCTTGAGTCCATTAACTGTAAAAGTGATGGCACACAACAGTGTTCAGAATATAAATAAGACATGTGTCTCTCTTTGGTTATTCGCTTCGTTGGCGCTAAGTCAGATTGAATAAGTTCCTCCTTATGAGCCTTAACATCACAGGCCAGAGAAAAGGCTGTATCATTCCATTTGCTGGGGTCATAATGTATAATGTTGAGGCCAAGAATTTTTATGCTACGTTGCTGACAACATTTGGTCAATTATTCTTTTGTTTGTGCAGCCTGGTAAAACTCTAAGTGTAAGAAAATGGCAGGCTGCATTTGTCCAGGAAGGGTCTCTCGATATTGGCAAGACTCTAAGACGAATCCGAAGAGGGGTATGTCGGTTTAGAAAAGTCTTTGCCAAGACTCATTTATCATTTGATTTGTTCTGAAACTTTTGAAATTTTCGCTACTTTATATCCGGTAAAATCCATCTGTAGGGAATCCATCCATCAATTAGAGGCGAAGTTTGGGAATTCCTACTTGGCTGTTATGATCCAATGAGCACATTCGAGGAAAGAGAGCAAATCCGACAACGCAGAAGGTACATGGTTTCCTCTGTTCTTTCACCCGTATAAACCATAAGTTCTGTTTTGTCTATCCTATTGTTTCTACCTTCGCTTTACAAATGTGTTGATATCTCCTTCAGATTGCAGTATGCTTCGTGGAAGCAGGAGTGTAAGCAAATGTTTCCTGTTATTGGAAGTGGAAGGTTTATTACCGCGCCTGTAGTTTCTGATAATGGTCAACCCAACCTTGATCCCCTTGTACTTCAAGAAATAAATTTAAGTAAGATCTTACCTTCCCATAACGGAATCTTCTAGTATTAAACTCTACAAAAACTTGTAATAGGCACTTGAAGTATTTATGTGGGTCTCTCAGGTACAAACTCACATGGCTCAGATTTCTTCAAAGAGCTCACAAGTCGTGGACCTCTTGACAAGAAAGTTATTCAATGGCTGCTATCACTTCACCAGATAGGTTAGTGACTGGTCATGGCTTACTCTATCTTCATCTTAAAATAAACTGAATATCCGCGTGTTAACCAGTTGCTTAATTTATATTTTTTTTTTCAGGTCTTGATGTGAACCGTACAGACAGGAGCTTGGTATTCTATGAGAAGAAAGAGAATTTGTCAAAGCTCTGGGATATTCTGTCTGTTTACGCCTGGATAGACAAAGATGTCGGTTATTGCCAAGGTAAAACTGAATGATATCAATCATTGTATCCTTTGGCCTATCAAACCAGTTTCACTTGACAGATTCTTGAGCTATGTACTGTTGCTCTGATCAGGAATGAGTGAGCTTTGTTCCCCAATGATCATTCTTCTTGAAAACGAAGCTGATTCCTTTTGGTGTTTTGAGCGGCTTATGCGTCGATTGGTACTTACCTTGCACATAGTTTTCAAATGTATCTGTGTGTTTTGGTATGTACTGTTTACATCTGTCTCTCTGCGATCAGGTTGTATTTAACATGTTTTTCTTTTTTTGAATTGAAAAGCGAGGAAATTTCCGCTGCACCGGGAGATCTGTTGGAGTTGAAGCTCAACTTACTCATTTGTCTTCAATTACAAAGACTATTGACCCCAAACTCCACCAACATTTAGGTACTAATACTACTACTACAGCTTCTTTGTCTCTCTCTCTCTCTCTCTCTCTCTCTCTCTCTCTCTCTCTGTATATATATATATATATCTATATAAATATATTCATCAATTCATGGAGATCGATATCTTCAAATGCAGATAAACTAGGTGGAGGTGACTATCTCTTTGCGATTCGGATGCTAATGGTTCAATTCCGGAGAGAATTCTCGTTTTGTGACTCTTTGTACCTTTGGGAGGTAGTGATTGATTCTTGTGTCTCATTCTCTCTCTTATACATATAGTCGTCTTCTTCATCCTTGGATTGATCTCAAAGCTTAAACCCTATTCCCATAGATGATGTGGGCTCTCGAGTACGACCCCAATCTGTTCTACGTATATGAGGCGCATCAATGGGGGAGTGAGAAAACCGAAGGGTCCAAAGGTAAACCGAAGTCAATTAGCCAATGTGGAAAATATGAGAGGCAAAACATGAGGAATGGAGGGAAAAGCGCAGAAGGTCCTTTGCCTATATCGGTTTTCCTAGTGGCTAGTGTCTTGAAAGACAAGAGTTCTAAGCTTATGACTGAAGCTCGTGGTCTCGACGACGTTGTTAAGGTTTAACATACGTCTTCTTTTCACTTTTTTTTATTATGGTGGATCATTCCTCCTAACCATTTCCTTATGATGTCACTAGATACTTAACGACATGACTGGAAACTTGGATGCTAAGAAAACATGTTCTGGAGCCATAAAAATTCACAAGAAATATCTAAGAAAGGTTATTTATTTCTAATTTCTTTCATCTCTCTGGGTTTGTGTCTCTTTCAGACAAAAGTAGGAAAGCTTGCCTGACTTCTGTTGTCTTCTCTCTTGATACAGGCTAAGAAATAGCATCGGCGAACATTCAGTCCAATCATGAGAAGCTTTTCTATTTTTTTTCATTTGCTATTTCGACAGTTTGACACAAACAGATCTGGCGAGAGAAACCGACGGATCACATTCTTCTATCGTCATTTCCAACGATTCCTTGTGTGGAAAGTCATCTGGAAGAATCTTGGAGCCTTGAGTCACTTACTAACATATACACACAACAGAAATAAAAAAAACATAATTTGTAAACTGTTCATAAAAGTTGATGTTGCATAGATATATATGAACAAACATGATATGTTTTTTTTTAATATACCAAAAGGGAAAAAAAAAGAAGGAAAGATATTGTTTATATACTCACAATGCTCATTTTCTGTTCTACAAAGACAAAATATTTGAAATTTGGAGTAAGAATTGTTTCCGATAATTTATGGATCTTGTTTGTTTTACCAGAAACAAAACAAATACAGAAGTGTTTTTATTTAAGGAACTACATTTCTGCCCAATTGAAATTTGCAGGATTGGATCTTCTAGACCAAAGCACAATTTGTAGTAAAGGGCAAGAGTGTATTAATGTGAGAGAATCAATCTGCATTAGTTCCTTTTGATTATGGATACAAGTTTCTTGGATCAAACAAAACTTTGAATAGATATATAAACGTTCTCTTCAAGTTCATTGATCATGACTAAAAAGGAAGCAACTTACATAATTAAACTAAGGCACACCTAAACAACGCTTAAAAACCGGTCCGTGATCGCAAGAAATGTTGTGATCACGAGGAGAACCGATGGCAAGAATCCAAAACCGGATAATCTCTTGCCGGAACTCTTTTTGGGCAAAAACTTTGGAAGCTCACATTCCTCTCCATTGAAGAAAACTCTCTTTGGAAACCCATCTCCTCCAGGGATATTCAATCTCCCCAAATCCCGTTTTTTAAACGATATAACCGACTGCATTTTCCCGGGAACCTGCGGGTCTTTCAAAGGGTTCGACCCGTTTGTTAGACCGATCAAGTAGTTCATACCGCGAAGCCCTTGGAAGAAAATGGTCTGGTTCTTAGGTGGAACTCTTGACCCATTAAAGGAGTAAACATTCTCATACCCTAAACCAGCTTTGCCCAAATCCACAGCCGCAAACCAATCCTCCACTGCGTTATCTCCCCAGTTAAACAACGTTACCCTCGCGGACCATCCATCACTGTAATCCGAGTTGAGATGCCAGTTTAAGCTGATTCCGCAGTTGTCAGGACAAGGAAGCTTCTTAGGAACAGCCATGTGTTTCTGCCTTGCCCATACTTTTGCCTTGAGTGTCCGGTTATCAAACGGTACCAAGAGCGAGTCGGGAGGTAGGAGAAGCGGTCGGGCCTTGGCGTTGCAAGTGTCGGTATCGATATCCCCGCAACCGCAAGCACAAGTGTTGCAAGGAATGGCTGAGTCGTTGTAGAAGGCTGAGTAAGAGACGCAGCAACGTGCAGCTTGCGGTTTAGGCTTTGTTATGTTGCAGACGACTTGCCAGCTGGCGACTGCGTAGGTGGTCGCTTGGAGACCGCTCGGGTCAGGGAACCCGGTCGCGTCGACCCGTATAGGTGGTCCGCATTTGTACTGAGGATTCACTATACCGTCGATTTTCCAATTCTGAGGAGGAAAAAAAGCTGTCCTGTTCTGATCTGGTGGCACCTTGTATACCTAACACAAACACACCAAAACCGGTTTATCCCAAGATTCTGTCATGTCTTGTAATTGAAAAAAAAAAAGTAAGGGTGTACAATCCAAAATGTGTCTCAATTTGGTATAAAAATTTTCAATGTTTTCAGACATTACGTGACCATATGACAATCCGAAATGTGTCTACATTGTTGACCATGTTTCTTAAAATTTAACATTACGTGAACCAAAACCTAGGTTAAACACCCCTAATTATCTAGTCAGCAAACACACTATAAATAGTTTGGTTTTGGGGGCAAACCTGTAATTGGAAAATGGCTCTGGATTTAGAGGGATCCATAAGAGCGGGCAAGAGAGTGCCATTCTTGCAGCAGAAAGGCAATTTCCCGGTGATATTATCGTCTTTACGCTCAGCCGGTAAATCTTTGATAATCGGTTTCTTTTGACAAGTAGCGACCTGAGAGAAATCGAGATCCCCGTAGAACTGTCCCGCCTTGCTGTGTAAGCATTCTGAAGGGATCTTCTCCGCCGCGTAGGCTCCACGCATCGAGTATATGAACTCGCCTCGCATCCACTCCCACGTCAAGTTCCAATGGTCTAACCGTCCCAACGGACTATTGTTGTCTATAGTTACCTGTCCAAATATACACATTTCAGTATCAATCCTCTATGTATATATGAATCTCTCGATGTTATATCTGTAGAACTGACGGATCCGGTGACTCACCTGCGCCAAGTAGTTGCTCGTGTATGCTTGAAGAACATCATAGACTATATTCAGGTCGCCGTGTTGTCTACGCATGAACTTGGTTTTCGCTTTTTCTTTAGCTTTAAACTTTGGGTTCCTCCTGCAGCAAACTTGCATCGTACCGCCTGACCCAAAAACCAGACCGGAAGAATCAAAAACCGGTCTTTGCTGATTATTTCTTCCTTAACAAGAAACTAAGGGGATTTATGATCGTTACCTTTAGAAGTAGCAGCAGGGCATTCCCATCCATCGTTTGTGAGCTTGATCGTTTTCGGCAATGGCGTAGCCGTACCTGTACCGCCGAAAAGCGTTCCTGTTATCTCGATATCGGTCGAGATCTTAGTGAAATCACCAGCTGTTTCGATCGAGGTCTTTAGATCCGTATTCGGAGACCCAATAAAGGTTGTCCCGTTGCTTGCGTCGTAAGGAAAGTCACCGTCCGATGAGATAGCTCCGGTTGCGGAAACGATGATCTCTCTGTGGTGAAACCCTACGAACATTTGCCAACCTTTGACCTCTTCGATCCCCGTGTTCACGATCATGGCCGTTGCTTTGAACGACCAGGCTTGAGCCGTCGCGTTGTTGGTGCGAGGGTATAACTTTTCGCGGTCGCCGGAACTGTAAGACATGTAAACTCCGTTGCAACGGATCAAACCTGGCGGAGGAGTGTCCTTCTTCGCGGCATCGTCGCCGTAGTCTTGAGCCAGAGATAATGTCGGAAACAGAAGACTGATTAGAGGTAATAGAAGGAGAAGTAGGTTTAAATGAACGTAACGTATCTTCATCTCCACCGTGTTTCCTAAGCTTCTTAGGACGCAAGAAAGAGAAAAAAGAAAAGAAGAAGAGAGATGATCAAAAAGCTTAAGCGAATTAGAGAGGCTGAGCATAACGGTTTCTCTTCCTCTAGTTTTTCCCTGTTTCCCCGGAGAAACAGAGATAATACAAAAGAAAAATTAAAGGACAATCAAATGTCAATTAATATCACACTAATGTCAAACTTGGTTGAACCGGGATTTAACAAAAGTAACCAAAAATTCCATTTGAGTGTATTACAGTATTTTGTTTACAGTGAATCTTCATAATTCTGAATCGAGTACCACATTCATGTTTACCACATCACCATTTAGTTCTATGAATAAATTATCACAAAACTTGTATAAGGAAATATTATAAACATTCCGCTTAATCAAATCAGTAAGCACATTTTGTTCGGATGTGGCTGGACGAAACTGGTCTAGGACAGCCATCTCAAAGATAAAACAAACTTGACTGAATGGTGGCTGCGAATTTTGATCTTTTGATTTGAATCTCACATTTTTGAACTAATTTTTAGTCAACCTCGTAAATATTAGTACAATAATGAAACAACAATTACCTATGATGGATAGTATATAAAAAAGATACTATATATTTTCATGTACTGCATATGGATGCAACTTGCAACCCTAAGGATTCAGAACAAGAAGGTCTATGTATGACCAAACATTAACGAGTTGAAGCTAGTCCCTACGGCTTTTGGAAACTCTTGTTTTTTGACAAAAGGTTTGTTTTTAACTCGAGAAACTGCAAATAAACAACTAAGAAACCGAGACCTCTTCCATGCCACTGATTTCTTCAGTGAGTTGATGTTGTACTTTGGGCTCCAAGTCGATGAACTGGTTCGACTTGCTTGCAAGATGTGAGATACTAACTCTTCCTTGACGTTTGATGTAATCCGCAACCGCATTCATCTCTTCCATTGATATGTAAATGTATTTTCCTCTATCATCCATAACCCCCGAGAGCCGCCCTGAATAAATATATGAGAAAGCGTTCAGATCTAAAGAGTCCCATTACGGTTTCACATGTACACACACAGTCATCATATTGCTTCGAGTTTACTAAACCACGGACTGCTTGATGAGGCGAATGCTAATTTTTGTGATTGGATAGAGAGAGAAAAAAAATACCAATGCTCTCCAAAGAGGCGATCCTGTTGATGCATTCCTACAAAAACAATCAGTTGAGAACAATGACGAAAGGTGTATTCATTTGTTTTTCACATAGAACATGTAGCCAGATAATACCTGAGTCCGTAGATGAAATTCTGCTGCGAGATCTTCAAGTGGAACACATTTCTGTTTCTGCAATCGCATCACGAAGCAAAAGGAAGGCTCAACATTGATATGGGATGACACACCATGTGTATCTATACTTACCTTTTAATTCAAGACATACCTTTATATATTCAACAAACTCAGAAAGCAAATCTTGGTTTCCACCCTGCACTTCCTCTGTAGTACCTTCAGCATCAACTGAGAATTCCCCTTTCCATTTGTCAAACTCTAACGCAGCTGCCTCTTCTTCCTTGGCTTGTCTTGCTTTTTCTTCTTCTTCCTACAAAACATTGTCAAAACTAGCCAAGCTTCAGTACTTCGAAAACCAGGAAGCCTAGGACACAACCAAATTTGAGATAGATTAATTGACCCACCAACTTCCGCTCCTCTGCCTCTCGCTCTTCATCTTTCTTCCTTCGCATCTCTGCATACCAATCTTGTTTTGTACTCCTTGACTCGCGTGTAGCTTCTTCAGCCTATACCAGACAATATGAACAGTTTTAGATCAGTAAAGCCTTCCCAAAAAACTATGTACTATTCTGAGCCCAGGACCAATGCTCTATCCTTAGGCTACAATCTATCAGTTCAGACTCTAACCGGTCAATACTACTACAATTTCTTATCTTTCATCCTGCTGAAATTTCTGATAGAATATTTGAAGAATTAATGGCGGTAGAGATTGTAAGGCACCTGTCTTTGTGCTTCTCGTTCTTGGCGCTTCTTCTCTTTCTTCTTTGATGCTCTGGCTTGACTTCCACTGGCTTCATCTTCATCTTCATCTTCACTCCCACTGATGTTTTCTGTTTTCACATTTTACCCAAATAATCATTCCAAGACCAGTAAGGCATCTCTTTTCAAAACCACCATAATCTTAAGCTAGCTTTACAGCAAGATGCAAATGAAACTAGAATCTGCTCGACTATTCTTGAACAACTGGTTTCGAGTTCTCGCAGGCAAAAAGTAAACTTTAAACAATAACACACACTAACATAAGCTTGTCTCAAACTATCAAGTAGCAGAAACTTGATATTCATCTGAAAAACCATGTCTTTTATTTGCTACGGTATATATACTCCATAAACAAAACTCAATCCTTTTCAAAATTTGGAAACCTTATCATCCAGCTGATGCAGTCAAAAAAACACACGATTTCAAGAGAATTTGACATTAAATTACGTAAAGGAAACACAGAATCCGCCAATACTAAACCTTGAACGTTGGATGATGAGGAGCTAGCACCAGAAGCTGCAGGTCTCCGACGCATCCTACGCCCACCACCAGTAGCACGAACCACGTTTTCACGCGGCTGAACCTTGAAGATTTCACGCGATTAACCCCGTCAATTCCAATAAAAACGACGACTTTCCCATAATTCATAGATCAAAAACAAAAAAAATTCCAATCCATTTCGCAAAGATGAAAATTTTTACCTGTGGCGGTTCGGCATCTTCCTCACGTGATCTACTATCTATCTGACGTTTCCACAAGAACAAAGGGATCACCGCAGCTATGAGGATCATGGAGACTATCAGAGCGAAAATCTCCTCCATCTCTTACCTGCGATCCCAATATAACCCGAAAACAAATAGGTTTTGAGGTAACTGTAGAGAATATCAGACTATAGTAATGAAAATATGAAATTGAGAGAGGATCGATTCAGATTATTCCACACTCTTAACCTAATTGGGTTTTTTCCTAAATTGAATTTTGTCTTTTTGTGGTCTGTTTAACCTAAACCGGCTTCCTCGAGGATCGCAGAAGAGCTCTGCACTTGAACTCGATAGAGAAGACAAAGCGACGGGGTTAATTCCGTAATCTTCATGCAACTTCCAATTCCTCTGTACCCGTCGGAGTCTCCAAGGCCCTTTGGTCAACGTGGTAAATATGGCCAACACCGATTATTTATTACAGTTAGACTTTTGTATTTTTTTGTATAAATGACTTCTTCATGTTTTTATAATCATAATTGAGGTCTCTTTGCTACCGGGATTCGAATTCAGGTAACAAATAATCTCTTCATCTTATGATTTTTAAAAATCACCAAACAAGAGTAATCGTAAAACTGTCGTGAAGAGAGCTATCTTCGTAAGAAAGATATTCAGAGAGGAAGACACGAAGTCAATGAAGAATTCTTAACAATCTAATATTACAGAAGTAACAAGAGTAGTAACGCAAAAGAACAAACGAGGATGGTCTCTTAGTATCATGCCAAAGCTAAATCGAAAAGGAAAAAAACAGTAACAAGAGATCAAAGAGGAAATTCGAAGAAATGTTTTGTCAAAGGGAGGATATCGGTGGATGATCCACTAGAGCAGAATGAAGCAAACAAGCAGCTCAGAAACCATGGATCTTGATGTTGTCCTTCTTCACAAGGCCAGCCTGTTCCATGAAAAAGTAAGAGATATAAGATCATGCAACAATCTTTTATTTATATAGCTTGTTCGAGCAAGAGTTGTGATTATTACCTGAACTAAAAACGTGGATACGTTCTTCCTCTGGTCGCCTTGTAGCTGAATGACCTACACATTTGCACAGAAGCATGATAAGTAGAGGAGACTAGCTCGAGATCTGAATACAAATAAAGGACTATCCTTGCGAAAAATGGTGAAAACCCCTCAGCTAAGCTTTGCAATTAGTTTTTAAAACTTTGTTGCATTCTTATTCGAATGTTAATATGCCAATTATAAAAACACACACCTGTCCAAGTTCAGAGTCTTGCACCACGGTTCCGTTGCAGCAAAACTCTTTCTTGAGGTCCTTAAGTATCTTGCTGTAGCTGTACTCTTTCTTCAACCCCTGGACCGTTGTCAAGCTTTTCCTACCATTCCGCTGCTGGACACGGATGTGCACGTACTCCTTTGTTCCCGCACCTGAGTCCTCAGCATTCGCATCAGCAAACGGATCTGCAGGAAAAAGCAAAAAAAAAAAAACCCAAAAAAACAAACTAATTAGCTCATCAATTCCCAAATGAGAAAACTTTACAGGATTAAGTTTTTAGGGTTGGTGAAATTGAGACTTACCGAAGGCAGTAGGGACCTGGGAATCAAGTTCAGACATGAAACTCTGTTGATCTGAGGGGCAAACGACTGAGAAGCTGAGACCTGAATAAGAAGACCAGCGTCACATATTAATGTGGTACACTCAGAAGGGTAAAAACATAGAGAATTAAACATTACACGACAACAAGCAATGAAACACATAATTCTAGTACGGGCCACGTTCAATTGAAGATTAATGAAATGATTTGTAAAGGAAGATACAAACAGCCACTAAGAAACAACTATAGATTATTATCTTTAAAGGAAGATTTCAGATGAGCAACAATATACTGATCATATCCCAGGAACATTGTTAAGCAGATCCAGATAAAATTACAGAAGATAATGTAATGATCAAACATCAATCGACAGCAAGATCTGATTTTTCATAAATAATAGCTCGCGTCCGATATTCAAGGAAAAAAAACGAATATTTATATGAAAAATGCACTGCCAAGGTGATGAACGGAAATAATAGATTACAGCGACAAAATTGTGGATCAGGCGACGAAAACGAACTTGACATTGAAATAACCGAAATCAAAAAAAAAAAAAAAAAAAAAGAGAGGTAGTTTGTGATCTGCTGAAGAATCAATAACAAACACGGATAGATTAATGGCAAATTTACCTGAATCGAAAAGTAGGGTTTCGTAGATCTGCTGATTATCGGGGACGAGAAAACGTACAGAAACCCTAAATTCGGATAAAGTCTGCAACTTCTGTTTCGGTGGAGAGAATGTAATGACGAAGAGGGGAGAGATATTTTGGTCTCAAATTATATCTTCAACCCCTTTGGTGGGCCTGAGCTTCGTACTTGTCCTCTCAGTGGACTTGGATTTGGGCTTTAAACAGTTCGTGTACCCACATATGTATATATCCCAAATCGGCTTTTTATTGGATTTAATTGGATTCTTTATATTTGTTAAAGGAGTGGACATTTGGATACTCGGATCGGGTATTTCAATTTTTTACGATTTTTGCTTGCTTGATTCTTTGAATTTTTTTTTACTATACAATGTATATATCCCAAATCAGCAAATATATTGTATAGTTAAAAAAATTGGATGATTTTGGTGTTTTTCTATGTGAGCTCAAAATTTATCATCGAATGAAGTTTAGAATTGTACCACAGCCATCTCTTTCAATATCGTCTCGCGCCATCTCACTCTCATCCGATTCAAACCAAATTGACTTTACGTGTTTTAGCCTTCAATTTTGAAATGGTTGGCATGTCAGAAAACGAGCTACACTTCATACATGCATGGTTGCATTGCATAATGTAGACGCGGAGACTTGTCACACTACTCCACAATCCACATTTGAGTTTCCAACACCTAATCGCGACAAACGAACACATGCATGCAGTCTTACACGTGATCTACATGCGAAACTTGCTTCTCACCTATAAATAACAATCAACCCTTCACTTCACTCTTCACTCTCAACTCAAACCAAAACAAGAAAACATATACTCAAAAATAGCAAATGGCGAACAAGCTCTTTCTCGTTTCCGCAACTCTCGCCTTCTTCTTCCTTCTCGCCAACGCATCCATCTACCGCACGGTCGTCGAGTTCGACGAAGATGACTCCACCAACCAAATAGGCCCATTCGGCCCACAAAGGAAATGCCAGAAGGAGTTTAGGCAAGCAGAGCACCTAAGAGCATGCCAGCAATGGATTCACAAGAAGGCGACGAGACCCGGTGGTGGACCCAGCTGGGCCCTAGATGACGAATTCGATTTCGAAGACGACATGGAGAACCAACAGGGCCCACAGCAGAGACCTCCCCTACTCCAGCAGTGCTGCAGCGAGCTTCATCAGGAAGAGCCAGAATGCGTTTGCAAGACCTTGAAGCGAGCGGCCAAAGCGGTTAGATCGCAGGTGCAACAGGGACAACAGCAGGCTCACCCACAAGTAGTGAGACGTATCTTCAACACCGCTCAGCACTTGCCTAACAGATGCGGCATCCCACAAGTTGGCGTTTGTCCTTTCAAGCAGACCATGCCTTTCTTCCCTCCCTACTACTAGATCCCAAACCAAATCCTCCAGTGTATGAGTGTGGCTGTTGATACATGTTAACACCACACCTCATCGCGTGTTTCATAAAAAATGTAAGCGCTTTAGGATGTTTGAGGCTAATGTAATTAGCACTACTCCATAATAAAAGAGAGGTTTGTTTATGTTTAATTCGGCGAATATCCTATCTTGATGATCAACTTAACTCCTCGTACATCGATTTTTAACGGCAAAACACCGTTCAAATTGCCCTATCAGTCTGTCACTGTCCTCCTCCATCGTCACGTATACTTCTAAGTTATATGTTTTTCCATAAGCAACGGCAATGAGGGTGATCAATATTGCAAACGGTGCGTTTCCATTGAAGACAACAAATTTGCAACTAGTTCTCATTGTCATATTATTAATTTGAAGAGCATTTTGCATGAACTCAACGTGATAATTAGCTATAAATTTTACATAAGAAATAACACGTGATCAAGTGGAAGAGACATGCCAAAATGAATTTTACATTGCTGCATGATCCAGTGGAAGCGACGTACAAAAACGAATATTAACCTACGGTACATTGTCAATTTGGTCGCTAACCGACCCGTTATGGGTAAAGAGTGATTGATAGCAACTGTTGTCAAAGACTGTAAACCGTTACCAATCAAATAATAATTGATTCTGGTTAAGAGCTGGTGTGATCAAGATTTCAGAAGGAACCATTGGTCTGGTTAAATTTGCCGTTTGCAGAAGGTTTATTTTGGTTTGGGCTAAACGCAGTTCGGTAGTTATATATGGTTAAAACATACATGTTAAATAATCTTTGACAAAAAAACCTTTCTGAAAATGAAAAACGAAATATATTGCTAAAATCGAGCTAGCCAAGACGTACGAACTCACAATTCATAAAATCTCGAGTGACATATTCTTGTTCTCTCGATTTCTTTGTTTCGAATTTCTGCCAAAACAGAGTTTTGGTATTTTCTTTGGCTCGTAGTATCAAGACTTGACTTTTAATCAATGGATTTTTTCGGTTCATATTAGACTACACGCGATAGATAAGTTCAGTAGATTGTAGTTAGCACAAGTTATCATCACTTAGTTCATGTAAAGCGATAAATTCTTCCACAAAACTTAATGTTATATAATTATAAACATCAAAGTTTCTTCTAAACTTTTTTCAGTTAGTGATTGATTTTCAATATTAATGAATTCTAATTTTTAGTACCAATGTCACGTACACACTACAAAACAAAAAAAAACTTCGAGTACTCTACCATTGTGTTGGATATATGGGGTGGGATTGAAGATACAAGGCGGTTATGGTTAATTACAATGACTAAATAGTATAAGCTGCACCCAAAAAAGTAGCATATAAGAGACTGCAGTACAATAAAGAACACATAAAATATAATGGGAAAATGTACATTTAAATCCGAATTTTCAAGTTTCACTTTTAAAAAATGTTTCATAAGATGGCATGTCATCGACAAAAAAAAAAAGATGTTATGTCAGAATACGAGCTACACATCATTCATGCATGGTTACATGTAGACGCGGAAACTTGTCACTCCTCCACATTTGAGTTTCCAACACCTAATCGCGACAATAACCTTATTGCGCCTCTCTCTCTCACAAACAAACAAACACAAGCATGCATGCGTTGTTACACGTGATCAACATGCAAAACTTATCTCTCACCTATAAATACCAACCAACTCTTCACTTCAATCTTCACTCTCAACTCAAACCAAAACAAAAAACACATACACAAAAATAGCAAATGGCGAACAAACTCTTCCTCGTTTCCGCAACTCTCGCCTTCTTCTTCCTTCTCGCCAACGCCTCCATCTACCGCACGGTCGTCGAGTTCGACGAAGATGACTCCACCAACCAAATAGGCCCATTCGGCCCACAAAGGAAATGCCAGAAGGAGTTTAGGCAAGCAGAGCACCTAAGAGCATGCCAGCAATGGATCCACAAGAAGGCGACGAGACCCGGTGGTGGACCCAGCTGGGCCCTAGACGACGAGTTCGATTTCGAAGACGACGTCGACATGGAGAACCAACAGAGCCCACAGCAGAGACCTCCCCTACTCCAGCAGTGCTGCAGCGAGCTTCACCAGGAAGAGCCAGAATGCGTTTGCAGGACCTTGAAGCGAGCGGCCAAAGCGGTTAGATCGCAGGTGCAACAGGGACAACAGCAGGGACACCCACAAGTAGTGAGACGTATCTTCAGCACCGCTCAGCACTTGCCTAACAGATGCGGCATCCCACAAGTTGGCGTTTGTCCCTTCAAGCAGACCATGCCTTTCTTCCCTCCCTACTACTAAATCCCAAACCAAATCCTCCATGAGTGTGGCTGTTGATACATGTTAACTTTACACCTCATCGCGTGTTTCATAATAAATGTATGCGCTTTAGGATGTTTGAGGCTAATGTAATTAGCACTACTCCATAATAAAAGAGAGGTTTGTTTATGTTTAATCCGGCGAATATCCTATCTAGCTGGTCTCGGATATTTGTTTTCAAGCAAAATCTTCCAATCGAATTTGCAGGTTATAACTTGATGATCAACTTAACTCCTCGTACATCGATTTTTAACGGCAAAAACACCGTTCAAATTGCCCTATCACTGTCCTCCTCCATCATCACATATAGTTCTAAGTTATATGTTTTTCCATAAGCAAACGCAATGAGGGTGATCAATTTTGCAAACGGTGTGTGTGTTTCCATTGAAGACAACAAATTTTCAACTAGTTCTAATTGTCATCTTATTAATCTGAAGAGAACTCAACGTGATAATTAACTATAAATTTTACACAATAAATACCACGTGATCAAGTGGAAGAGACATGCCAAAATTGAATTTTACATTACTGCATGATATCCAGTGGAAGCGACGTACAAAAACGAAAATTAACCTACTGTACATTGTCAATTTGGTCACTAACCGACCCGTTATAGTAAAGACTAAAGAGTGACTGATAGCCACTGTGATCAAAGACTGTAAAACGTTACCAGTCAAACAATAGTTGGTGAGTTGGTGTGATGGAGATTTCAGAAGGAACCATTGGTCTGGTTTAATTTTCCGTTTGCAGAAGGTTTATTTTGGTTTGGGCTAAACGTAGTTCGGTAGTTAGATATAGTTAAAACATACATGTTAAATAATCTTTGACAAAAAAAAACCTTTCTGAAAATGAAAAACGAAGAATATTGTTAAAGTTGAGCTAGCAAAGACGTACGATACACGAACTCACAATTCAAAAATCTCGTGTGCCATCTTCTCTCGATTTCTTTGTTATGAATTTCTGTCAAAACAGAGTTTTTGGTATTTTCTTTGGCTCGTGGTTTTAAGACTTGACTTTTAATCAGTGGATGTTTTCGGTACATATTAGACTATTCGCGATAGATAAGTTCAGTAGATTGTAGTTACCACAAGTTATCATCACTTAGTTCAGGTAAAGCGATAAATTCTTCCGCTAATTACTTTTAAATTTATTTATGGCTCATAAGGGGATTGGATAAAGATGTGTTTTAAGGAATTTAACACTTATAGGGGAATTTATTAGAAATCATTGGAAATGATTTCTATTCAATTGGCAAAACTTTATGTTATTCAATCATAGATATTAAAGTTTCTTCTAAACGTTTTTTTCAGTTAGTGATTAATTTTCAGCATTTATGAATTATAACTTTTAGTACCAATGTCACGTACACACTACAAAAAAAATCTTGGAGCTACTCTACTATTGTGTTGGATATATATGGGGTGGGATTGAAGATACAAGGCGGTTATGGTTAATTACAATAACGAAATAGTATAAGTTGCACCAAAAAAATTAGTATATATGACTGCAGTACAATATAGAACATACAAAATATAATGGATATTAAATGTCGAACTTTTAAATTTCTCTTTTAAAATATGTTTTATAAGATGTCATGTCATCGACAAAAGAAAAGGAGATGGCATGACAGAATATATATGAGCTACACATCATACATGCATATGCATGGTTGCATGTAGACGCGGAAACTTGTCACTCCTCCACATTTGAGTTTCCAACACCTAATCGCGACAATAGCCTTATTGCGCCTCTCCCTCACAAGCAAACAAACACATGCATGCGTTGTTACACGTGATCTACATGCAAAACTTATCTCTCACCTATAAATACCAACCAACTCTTCACTTCACTCGTCACTCTTAACTCAAAACCAAAACAAGAAAATATATACTCAAAAATAGCAAATGGCGAACAAGCTCTTCCTCGTTTCCGCAACTCTCGCCTTCTTCTTCCTTCTCGCCAACGCCTCCATCTACCGCACGGTCGTCGAGTTCGACGAAGATGACTCCACCAACCAAATAGGCCCATTTGGCCCACAACGGAAATGCCAGAAGGAGTTTAGGCAAGCAGAGCACCTAAGAGCATGCCAGCAATGGATCCACAAGAAGGCGACGAGACCCGGTGGTGGACCCAGCTGGGCCCTAGACGACGAGTTCGATTTCGAAGACGACGTCGACATGGAGAACCAACAGGGCCCACAGCAGAGACCTCCCCTACTCCAGCAGTGCTGCAGCGAGCTTCACCAGGAAGAGCCAGAATGCGTTTGCAGGACCTTGAAGCGAGCGGCCAAAGCGGTTAGATCGCAGGTGCAACAGGGACAACAGCAGGGACACCCACAAGTAGTGAGACGTATCTTCAGCACCGCTCAGCACTTGCCTAACAGATGCGGCATCCCACAAGTTGGCGTTTGTCCCTTCAAGCAGACCATGCCTTTCTTCCCTCCCTACTACTAAATCCCAAACCAAGCCCTATCCACACTGTATACACACGATGATGAGTGTGCTTGTTGATACATGTTAACACTATACGCAGTCATCGTGTGTTTTTTAAATAATGTAAGCTTAGAATGTTTGAGGCTAATGTAATAAGCACTACCCCGTAATAAAAGAGAACTTTTTCTTTATGTTGACTCTTGCTTCTCTCTAAAAAGTGATGACGGATAGGCAAATTTATTCACAATTACGCAGTAGTCTAATGAACGGGAAAGATAATATGATAGACTACTGCTCAGAGATATTATGTCGAATCGAGACTTTAAGATCAATAATAAGTATCATCCATTGGGATCAAACAATGTCCTCAACCTGGTAAATTGATCATCTGATGCTTCGAAACTTATAATTAAAAAAAAACCATTTCTTATTAATAACAGTAACTGGTCTCTTATTTCTTATTAAGCTTCACATGTGAAGCCTCTTTATGATTAGTCGATTTATAAATTCATCAAGAAGAAAAAGAATGATGAACAGAATTGGATTTCAGTTTTAGATCGATGAAATAAGGATCAAACAATGACACAATCTAGCATCTACATAATACTCTGCAAAACTGAATGGAATCACCTTTTTGTTCTTATTTAATACGGATGCATGCATGCATCACTACAAAAAAAAAAATTGATATTGTTACAATCATTTTCGTTACAATATATGAATATTTCGTCACAATTTTTTTATTGTGACGAAAGTATTACGCATCTTTAACCATCACAATAAAATTTTGTGATGATTAACAATGGTAATCATTCCTCACCATTTATAACAATATTGAAACAGTCATAAAAAGGATACAATTTATGACAGATAATACTATTATAAATTTGTCACAGTTTCTTACCTTATTTAAGTAACTAATACGTTACAAATTGTGATTAAAATAATATCACAACTATGTCACAGTTAGTGTGACTAAATTATAGTCACAAAATCATCACAATTATGTTTTTATTTGTGACCTTTTTATTATAACTAGACTGGTAACGAATTATTACAAAATTTAAAATATGAAAATGAATGAAATTTAGTCATTAATGGTTATAAAATATTTTAATTAATTATAATCACATTTTTTCAAAAATGTATTATACAATAAAACAAATGATAATATTTGTATTACTGAACAAACTAACAAAGTTAATCTAAAAACACAATCTGTGTTTAAAGGAAATACTTTAACAAAATACAAACTAAAGGATAAATAGAAACAATAATAACTAGATTAGGTGGATGGTCTTGGTGGTGGAGACTGAATCTAGGAAGAGGAGATTCAGACTGCAAAAGACTCAATTTTTTTTTTCATAGATTCAAGTATTTTCTGAATTTTCACCACTCTTTCCTAACCCATTTGAGCATAGAGTGAAGAGGAGATAAAAAATTCAGATCCCGCAGACGTAGTGCTCATTCACTCAATTAGTATATTGTTTTCCCTACAACAAATGAAGAAAATCAAGATAAAGGGTTTTACTATGACAAATTATGAAAGACATAAAAAACGCATTAAGTTTCTATAATGAAGTTAAAGAAAAGCAACCTACAAAGATTACAACAGTACCAGTAGATGAGCATGTGGATATCTATCTAACCATATTGTAGCAAAACCCACTTATTCTTCTAACTTCAATTCACTAATTCACGAACCGATCAATGAGAGATTAAACACCAAAACCTAGCTCAAGTAACAATAAGACTAACTTTCAGACCGAAAACGGTTCTGAGACTTCTCTTTCTCACCAGAAAGTAACCATTAATGGACAAAATTCAGGACATATACAAGAACGATTTCACAAAACCCACTTACATTAAGAAAATTCAGAAAATTTGAAACAAAATACATGTGTCTCCACTAATAATGACAAGACTGAAGCTAGGGTAATCGAGGAGTTTCTGGTTAGGAAGAACCTGCAACAAGAATATATCCACAACTAGATCAAACAAGAGGAATCATACCATATTTTCGGATGCAAACGAGAGAATGAGAGAGAGACGGCAAAATTAGGCGATGTGAGTAAGAAGTGAATCAGAGCAGCGAGAGCGAATCGAAGTTAGTTCCCGAGGATAGATCCGAATCACCGCCACGAGAACCTTCTATTTCCGCCATCAACGGAGCATGTGAGAAGCAGTGGGTGCTTTCGGTAAAAGTTTGCTTCGCCGTCTTCATCGTTAAAGGAGTTTCGGAGAGAAGCGAATTATGAAAAATAGGTGAGACTAGAAAAAATAATCACTACCAGAGAGAAAGAAAATCAGAGGAAGGAAAGAGTGAGATTCCCACGTCATCGATCTGAGTGATGTTTTTTCATTGGCTTTCCACTTTTTTTAATGAATAATATTTTATATTTTGTAAAGATAATTAATGACGTTCTATATTAATTAAAAAAAATAGAAAAATCATCTTCAGTTAAATCTAAACCTTATAAACTAATCTCTCGTTAATTTATCACAATGATATTATATTTCAATAGATAAACTTTTAAAAATATATTTCAAACTCTTTATCCTATATTGATATAAACTAAACTCCAAACCACATGCATTAAACTCTAACTCAAAGGTTCATTAATTTTTCATTTTTAATTATATTGTGTAATAAAAAAATGTAGTTCTATTTTATGTTATAACTAATAAGTTATTATATTTTCTCTTTTTCTAAATGAGAAATAGAAAAAATAAGTATCTTACAAATATAAATTTGTATACTCTAAATAAAAAATTTATTAATCCATCAAAAAGTATCATATATCTTTTGTTAATACAACTAAAAATGTTATATTTCAAACTCTATACATTTTACCCTATTCTCTAAACGATAAATCAAAGATTATGATTTTTCCTTTTTATTTTGTAAAATTTAGTTCTTAGTTGTGTATTAATATTAACCATTTAACACCAAATCCAATTCATGTTACTTGTGAAAAAATATTACTACAACATTATGAATATTGGTATTTCATATAAAACAGATTTAGAAATTCCTAAATTGACTTAAATACTATTATTTTATTTAATTTTAATTCTAAATATTTCTTTTTTTACAAAATGATTATATCAATTATATCATAATCTATGATTAAACGTAAAAATCACAATAATAATGACTAATTATGACGAGATAGTTACAAAACATCTGTCAATATAAGTGATATAAATTTACTCACCAAAAATCATATTATTTAGTTACTAAATTTAATTGTAAATCCGTAATAATATTCGTGACTCTATATTTTGTAATAAATTCATCACAATTAGCGACAAAATTTGTTACTTTCAGTTGAATCATAATATTATAACAATATGGTAACATTTTTATGACTAAATAATTTTGTTACATTTTCGTAAGTAAATCATCACAATATTCTAACAAAAATATTTGTAACAATTTTTTTGTCACAATATTCAACTTTTTTTGTAGTGCATGTAAATGCTCCTCTAAGCTTCACATTTTAAGCAGTATAGCATATGAAAGGACAAACTAAATTATTTTGAAGATATATAGGGAGATTTAATCTTTTTGTAACGAAACAAAAATATTTATTAACATTTATTTTGTTATGACTAAATTGAAAAATTCCCCACTGTTTAACTAGGTCTTGTATATTTTAGCCGGATCAAATGACCAAATGAATATCCAATCAAACGGATATGATATTAGTGTAATTAAACCAAAAAGAACCAAGTGAACAAAAAAAAATTCATACTTTTTTGTAACTATGTACTATATATATATGATGATACTGCATCGGTCGTATCGGTAGCCCTAAACCACGCTAGGATTTATTCCAAATTTTCAAAAGAAAAAACAAACAAAAGGTTCCAGAAAATTGTTTGCAAGTGAGTGCAAGTGTTATTCTTCAAGGTGAGTGCAAGTGTTATTATTCACTTTTCCACTACTCCACATTTGAGTTTCCGACAACAACCTTTTACAGCTTCCGTCTCTCACAAACACACAAATACATGCATGCAATGCTACACGTGATCTCCATGCATAACACCTCTCTTGTCCATAAATACCGACCAACCCTTACACTTCACTCACTCATCAAACCAAAAAACACAAAGAAAACATACACACAAACAGTACCAAATGGCTAACAAGCTCTTCCTCGTCTGCGCAACTCTCGCCTTGTGCGTCCTCCTCAGCAACGCCTCCATCTACCGCACAGTCGTCGAGCTCGAAGAAGATGACGCCACCAACCAATTATGGCCATTCCCTTTCCCCCAAGGTCGCCCACAGCAGAAATGCCAGAGGGAGTTCCAGAAACACCAACGGCTACAAGGTTGCCAGAGATGGATCCGCAACCAAATCGGTCAATCACCCTTCGACGAAAACGAAGGCCAGCAGGGCCCACAGCCACAGCAGGATCAGCCGGCATTCGAGCAATGCTGCCGGGAGCTTCGCCGGGTAGACCCAGACTGCGTTTGCCCTTCCTTGAAAAAAGCGGCCAAAGCGGTTAGTCTCCGGGGACAGGAGGGACCATTCAGAACGAGCCGTATCTACCGAACCGCTAGGGACTTGCCTAGAATTTGCGAAGTCGAGGGCGCTGAAACATGTCCCTTCCTGGGCATCCCTTTCCTCCCTCCTTACTAAATCCCTCTCTGTTATATCCATCACACTATGATGATATGGTTGTTGATGTATGTTAACACCACACAATCAACGTGTGTTCCTATCTTAAATGTAAGTGTAATGGTAGTTTGAGGCTAATGTAAGTAGCACTACTCCGTAATAAAATAAAAGTTTTTTCTTTTTGTTTGAGTTTATGCATGCTCTTTCTCTCAGCATAGATGACAAAAATAAACACTAAACAAATCATTGATATATTCATAAAGTAAAATAAACAAACAAAAACAACGTTAAAAATCATAGACACTACTACTCTTAAGGTTGTGCTGTCAAAAACAGAGAAGCTAAATTAATAAAGAAATGATCCTAAAAACAGAATTAGTTTCTAAATAATTCTGTTCGAGGGAAGATGAGGCAAAGACCCAACTCTTCAAAGTTACTCTCCTCCATTCAATATAATTAAGTCTGCTGCATTCTACATTTCTCTTATATCAAAAATTAAGAAATTTCTAGTAAAACTAAAACCAAACAAATATAATATAAGATCATTTATTTATCTAATCCATCTCTAATCAGGATTTTCAGAACATTGATATGATTTTTTCAACACACAAATCGTCTGATCCAAGACAAAAGTAGAAGAAAACAGACCCTTAAGGCTATTACAGCTATATACAGATTTAGGTATAAACATAGCTTTATTTTTGTTGGCTTCGGAGTAGAAAATCTCATCCAAGACTCAAGCGATAATCCAACGGCCTGGCGTTAACTTGACGGTGTGCCGTTCCAATCTCACAAGCATTCACTCTTGCTGCGAATCTGAGGGAGCACAGAGACTCACCGGTTGAAGAAGGTTCCGGTGTGATGTTCACAAACATTAGTGTCTTCGAGTCGCCACCTAAACAGGGCTGATAACAGAAATCGACAAAGTTACATCACACAACACAGAATCTTTCATGTTCTGTTCTATAACTTATAATGAGATGTTCAAATGATGAATTTTGTTCTTTACCTGAAGAAGATAAGTGAGCTTCGAGTTTCTAAAGGGTACGTGATCCTCTTTCTTTGCTAAGGCGAATATCACATCGCCTAGAGACGATAAGCTCTTGTTGATTGCCTAAGTTAGATTTTAGTAAGAAGAAAATAATCATTACGTGTCTCTAAAGAATGTGATGTTTTATTAATTTTCTCAGACATTACTTGAGTTTCTTTCAGTCTATCCCCGGTTGATCCGCTTTTCGATAAACGCTCACTTCCCGCAAGATCAATCAAGTTCAAGACACCTTGTACTTGTTGCTCTGTGCTCTGTAAGTAAACAAAAGAAAAAAACCGGATTTGGTTTAGATGAAACAAACACGGAAGACTATTAAATGTTGTTGTTGCAGACTTGAAGTAAGAAAACGAGAGTAGTACCTCGTTGAATCCAGAGATTTTTAATGTGAAAACAAAATGGCTTCTAGATGATTGCTCATTCATGGCGGTCTTCCCTACTGACCTGGAAAAAAAAACAATTTGTATCATTAGCGTTTTTCTCAAAGAGGAATCATTGCCAATCTTCAAAATAGATACTAGCCTGTTTCGAGCTGCATGGTCTAAGAGGAACGAAACCTCTCGGCTGCTTCGAACATCTACAACAGTAAGTTCCACAACGTGTGTGTTCCCACTAGCATCATGTTTGATTGCATACTTCTGAGGAGAAACGCCATTGTCTGCTCTCACAGCTTCCTTGTTTGTTGACAAGAGATCCCGAATTGTTTCGTTGTATATTTCCAACATAGACACCTATAAAAGAGATATACAAACGAATCAACAATACAATGAATGTTACACTATACTATACATTTCTAGTCTCTAGGAGGTTTGTTACCTGCAACTCATACTTCCAACCCTGAGATCGAAGAGACTGCCTCGTTCGAAATATTTGCTCCAAACATCGAGGAATCAGTCCTTTTTCCTCTGGGTTTCCTGGCCTACCCATCATTGTATAAGTTTTTCCAGATCCTGTTTGTCCATATGCGAAAATGCAAACCTGAAAATGTTTTAACGTTCACACAGCATTTACCAAACTGTTGGGTGACTTAATTAATTAAAGAAACAAAACCAAAGAAGATAAGTACCTTGTAACCATCAAGAGCACTTTGAACAAGCTGAGATATCTCTACAAAAATATCTTCTTGTGATGCACTTGGTACAAAAACCTTATCAAATGTGAAAGAATGCTTTTGCCCTGTCCACAGCAAACAAACATCAGATGAGGTCTCTTCCTTTTGTTTTTTTTTTGCAAGAACGGATTTTTGTTTTCAGAAGATTTGTTCATTACCATTTTGCATCAAGTCAATGCCTCGACCAAGTGCTTCTAGAGATGTTGGGTAGGAAATAGTTTTGGCCTCTTCACTAGAATTCTCTCCTGATAATAGAGGTCTAACCCTACAGAATACGCGGATGTTTCCCTTCAATTCCTGCAACATTTAAATGTTTCAGAATCAGCCAATGCTTACTCAACATTTCACAAGGGAAATGGACAAAAATGGAAAGTTTTAACCTGTATGGTATTGTGCAACTTCTTCCGTAGTTTTTCTCCTTCGATGAGCTTAAGTTCCGCTTCTTCTAAGCGAGCTTTCAGCTGCGTAATGCTTTCCTTTTGCTCTTCAAATTCGTTGATTTTCTCAAAGGTAGACAAATCAGCCACCTAACCATGATGAACAAATATGATTGCAAGAACTTAGATATTTTCATATACACTTCGTTGCTTTATATAAAAACTCAAGAATGTGAAGAGACCTGCAGTTTCCTCTCAGAAGCTACTAACTGATCCTGCAACTCTTGTATCTCCTTATTCTGAGAAGAACACTTACTCTGGACACAAAAAGTAAATTATATTAAGTAACAATAATCTCCAGATAGAATTTTTTAGAATATATAGGAGTGCATTCAAGAATGAAAATAAACCTCAAGCTCATTTATCGCGCCTTTGAAGTCATTTTGCTTGGTTGCTTCGGCTTGCAGATTTTTAACTTCCGTAATATGGCGGTCACGGTCATCCTTGACCTGTTGAATCTCTACCTTGAGACTTACAATTTCATTCACCAGTTCATCTTTTTGTTTCATGACATCATCTTGAGACACCTAACGAACACAAGACACAGATCATACCCTGATCTAGCAAAAGTAGTTTTACTCTCATTGATTGAATAAACGCAGAATCAAATCACCTTAGAAGCAGCAAGCTGATCCTGCAGTGCTTTAAACTGGCCCTTTAAGTTGCCAATATTTTCTACAATGCCAGTCCGTTCTTTCTCTCCTCGCATTATAGTTTCATGAGCTTCATCAAGATCACCTTGGAGCTTGCTATTGTACAGCTGCAAGCTCGAGTTATACTCTTGCAAGAGTTTGTACATATCATTGACAGCTTGAATCTGAAACGGGAAAAAAAAAACCAGAGAAAAACATGTAATGCAAGTCAGAACTAATCATTTTCCATTTCAGAGCCTTCACACACTCTCTCTCTCACCCTCTGGTTAGCTGTTTGAAGCTCTCCTTGCGTTTTGCCTAGCTCTTCAGTGAGAGCAGATTGCAACTTTTCAACAGCAAGTCTTGCTTCTTTCTCTCTTCCAAGCGAATCAGTTGCAGCCTTACGCAGAACAACACCGAGTTAGAAAACCGCATAGAGTAGATAAGACACGAGTTACTTTTTAACCGAACTGGACAGTTTCTTACCAGTTTCTCTGATTGTTCTTTGGCAAGTTGCACCTGGACAGAGGCAAAGTTCTTCCTCAGTTCATCGATAACCATATTCAGCTCCACTTCCTTCTCTTTCAAACTAACCTCTGCGAACAAATGCACAAAAATGGAAAGTACTTTTAAAATCCCAAAATGTTCGTTTATAAGAGGAGCCAACTATTCAAATCACAACGAGGATGACAGAAAATTTGAAACACACCCAAGTCGGCGCAATGCTTCTCGTTCAACTCCATCGCGTTCTTCAACTTCTCTTGCTCGAAGGCGTAATCTAACTCGAGTTCTTGGAACCATCTGATGCAAAGCCTAAGCCTTTTTACATAGTCCATCGTATTCTCGCATCTCTCCTGCAAAACCAAGCATCCCGAACAAAGTAACATTCAGTTCCAACTTCCAAACCAAGATTCCACAATTAACATCCAAATCTCGGAACTTTTGTTTTTTGTACAGTACACTGCTTGAGACTTTCAGGATTCATACTCGCCACAGGGACTAACGCATGCAGATTTAGCAACTACAATGTCGAGACTGAACTATAAATAAATAAAAATAAAACCTTTTGATAGACTTCCTTTTGTAAATTGCATGAACAGAGAGATCTCGATTTCAAACACCAACCCAAACATTGAGATTATAAATAAAAAAAACACTTCCTTTGCCTCATCAATTACAAACTGATAAAGAAAAGAAACAGAGAGAGAGAGAGAGAGACCTTATAGTTATACTTGCTCTTGTACTTGATTCGCTCATGAAGAAGAGCGTCAACGTCTTCTCTGGTAAACTCAACGGGACCATACTCAGATCCTTCAGTGCTCGTCAGATCTTTCGTACCCGGAAACGCTTGCCGGATTCTTCCACCGTTCGTCATTTCCCCCACCATTATTTTGATTTCTCAATTACCTTTTACAGAGTGAAAACGAAAATTAGCTTTAAATTCTTCTCGTACCTAATTACTCCGGATTTGTCTCTTCAAAAAAATAAAGGATTTCAATTAGTGAAAAACATTAAATCGAAAAGGATGTAAACCCGTGAATGGGTTTTTTCCAAATTCAATTTCAAAACAGTGGAAGTTGTCGTAAAGAACAAAAAAAATGAGCAGTGGTTTTGAGCTAAACAACAAAACACTATCAGTGAATCATTGGGCGAAAGAATGGCAATTTCATAGATGAAACGAATGAAGAAGAAACTAGTGAGAGTTGCATTGGAGAATAAGAAGACCTTTATGTTGATCTGGCTTAGCTTAGAAATGGAGGTAAAGTCTCCGTTCTGTTCTCCCGTCGCTAGCTGCTGGCTACTTCTATTTCTGTTGTTTGGGTTTGTTCAGAGAGAGAGAGAGAGAGAGATGAATGTGGGGCCGTTGATTGGATCTTAATTCACCGAGCTAATGCGATCGCGTCCGTTGCTTTATTTATTTTACCTTTTCACCAAATAAGTTGAATATCTAAAATCTAGAAAAATGAATTGATGAAATGAATAGAAAAAAACATTTAAATTCAAATAGTAAAACGGATTTATTTTGCGAAACTATCTCTTCGATTAACTCGGAAAAAAGTCAAACGTTTCCCTACATTTTGTATTTATATTTTTTATATTCCAAGTATTATTATACTAGCATTTAAGAAAAATTTCTATGAAAGTTTGCGAGTTTTATATTAAAAGTTTCAATTGATGACTTTTAGTGTATTTAACAGTTACATAAGTATGAATCTTGAAAATCAGCTGCGACTAATAAGCTCTTGAAGTTTCAGATTTTAATATTTATTGCACTTAACGAGTCATCTAACATTTCATCATGTATGGAAGAAACACCTATAGATTTTATTACGTAGTAGTTGAAAAGTTATATTGTTGTCAAAAGTTGGAAGTTATGTTATCAAGTACGTGCAACAAGACAGTACTTGTATACCTTGATTATTTCTTGTTATACAGTATACCTACATATCTATACTATATTAAAAATAAACTAAACATATTTTTCACTGGTTATACACTTATACTGTTATGGACATTATATAGCGACAATTTCAAAGACTTAAATCATAAAAGTGAATTTACTATGCTAATTACAACAAATTAGGATGAAAAGGTTACAGCATGTGTCGGTAAATTACTATGCGTCGGCAACTTGGCATTTCAGAAGAAAGATTCTTTTCAAAAAAATATAAATTTTATATTTTACCCGAATTACCCTTTTATTTGGTCCAAAACTACATGGCTATTTGAAGCTCATGGACCCAAAGTTATGGGCCAAAACTGTCCAAATACAAAATTCTCTTTTTATCGATTCGGTCTCAGATGCTCGCAATGTGTCACAATTTCATGTGAAATCAAAGAAAAGAGAAACGAAAGCTGTTTCAGATTCTGTAATGGTCCCGTGAGGTGGGCTCTGTTACACTAAATTCAGATTTCTTGTAAAAGCTCGAACTTGGCATGAAAATGTAATCTAATGGTTACCTTATAAGTTATAATCCAAAGTTAGGTATGGAATGTTTTTTCGATTGGCCTGCTGTTTTTTTTAACTTGACGTCAGACTGTCAGTCATATAATATTTTCACTGCCGCCATCAAAATTAACTTTCTGTTTTTACATAGTACGTTACGTGGGATTGGTTGCAAAGTTGACAGTCGGAATATGTATGACAGTATGAACCACAATTAAGCAAGAGTTAACCAAATAAGAGTTTCAATTATTTCTGAAAAGTTTTTAAGTAACAACCAAAGTAGAAAGTTTCCATGAATATACCGGAAGGCTTACTAGAAGTTCAGATATAAAATGGAGAATACGTCTTCAAGGCAAGTTCTTTGAAACTTCAATTGTCAACTCATGACTCATCAATGACCAAATCAAACCTAAAGCCAAGTCTTGTTATTTATTTATGAGGACCATATCTAACTGTGATCCTGTTTTATTTTGAGGATATTTGATCGCTGATTTTTTACATTCCTTGTCCTTATTGTTGTTTTGATCTCTCTGTAATGGATTGTATTGGCTCAACCTTGGGCTCTTTTTTGGCAGAGACAGGGCGTAGTATGTGCAGATCAACCTATACTCGAGCCATATATACCATCCGGTTCAAGTCGAACATCACCACTCTGAAGAACGCGCTCAATGGCCTTATGGAAGTTCAGAACAAAGTGCATAAAGACCTCAAAACCTTGGAAGTCAAAGGGAAATCCTTGAATGTGCAACTGAGGAGATGGCTAACAGACGTGGAAGAGACTGTCTCCGAAGCAAACTCAGTGCAGGAAGGACGCGTTTCATGTGGCCTGTCCTTGAAATGCAGGCTGAGCAAAAAACTCGTGGTGGTTCTTGAGAAAGTCAAGAGGCTTGAGAATCAAGGCGTGGAGCTTCTCTACATATTCTCCGCGGAAGGTAAATCTGAAGTAGTTGAAAAAATCCTTGGACCTTCGATTCCTGACAAAACAAAAGCATCAGAGATGTTAGACAAAGTGTTGAGCTGTTTGATGAGCGATGAGGTTCAAAAGATCGGTATTTGGGGTATGGGTGGTGTCGGGAAAACGACGCTGGTCAGAGAACTGAACAATAAGCTATGGAGAGAAGCTTCCACGCAGCGTTTTGGTATGGTGATATGGGCTACAGTCTCCAAGGAGTTTGAACTGAGAAGGGTCCAGAGGCAAATCGCAGAGAGGTTGGATATGGAGATCAAATTAGGGGAAGACGAGGAAAAACTGGCGAGAAGGATTCATGGAAGGCTTGAGAAAGTCGGTAGCTTTCTTCTCATTCTTGATGATGTATGGAAACCCATTGATTTATACCAGTTGGGGATTCCACAAACAGATGGACACAACAAGGGTTCAAAGATTGTCTTGACTTCTAGATTCTTGGAGGTTTGTCAGAGCATTAAAACGGATGTTGACTTCAGAGTTGATTGCTTGTGTGAAGAAGAAGCTTGGGAACTGTTTTGTCAAAACGCTGGAGAGGTAACCAGATCAGACACTGTTAGGCGCATCGCAAGAAAAGTCACTCGAGAATGTGGTGGGTTGCCTTTGGCTATCATCACAGTTGGAATGGCTATGCGTGGGAAGACGAAGGTCGAGCTGTGGAAACATGCACTTAAGGAACTCAAGAGCTCGGTGCCTTATGTCAAGAGCATCGAAGAAAAGATCTACCAGCCTTTGAAACTGAGCTACGACTTGCTCGAGAGGAAGACGAAGTCTTGCCTCCTCTTCTGTGCCTTGTTTCCAGAGGATTGCTCAATCGATGTAGCTGAGCTTGTGAGGTACTGGATCGCCGAAGGATTCATAGATGAAACGCAAAACCATGGATACTTAATGAACCAAGGAGTTACCTTGGTAGAGAATCTGATAGACTCTTGCTTGCTAGAAGAAGGTGCTCGTGATGACACAGTTAAGATGCATGACGTGGTTCGAGATTTCGCCATATGGGTCATGTCTTCCTCGCAAGATGGAAGTCACTCTCTTGTCATGTCTGGTATAGGCTTGCGCGAGTTTCCACAAGAGAAGTTCGTATCTTCTATCCAAAGAGTTTCTCTGATGAACAATAAGCTCCAAAGTCTCCCAGATCAGGTGGTAGTGTGTGCTGAACTCTCGGCTTTGCTGCTACATGGAAACTTTCACCTCGAGAAGTTATCCGATACGTTCTTGCTATCTTTTCCAGCACTTCGGATTCTGAATCTAAGTGGGACACGCATAAGTTCACTGCCCAACTCCCTCACCGAGCTTCATGAGCTCCGATCTCTCATCTTGAGAGACTGCTTCTACCTTGAAGAAGTTCCTTCCCTTGAAGGCCTTACAAAAATTCAAGTTCTTGATCTTTGTGCCACTCGGATAAAGGAATCTCCAAGAGGGTTGGAAACTCTGAACAGCTTGAGACTACTTGACCTCTCACGGACACATCACCTCGAAAGCATTCCCGCTGGAGTCATCCCACAGTTATCAAGCTTAGAGGTTCTAGACATGACGCTTAGTCATTTCCACTGGGGCGTCCAAGGACAAACTCAAAAGGGACAAGCAACACTTGAAGAGATTGCGTGTCTCCAGCGTTTATCTGTCCTCTCGATCAGAGTCGAATGTGTTCCACCTCTTTCCCCTGAACACAACTCCTGGATAGAGAGGTTAAAGAAATTTCAGTTGTTTATTGGGCCAACAGCAAACTCCTTACCTACTAAACACGACAAGCGGAGAGTGACAATAAGTAGCCTCGACGTCTCAGAAGCATTCATTGGGTGGTTGCTAGCGAATACGACTTCCCTAGTGATGAACCATTGCTGGGGTCTCAATGAGATGCTGGAGAACTTGGTGATCGATAGCACGAGTAGCTTCAACACGTTGAGGTCTCTAACGGTGGAGAGCTTTGGTGGAAGTATAAGGCCTGCTGGTGGATGTGTGGCGCAACTGGATCTTCTACCTAACCTCGAAGAACTTCATCTGCGTCGTGTGAATCTGGGAACCATCAGAGAGCTCGTGGGTCATCTTGGGTTGAGATTCGAGACACTGAGACATCTAGAAGTCAGCAGATGTAGCCGTCTCAAGTGCCTTCTCTCGCTAGGGAACTTCATATGTTTCTTGCCCAACCTACAGGAGATACATGTTAGCTTTTGTGATCGGCTTCAGGAGCTGTTCGACTATTCTCCAGGAGAGGTTCCAGCCTCTGCTTCAGTGGTACCTGCTCTGCGTGTCATAAAGCTGAGGAATCTCCCGCGGCTGAAGAGGTTGTGCAGCCAAGAAGAGTCATGGGGATGTTTAGAACATGTGGAAGTGATACGATGCAACCTTCTCAAGAATCTACCCATCAGCTCAAATAACGCTCGTGGAGTCAAGGAAGTAAGAGGAGAAACACACTGGTGGAACAACTTAACTTGGGACGATAACACTACAAGAGAAACCCTTCAACCTCGTTTTGTACCAGCTGACCAAAACGTACTAACCGGCTCTCTTGGAATCTCTTGTTATCAGAGCTCCAACAACAATTAAGAGAAAGACTAGAAGCAGTGCTTAAGCAATGGATTCGAGACTCAAAAAGAGAACAATTTTTCTTCATATATTCACACAAAGTGGAACAATGTATGCATACAACTAATAACACAACCACAGAGCTTCCATTGCTGCAGAGGAAAGAAGAGCAAAATAAGAAAGAACAAAGAAAGAAGGCAACAGTCCTAAGCATCTTCTACAATAATTGCTTCTTTGCTCTGACATCAACCATTTTCCATGACCGTCTTTGGGTAAGAGACCTAATCTTCATCAGTAGGCTTGGAAGGGCCAGTCTTCTTGGGGAGAAGGAGGTTGTGGATGTTAGGCATCACTCCTCCATTGGCAATGGTCACGTCTCCAAGTAGTTTGCTTAGTTCCTCGTCGTTCCTCACAGCAAGCTGAATGTGTCGAGGAACAATCCGGGTCTTCTTGTTGTCTCTTGCTGCGTTCCCAGCGAGCTCAAGTACCTTTACAAAGTAGTCGAACCAAATTCAATTCACAAGGAACCCATGTTCACAGTTCGAAAGCAGAATTTAAGTGAACATCAATATATGGTAAGTAAACTCAATCAAACTTAAAGCTTGCAATTGAAACAACTCAATTCAGAGAAAAATAACAATCGAATTCGTAGTCAGCTCACAGAATCAAACAGAAACATCTATAAATCATGGTGGCTTAAGTGGGCAAAAACCATAGATTTAACCCTAAATTTGACTAAGACCAGACAAGATCAAGTATCCTATAATGGACAGTTATTACCGGGAAAAATAAAATATTGTAGCGTTTCCAAAAAATAAGACTTTACCAATTTCGCAGCAAAATTAACGAATAGAGAGGGAAAACTGAAAATACAGAATTATAAATGCGCCAAATGCAAGTGAAAACCAGCCGTTTCAACAATTAAACAGGCGATCAAAAGACGATGCAACAAGCTAGGATTACCTCAGCGGCGAGGTATTCGAGAACGGCGGCGAGATAGACCGGAGCTCCGGCACCAACACGCTCGGCGTATTTACCGGCCTTGAGGAACCGAGCGATACGACCCACAGGGAACTGAAGCCCCGCCTTGCTACTACGGGAAGTAGACTTCTTCGCCGCGCCAGATCCGAGTGTTTTTCCCCGACCCGACATTTTTCGACTAAGAAAATTCTCTAGAAGGAAAAAAGTATGGACAAAGCGTAATTGAGAAATTCTATCGGCAAATTAACAATAATGATTTCCAGCGAAAGCCGCCATGATTAATATAGTGGAGAAGAAAGTATCACTGACCAATAATACGAAAGTACATGGATCAACAATTTTGACCGTTCGATTGCTTTATGTTCAAGGGATACGATTTCAGTTTCGTGCTCCCACCGGTTGGAGAATTTTTTAGCTCTCTTCTTAAACACTCGGATCGTTTCGATGGATATATAATGGGCTTAATTTGGGCTTCTCAGCTTTTAGCTGAAAGTAATTCCCTCCTTTTTATTTTAACATTATTTAGCCCATATGTTTTGGGTCAGTACAAAAAGAATGACCCATGCTACTAGCTTCTAGACACAAAATGTTAATTAATTGAACAAAACGAAAACACAAATGTTATTAACAAAAAATGCTCATAATACTACTTTATATTTCATTGCCTCATTGTGTAACCAAATGTTTTTTGTTCTTTTGGTTTAAATGGTAACCAAAATGTCGTGTATGTAGTTATAGTGACAAAGGAATTCCAATTATCACTAAAAATCGTTTGTAACTCATCACTTAAATTTAAAATCAAGCTATAACATTTTCGTATTATCTCTTGAAAGTTGGAAAGCAAACGAAGGAGACCAAATAGATAGAGACATTCGTGAAAAGTGCATGTCATGAACGTGGTAGTGGGATGGCCATGATGTTACCAACCTTCAAAACAAAAATAGGTGGATCACACTTATTAAATTGTTCATTAATGTAGGATGTAGAAATGTATATAATGCATGAACATCACAACACATCTATCATTTTCAGATAAACACGAAAAAATAAAAGGAAAATTATGAAAACAGACCATTTTTAGAATGAGAATTTTTTTTTTATATATAACAGAATTAATTAGTTTTCATCACATAAGGTACTTTAATCTGAAAATATTGTCGTGTTAAATCTTAAAAGTGAGAAATTACATAACTCTTTTTTGAAGAAATTATAACACGCCTGATTGCGTATAATAGACTAAACAACTGAATATCGACCTAAACATAAACATTAAATACAATTCTAAAATCATTAAATGAAACATTTCATATAATTTTTGTTGGTAAGCGTTATTTGAATACAGAGAATCTTCTGTTCGGATCGAAAATAATGTAAAAGTACGTCATTTGAAAACCAGTTTATTTTGATGATTGTACTTGTTAGTATTGACAAATCAATGCTTCCGATTTTTGTTTGTTCACTCGAATGGTTGTTCGAAGGACAACACATAGTGTGGAAGTGTCCTTTAGGTCCGACACTAAATGAAAATTTCACTATTTTAAAAGACTACAATTCAAACCGCGAAACAATGCAAAAATATTGGAAGCATTAGATTTGGGAAGTGTGAGGGTTGTACTTTGTCCATACGCGTAATTTTAGTCAGTAGACAACCAAATCATGTTCACTGTAGTCCCCGTGAGTCAAATAGTACCATATAGTCTTATGGTCCATAGATTGTAAAGTTACCAAAGTACATAAGCTAATGTAATTATTAGAACCAAATACATACTTCTTCTCTTTGGGAATTGGTGGTAAATTTTCTGTAATTATATTTTTGTGTGTCTTCTTATTTTCCCACGACAAAAAAAAAAGACTCGATAATCAGTTCCCATAACTTGGTGCCCTTTCCTTTACTCTCTTTTTAAGAAAATGAAAGACTGAAATTTTAGAAGTCTCCAATCCTGAAAGTGGAAACAATCTAAACATTCATTTCAATTATTACTTTCTGTTTTTGCTTCTTTAGTTTCTGAAGACAAAACAGTGGAGAGAGGATAAAACAATGGAAGCTTCAAGCACAAGAAGCGAGAAGAAGAAGAAGCAGCTCCAAGAAAACACAAGCACTCCAAAGAAGAAGAAGCTGCCCAGTGTTTGGTTTTCACTGAAGAAGTCTCTCTACTGCAAATCTGACCTCTCAGATGTCCACGACCCCAGATCCAGAAAAGAGCTAGCTACCATTTCCACCAAGAGAACAGCTTGCCGTTCCGGTTGTTCAAGATCCATAGCCAATCTCAAAGACGTAATCCATGGAGGCAACCGGCATTTGGAGAAGCCGCCTTGCTCTAGCCCTCGCTCTATCGGAAGCAGCGAGTTTCTCAATCCCATCACTCACGAGGTCATCTTTAGCAGCTCCACTTCCGAGCTCAAGATCACCGGCGCCGGGGACATGGCCTCCCCCACCGGAGCGAGGGAATTCGTGGGGACTTTCAGGCCGGGGACGCCGGTGAATTACTCCTCTTCATACCGGAGCCAAGCGTCGAGAAAGGCTTCGTTGGTTGCGTCGGAGAGAGACAGGGAAGGTTTAGTAGGGTTTCACCCGAGCAGGAGAGATTCCGCCGTCAATGGAGGCGATTCCTCTGTTTCTTGCCATAAATGCGGCGAGAAGTTTAGCAAACTCGAAGCTGCAGAAGCTCATCATCTCACCAAACACGCCGGTAATCTCCCGAAATTTCGTAATTTCATCATCGGATTTCACAATTAGTTTACAAAGTTTCCTACTTTCCATCGAATGTCCCAAAGTTTTCATCTTTGAATTTCGCAATTAGGCTACAGAGTGTCTTTTATCAAAGAAACTGACTTTACCCAAATTTTCAGTGACTGAGCTCGTGGAAGGCGATTCGTCCCGGAAAATCGTGGAGATAATCTGCAGAGCAAACTGGTTAAAGATAGAGAATCAAGGCGGGAGAATCGATCGGATCCTGAAAGTGCACAACATGCATAAAACCTTGGCCAGGTTCGAGGAATACAGAGATACGGTGAAGATCAGAGCGAGCAAGCTACAGAAGAAACACCCGAGGTGTATCGCCGACGGGAACGAGCTGCTCAGGTTCCACGGCACCACCGTCGCGTGCGTTCTGGGGATAAACGGGTCGACGAGTCTGTGCTCGTCGGAAAAGTGCTGCGTCTGCCGGATAATACGGAACGGGTTCTCGGCGAAACGGGAGATGAACAACGGAATCGGGGTATTCACGGCGTCGACGAGCGGGAGGGCGTTCGAGTCAATCGCGGTCGCCGGTGGTGATGGGACGACGGAGAGGAAGGCGTTGATCGTGTGTCGAGTAATCGCCGGGAGGGTTCATCGGCCGGTGGAGAATTTAGAGGAGATGGGTGCGTTGAATGGGTTTGACTCTTTGGCCGGTAAAGTTGGGCTGTACACAAACGTCGAGGAGCTTTATTTGCTCAATTCTCGAGCTTTGCTTCCTTGCTTTGTGGTTATCTGCAAGACCTAAATCCAAAAATTTTGAAGAAACAAAATGGGAAATTTTTGTTGATTCTTTGGTGATAACTTACAAGTAATATCATCAAAATATTAAAAACGCAAACTTTGGGCTATTGTTCTCACTATAAAAGCTTTCATGCAAAACCTCTATATAAAAAACTTGTGTCACACTATACACTCTTATATTTCAAAGCTTTTTCTTCTTTTAAAAATCTTTTTAATGTATCTTTGGCTTGCATCATTTTCAGGTTTTTTAGTTACACTTGGGTTTGATTTTGCTTTTTAATACATAAGATTAGGCTAATACCCGAATGGCTTATAGGCTGGTTTGGTAAACCGAGAAAAATTGGGCATTTTCACTTACAAACCACATGATGGGTACGTCTCTAAATTTTGTAAACTCAAATTCAAAATGAAAAGCTTTCTATCAGGTTGTTTTCAGACTGATATCCAAGTGGGAAAAGGACAATATTTTTGTTGGTATGTCTTTTATTTAATTGATAATTACGGGCTATTATATTCATGTGATAGGGAATGGGGTTGTTGCACAAAATAAAAGGAATAGAGGTTGAAACCTCTCTTCAACTAGTAGGTAATATATATATACACTTTATAGTAAACAGACTGATTTCAGTGGAGGTTAAAGTTTGAAGGTGTTGCTGGGACAATGTATTTACTCATTTACTGATGAATATACAACATAAGATTGACGTGTAACTCCCAAATAATATACAGTGACCTTTGAAATATAAAAATTGTTGGAACTGAGAAAAGCTTAATGTCCCAAAAGAAAGAAAACAAAATGTTGTTGATCTCTCACTTATTGAGTTTGTTGTAGGGAAACCTCAAATTGATGGAAGCATTCAACTGTTTGAAGAAGAATTTCATCAATACCATATTTGTACTCAAACCCCAACTCTCTCAACTTCTTTGAAGAAATCGTAGGCTTCATCAAACATTGTCTTTCTTCCACACCATCATCTACCCTATTAATCAAGAATTCTATAATAAATTAGTATGAATTGACAAAAGGCACTGAAGATTGTAAAATTCAAGAAACTCACTTTTCAACTTTACAAAGAGACTCCTTAGAGAAGTACTCAAGCATCAATTCATGCATATCAATACTGCCAACACAACAGATGTATTGACCTTTAGCCTTTGGTTGTTCCATCAGAAACAAGTGCGCTCTGCATATATCTTCAATGTGTACCAAACCAATCGAACCCATTCTTTTGTTCACTGCTGATAATATCGCAAACAGTCTTGAATCACCTGCTTTGTTATAATGTGAACAAAAAAAACAAAATGGTTAAGTTTATCCCCAATATGATAACGAAATATATTATATACACTAATACACACACCTGTGATTGGAGACAAGAGAACTTGAAGGCTTGATGGTATAGAAGGAGTAAGAAATGGACCCGAGACAGTAGTTGTAATGACCGAAACAAGATCCAGTCCTCTCTCTTTTGCATATCTAAATGCTTCATCCTCTGAGACGAGCTTCGATACTACATAAATCTATCATCCACACACACACGAATTCTAAACTTGTTAATGACGCCGAGTCGATAAATTATGCAAGGCTTTATGTTATGAGCTATATAGTATTGTTTATACTAGTATTTACCCTTCCGCTTGCTTTTGTTTGAAGGACGTGATCAATGGGAGTCTTGCAAGTCTCATCCACGAAAGATCTCCATCGTTCATTCTCATCTTTGGCTGTGAGAGTACTGATGGATGATGTGAAAACAACTCTTTTGACTGATTTTGACTTTAGACAAGAACCAAGTACATTCCGTACGCCTCTTATAGCCGGATCTATGACTTTGCTCTCCACATAACTCTCTGCTATGACGATGAACTAGTTTGAGTTTAGCAAGTTCGTCTTCTTTTGATCTTGACATAAGACATTTTGCATCATTTACGTTCTATCTTGATGTTTCATCAGATCATATGGTCAATGTTTCAGTGGATTTAGTAGCTAAACCGGAGATGGAAATTGCGATACTAACAGTTTGATCCGGTTTATAGCGGTTAAGGTAACGGGTAAAAAAAAAATCGGTGGGACGAAAAGGGGCCGTACCGATATTGACGTGATTAGGTGAGATATGAAACTCCATGGAAGCCGCGACATGGAAGACGCCGTCACAGCCTTTAACGGCGTCATCGAAGCTGCCGTCATCTTGAAGATCCGCTCGGAATAATCTAAGCCGTTCATTCCCTCCCCACTTGGTTTGAAAATATTGAGATTTTGCTGTCATGTCATAGGAGCAAGGTTTTGTTTAACTATGAAGTGATCAAATTGATTTACAAACAGCAGTCCAAGTTTTAGTTAAAATAACCAATTAATCCATATGTATTTTGAAAAGCTCTGTATATTAAGTACCTGAAATTCGATATAAACAGACACTTCAATTCGATGATTTGTCCCAAAAAAATAAAAGTTACTTACGTTTTAATTGCACTAAGATTAACAAATAACTGAACTTAGTCATTGACAACCATATTACACGAATAGGTTAGAAAGAGAAGTTTTCATTTACCAAGATCTCTGAGAGTGGCATGAACAGTATAGCCTCTTTCGAGAAGAGACTTAACCAACCAAGAACCGATGTATCCACTTGCACCCGTCACGCAATACGTCGTCGTTTTCTTCCCCTCTCCGTTCATGTCCATCGTCTCTCTTCTTCTTCTTCTTCTTCCTTCTCTCGATCTTTCTCTTCTCCAAATACCCAATGTGGGTTTTTAAATTATTAATTTTGGCTGGTAACGACTAATACCACCGCCTTTTGTCTGTGCTATTTTAATATTGCCTGTTTTCTTTTTGGTTTTTAGTGTTAAATCTTTCTATATTCTTGAAAAAAGTTGTGTTTTCAAAAACCTGACATTTGGAAAACTACTACACAGACAGACTTTTTTTCTTTACTTTTTCGCATATTATTATATTTGGTAAGATTGGATTATTGCAACATTGGCGTTATGTTGTCATTAAAGATGTTACCGTGGGTTTTTTTACCCGACCCGACCAAACCCGAAATGAACCCGCTTAGTACAAGCTCGAATTTAGAAAAACCCGAATGGGTTTAAACCCGTATAGTGTAACCCGAAATGAACCCGTCAGCTAAACAGTGTACCTGCGGGTACCCGATAGTACTATTCATTTTTTTTCTTCTGAAACTAAGTTTAACAATTCTCTGAAACAAAAGCATTCCACAAAAGTATTCCACAAAACCATTCCACAAAACTAAGCAACACTTATAATTATAAATCTGAAACAAAAGCATTCCATCATCAAAGATATCTTCAATATCAACAAAAACAAAATCCAAACCGTTCTCAAATCTTATACTCCAGAGCTGCTTGATGTCGTTGTAACATCTTCATTTCCATCATCAAAGTTATCTTCAATATCACCTAAAACATAGCGTATACATTGTGAATTTGTGATAAGAAGTTACGAAAACCATCATGCAACAACTAGAAGTTATAAGAAGTTACCTTCAAATTCTGTAAAACCCCTCAACCAATTACGTGTACAAATCAAGGCTTGAACATTCTTTGAAAGGAGTCGATTTCGGTACGGATTCAAAACCCTACCTCCAATACTAAACGCCGACTCTGATGCCACTGTAGTTATTGGAATTGCTAGCAAATCACAAGCTAGAGCAGCCAAATCACCATAGCGATGTCCATTGTTTTTCCAATAACTCAAAACTTCTATATCTGAAAACGATTTCAAATCTAGCCTAGGATCATCCAAATAAGTCTCTAAATTCGATTTCATGTTATCCTGTTCACTGGATGTTTCTCTCAAGTTCAGATAGATCCTGTATGATACAAATAGCGAAACTATCAAGTTCAAAGAGAGAGATGACACCAAGTTATTTAAAAAGATACGATACTTACACAATTGAGATCCTCTTCTAGTGGTGATTCGGTAAGAAGTTCTTGTGGAGTTGGTGTTGCTGAACAGGTTGAAGAACTTCATGTTTCAGTCTTGTACTCTTCATACAACATTTTGAGATTTTTCTCAACAATATCAACTTTTCTCTGAGAAGTTCTAGGATCCACTGTGTCATACGCTGACTTAAGCATTTGAAGCTTCAACCTCGGATCTAAAGCAGCTCCCATAGCTAAAATGAGACTGTACTCATCCCAGTACTTTGCAAATTTGGACCGCATTCTCCTAGCCATGTCTTCCACTGCAGCATCACCACATGTAGCATATTTTATCAATAGACTCTCAATTTTCCACACTTGTAGAAAATACACATTAGCTGTGGGATATTTAACGCCTGAGAAATAAGTAGTAATAGTACTAAAAGGCTTCAGGAAATCACGGATTTTCTCTCCCCGATCCCACTCTTCTTTCGAAGGCAATGTTTTGTAACTCCTGTCCCACTCTTTGAAGCTAACAAATGCCTCGCGAAACTTCAGAGCTCTAGCAAGCATATCATACGTAGAATTCCAACGTGTAGGTACATCTAGAGATAATCCTGCTCCACTCTTAATCCCTATACTTTCAACGCATGCAGCAAACGAGTCTATCCTTGATCCAGATGCTTTAACAAACTTGACACTCTCCCGAATATTTTTCAGAAGACCACTAGATAGTTCCAATCCTTCTTTGACTATGAGATTCAAAATATGTGCACAACATCTAACATGAAAATACTTTCCATCACACAACAACCCACTACTACTAATCATCTGAATACGATGCTTAAGTAGCTTCTGCATACTGTCATTACTAGTTGCATTATCCAAAGTCATAGAGAACACTTTTTTCTCTAAACCCCACTCTTTCAAGCAACGAATAACTGTAGTAGCTAATTCTTCCCCTGTGTGTGGATGTTTCACATCACAAAAAGCTAGAATTTTGTTGTTCAGATTCCAGCTCTCATCAACATAGTGTGCGGTTAAGCACAAATAGCCCTTCATAGTGGTACGAGCTGTCCACATATCAGATGTAAAGGATACTCGACCTTTGTACTCTGCAAAAACCTTTTTAAGCTTCTCTTTTTCTAACACAAATCTCCTAAAAACATCTGCTCCAGCTGTTTGCCTACATATATATTGACAATTCGGATTCAAATACTTAGCTCTTGCTCTAACCTTTTCATACTCAGCATACCGGAAAGGCTGATCATGGTATATGATAATCTCGGTAATCATAGCACGATCTTTTTTGTGATCATACTGACTTTCTTCACTAAACTCTGGAGGTCTCTTTGGGCAACATCCTAAATGGCGCTTTAAGGCTGATGTTCCTTGACTAGTTTCAGACACTAACTTCTTATCACAATGTATGCATCGACTTTTCTTTTTGCCATCTTGCTCTACTTCTACTGGCACAAACTCTTTCCAAACACTAGACTTTAAGCGTTTATTAGAACTAAATACCATTTGAGCCGTTTGAGCTTCACTTTGAGTTGAATCTTCTTCTTCATCCTCATTATTCATCATATATTCATTCTCAGCATCAAGAGCTGCTAGTGTCTCAAGTGTCTGTGAATCCATTCTGCAAAATAAAACAACGCCATCCAAAAAAAAATCAGCGATAGATGCAGAGAGAAACCCACAAGATTGATACTTTGAGAAAGACCCAACACTGAAAGGATACACAAAATCTATAAATCAAATTAAAACAATAAGAGTGTTAACTGCAGAATCTATTCTTCAATTTTCTATAAACCCAAATACAGAGACAATAACTTACGGAAAACCCACAAAGAAGAGCAAAATGATAAGAGAACAATTTTTTTTAATTGCTCAAAGAGACCCAACACAGAAACAATGCACAAAATCTATAAATCAAGTGTTCTCTTACAAGAATGAGAGTTTTACCGGAGAGTCAGAGACGATATCATAACAGTGAAGGAGACAGAGGAGACGATATATTAGGTTTGACTTTGAGAGAGACCCAACACCAAAACCACAACTAAATTAACCTAATTTTGAAACAGATTTGATATCATTAAATCTCAGACCTAGGAAAGTCTGAGATTTTCAAGCGGTGGTTGTGAAGGAGACGGTGTCTTGTGTGAAGGAGAAGGAGATGGTGTCGCAGCTGTGAAGGAGACGATGTATTAGGATTTAACTTCTACGGTGTCGTTTTACATTTTAGATTGATTAAAAAAAACCCATTGGGTACCCGAAATCCGATAAGCTAAACCCATCTAAACCCGATTACATAAAAAACCCGTCCGTTTTAAGCCCGCGTCTTTTTTTAATAGATCGGGTCAGGTAATGGGCTTGAAAATTTGTCCGGGTTTCGGGTACCCAATGAGTAAAAACCCGATTTTAACATCTCTAGTTGTCATAGACTATTTTGATACAAGAATCTGGAATTACGCGAGAGGACATGAACGACAGCGAACTCTTGTGTTTGTCGTCACTTTGTCGTCTTAGTTCTTCTTCCACATGACATGTGAAGGCCTTCGAGACATTGTAAGAAGGCTGGGCTGTGATGGGCTGCCAGGGCTGGGTTGGACCGCGCCATAAACTTATATTTCTTTATTTAACAATCTATAATAATCCGAAGAGGAAGAAGACACATCATCATTAGCACTAATAAGTTTTGACACTTTTTTTATACTAGTATGTGATTAGTTAGATGATAATGATTTAATTGGAAGAAAATACATTTTGAGTAAAAGGTAACATGTGATCTTTGTCCAAAAAACTATCGTGAAAATGTAAGACAACACTTTGTAAAATTAAAAATTACTCTAAAATGATATTTTTGTGTGAAACCAATGAAGTAAATATATATAGTTTATTATTTTCTAAATAATATTTATCTATGATTTAAACAAATATCGACCTATAATTCACCTAGAAAATCTGTAATGTGGAGATGCAAAAATGTTAGATCCATTTTTCTACGAATCAAAATTCAAACTCATTTGTTTCTTATAGTGTGAAGAACTTTGACTCACATTGATACTTTATAGTTTATATATATATATATATATGGGCATTGATTTAAATATGTAATTTAGTGATTTGTACAAGTATTGTTAATATAAACTGGCGTATTGTTCACAAACAAAAATCGTAAATGTGCACAATGTCATGATGGGTGGTGGGTGGTGTGTCTGGTGAATAAAAAAGGAGGAATTGGGTCTTACATATAGTCATATAGACACAAGCCTCTTCATGGGGACACTTAAAAAAAGACCCTTATCTTTTCTACCCACTCACTCACTCACTCACACGCACACACAAATCCACAATAACCACCAAACCTATAGTATATTTCATTATTACTAAGGAATCTATGACGGCAACACACACCACGATTCAACAATAAAGTGAATCTTATCTTGAAACCCTAAATTAGAAAACATTATTTCTCCAAGAAAAGAACTTCCTTTGTTGTGTAATCGGATGAATCAACAACACATGAACGAAAGTACAAACAAAACAGAAGACAAATCTTTATCTAGGGTTTGTTTATTAAATTTTGTGAATACCAAAACTCTTTATATAAGTCCCGAAACTACTAAGACTATTTCATTTTTTTCTTAATTGTTCAGTCTAGTAACACTCTTTCAAAATCTATTGATATATATTAAGTCACTTTAAACAGCATCCTACGTATTTATCATCATCTCCATCTTTTCGGCTTCCTCTTACGATTGATCGCACTAAGTAGACAGCCCAAGAGCTCTTCTTAACATTCCATTGGCCCACAACAAACCATCCAAAGCTTAAAAAGATTCCCATTTATAAGCTTCTCGTTGAACTCAACAACTGATATATATTTCTATATTATTTCTACTTCTA